TACCACCAGGCTACAGCCACACTACTCTGGAACACCAGGCTACAGCCACACTACTCTGTACCACCAGGCTACAGCCACACTACTCTGTACCACCAGGCTACAGCCACACTACTCTGTACCACCAGGCTACAGCAACACTTCCCTGCCCCGCGGGACATAACTCTCCTCCAAATTATAAACTCTTGTCTGTACTCAGACCAAGCAGAATGATATGTTTTTGATGTTTTGATGTTTTTTGACGTTTTTTGATGTTTTTGACGTTTTTGATGTTTTTTCAGAAGTTAAATAAACAGCAGCATAGACAATGAAGAATTTTAAGTAGACGTAACGCACCGGGAGTGGGGGGGGGGGTTACTTCATCACATTACAGCTATAAGGACCTGAATTACAGACAGCTATAAGGACCTGAATTACAGACATCTATAAGGACATGAATTACAGACAGCTATAAGGACATGAATTACAGACAGCTATAAGGACATGAATTACAGACAGCTATAAGGACATGAATTACAGATAACTGCAGAAGGGCTGTTGGACCAAGCAGGGCAGATCCATATTTATATCCAGCCACAGGCAGGCGTAAATGGAACACTCGTATCTGTTATGTTAGTCCTGTAATGAGGCCGTCGAGCCTCGTAGTTCAGTTAGCTATTGTCTTAGTCGTAATTGCCAAACAATGGGTGGGGGGTGACTTTTGACAAGTCACCGGCTTCCTGTCCCCGTCGAGGCCACTAGAGAGATCGTGGCCCTCGGGTAAATTCACGTAAATGTGTAGGCAGAGGACAAAGAAAGAAACAATTAAGCGATCAAATTTAAATTGATTTGCCATTTCATGCAACGACAGTTTAGATCTATCTCTAAATGGTTCAATTTTCACAGTTTAGGATGCAATGTACTCACCTAGTTGTGCTGGCGGGGGTTGAGCTCTGGCTCTTTGGTCCCGCCTCTCAACTGTCAATTAACTGGTGTACAGATTCCTGAGCCTACTGGGCTCTATCATATCTACATTTGATACTGTGTATGGAGTCAGCCTCCACCACATCGCTGCCTAATGCATTCCACCTGTTAACTACTCTGACACTGAAAAAGTTCTTTCTAACGTCCCTGTGGCTCATTTGGGTACTCAGTTTCCACCTGTGTCCCCTTGTTCGCGTACCACCCTTGTTAAACAGTTTATCCTTGCCTACCCTGTCAATTCCTCTGAGAATTTTGTAGGTAGTGATCATGTCACCCCTTACTCTTCTGTCTTCCAGTGTCATGAGGTGCGCAACCTGTCCTCGTAACTCATGCCTCTTAATTCTGGGACTAGTCTTGTGGCATACCTCTGAACTTTTTCCAGCTTCGCCTTGTGCCTGACAAGGTACGGGGTCCATGCTGGGGCCGCAAACTCCAGGATTGGTCTTACTTATGTGGTGTACAAAGTTCTGAATGATTCCTTACACAGGTTCCTGAAGGCTGTTATGATGTTAGCCAGTGTTGCATACGCCACCGATGCAATGTGTCCCTGTCTCTATGCACACACTTTACATGTGCGTGCACAGTGTGTACACTTTACATTTGATGTTATATACAATTGATGTTGCCTTGGGAACCTTCTCTTTTAAAGCTTAGCCCATGTACAGTCGGTAGAACATTGGCCTCTCATGTCAGAGCAACCCAGAGGACGGGTGTTCGAGGCTCCTATAGCCTAAAGTGAATGAACTCATGTTATATCGTAAACTTGTAGCCTATTTCTTGCCCGAAACGCTTTGCGTAATAGTGGCTTTAGGCATTGTATGTACAGTACTAGCCCTATCTATAAATCCATCAACTTTTAGTATCTTACCTTGTATGTATGTACTTTACCTGAATAAATATTGAATTGAATTGAATAGTTGTATTCAAGCTGTCACACCATGTATCATGTCTGCTGATTGTATTACTTGCCCCACACTAGTATTTTGTCTGACGCATTTAACAAATAAAACAAATCAAAGGCGTCAACACTAATTCATCCTGAAAACGGTACTGGTCGAGGAGACTGTACTACCAAGTCAATGATGCAAATGTGAAGAGGCGCGATGAATATGCAGGAAAGGAAGGTGGTGAGGAATACATTAATGTGCTTATTGCCTCGGTGTTTAGTATTCATGGCGGGAGGTGAGGAAGGAGGTGCATGGCTTGTTGCTGACCGGTTCCTAAGACTCGCGAAACTTCTCTGCATGCAAAGTTGCATGCATCATCAGTGTGATCATTATTATTTTAGGAAAATGGTTAGCATTATGACCCCCCCCAAAAAAAATCTTGTTTATAAAATGTGTTGTTGTATGTTGTATAGTTATTTGTATTTAATTCTAAATGTTGTGTAAAATTAGAAGTGATATGTCAGTTCCTTATCATGCCTTTCCTGTTGCCTCTGTGTTACGGGAAATTTTTAATATAATAATCATGCTCTGCCTCCCCAGGAAATGTAGATGTTTATCTCTCAGAATGTTTGGTAATATGTTTATTGTTTGTGATGTGTGTGTATGTATATATTAACACGCTGTACTAAACGGGGTGAGAATAGCTTGAGCTACCTCATCCCTTTGTGTGTATTTTACCTCAATAAACTTATTTCAATTTCAATTTCAATTTCAAATTTGTATTAAGACAGATTCAATAACATTTATATTTAAAATGCTTTTACAGTTTGTGAGTGAAGAAGACCTCTTCCAATCAGTTTGGTGGCAATTTTCTGATGTGAATAGATATGAATAAACATTCTGTAATAAGTGGACAAATATCTAATGCTCTATTTATTCATTTGTCAGAATTCTTACCAAATTATAATAGTGTTATGGGGTTACTTTGTCTACACCACGTTTTGTCTGAATTAATAATTCATTGTGTCAGGGGACAGGCAGCCAGTTTATATACGTCACATGTTAGGCTTATATCCAGTTTCCCTCCCGCCCCCCCCCCCCCTCCGAGTCGAATTATTCACCCTTAGGATGCAAGCCCACAACAAGCTGACTAAAACTCCTGGGTGCCTACTTACTGCTAGGTGGACAGGGGCATTAGGTGATAGGAAAAACGCGCTCAACCATGTCTGTCCCGCCCGGGATTCGAACCCGAAATTCTCGATTGTGAGTCGAGAACGAACCCGACTGTATTTCCCGGACCCGCAATTAAATCACAATACATCGTACATTGTAAAAAAAACATTGCAAAAATATAAGAATTTTACAACTGTAAAAATATAACAGTTGTTCAATTTCTCCCGTGTGGCTGCTTAGACAAAACAGTACGAATATGTTGCAACGACGCAGACTCCTGATTCACGAAGCTGGTAGTGTCAAAGTGGTCAAGAAACACGCACTGCTAAAACAGTCACGAAACATAGGCTGCCAAACAGTCACGAAACACAGGCTGCCAAACAGTCACGAAACACAGGCTGCCAAACAGTCACGAAACACAAGCTGCCAAACAGTCACGAAACACAGGCTGCCAAACAGTCACGAAACATAGGCTGCCAAACAGTCACGAAACACAGGCTGCCAAACAGTCACGAAACACAAGCTGCCAAACAGTCACGAAACACAGGCTGCCAAACAGTCACGAAACCCGTACTGTTAAACACCTCCATTGTCCACGGTGTCCTTCGTAATAACCCATTATCACTTCCCACACCTCTTTCAGTAGGCGCGCACACCGGAGGTGGTATAGTGTGCTCTCTGTGCTGTTTCCTGGACGGAATTCATGCATGCCTTCCTTCAAATTGTCCCGGTGATTCACAGACAGGCGTCTCATATCAGCTAATGGCATTGTTTAAGCTTCGCCCTTAAGGTGTAGGGCCCTAAGGTCGATAACTGTGGATACACGTGGTCCTCCTCTACCTGCGGATGCCGCTCGTGGTCATTTAAGCATGGCGCGCGCTCACCCAAGCTTGTCCGATTCCTCTCATTCATTTCTAACTCAGCCGCGCAATGTTAACTTGTACACTAAAAAAGTCTTAAAATTATCAAAATGCTTGGACATTTTCGATATAAACAGTGCCAGTACCTCATTGCTTGCTACATTTGCATTAGTCATGCGAATATGTATATAGACATTACAAGTTAAGAAAGTCAGAAGCATGTTGTTGAGACAAGTCAAGGTGAGTCACTACCCAGACACCACAGTCTAAAGGACTGTTGCCATAGGTAGGGAAAAATTCCCATACAGCGTATATAATGTATCGGTATTTGCCATCTTTTAAAAGAGAACAGTTATTAATATATTATAATTTAATTTAATATTTTACGGAGAGGAAAATAAATATTTTATTTAGTCTATATAGATCCAAGAACATGTTTAAAGAAAGACTAACTTATTCTTATTTATACAATTCTAATATAATTTGATTTACTATTATTATGAATATATATGTGTGTATATATAGTTATATGCTGCTCATATCCATCACGTGGTCGAGAAGGCTGCAGATCGTGCATAACCATTATAAAATGACGGTATTGTGTCGCCCTTTAAGCATTTATTTGCATATATTTACTTCATGTTTCGCACCTGTAAATCGATGAATCAAGACGATAGAATCTGGGGAAATTTACTCATTTAACAACAAATGTTTTGTCTTCTGTGTATAACAATTAAAAGAGGTTCCCGTTATTAATCTTAGCATTTGCTCATGGTTTAGAGTATCCATATTTTTGCTTTATTTGAAGCCCGTTGGTTTTGAGTACACAGGAATCAACTTAGGAATAATTATACATGTAAACCCTGTTTATAAGAACCATACGGCAATGGCATGTTATACCTCATTATTCAATTCCATGGTTGACATTTCTAAATCATTTCGCTCTCCCTTATGTATCCAATAACAATACACACATTTTCCAGTATAAGAAAACAAGAAACTTTGACATGACAAAAGTCGGGCGGAGAATTGAAGGGATTTCAGGGGAAAAATTGAGGTGTGGCGGGGGAATTTAGGGAGGTTGTGGAGGCGGCCGACGGCCTCTGGCAACCCCAGTTGGCTCTAACATGGCTGTGTGAGGTGAATGATGCTCGTGCTCGCGGAAATACTGGTGATTTGCCCTCTCAGGGAAGGCTAATAATGTCGAGACTTGCGGATTATTTTGCCATCGTTGGATACGACCACACGAAAGACCGTAAGGGCCGAGTTTTGTGGTGAGACGGGCTGTAAGGGGAGGAAAGGTTGGTTGGTGTGTGGGGGAGGGAAGAGACAGACAGAGAGGGTTGGGCTGCCAAGGGTTGACGGGGGTGTTCGGACCTGTCAACCAGGCTCACCTCCCCCCCCCCCCACACACATATACATACACTAGGTCAGGTTCATGTCCCACAGTGCCACGCCTTCCACACCCACACATACACCCACATACACCCACAGGGGGGTAAGGTTCAGGGGTGTAGGGATGGGGTGTGACTTAGGTGGGAACAGGTTTGTGGGGGTTGTCCTGGCTAGACTGGCCCTTCACGCAACCTGGGGTCTACCTGTTGGTCTGGCACTGGGGTCTGTCCTGTTGGTCTGGCACTGGGGTCTGTCCTGTTGGTCTGGCCCTGGGGTCTGGTCCTGTTGGTCTGGCACTAGGGTATGTCCTGTTGGTCTGGCACTGGGGTGTGTCCTGTTGGTCTGGCACTGGGGTCTGTCCTGTTGGTCTGGCACTGGGGTCTGTCCTGTTGGTCTGGCACTGGGGTCTGTCCTGTTGGTCTGGCACTGGGGTCTGTCCTGTTGGTCTGGCACTGGGGTCTGTCCTGTTGGTCTGGCACTGGGGTCTGGTCCTGTTGGTTTGGCACTGGGGTCTGTCCTGTTGGTCTGGCACTGGGGTCTGTCATGTTGGTCTGGCACTGGGGTCTGTCCTGTTGGTCTGGCACTGGGGTCTGGTCCTGTTGGTCTGGCACTGGGGTCTGTCCTGTTGGTCTGGCACTGGGGTCTGTCCTGTTGGTCTGGCACTGGGGTCTGTCCTGTTGGTCTGGCACTGGGGTCTGTCCTGTTGGTCTGGCACTGGGGTCTGTCCTGTTGGTCTGGCACTGGGGTCTGTCCTGTTGGTCTGGCACTGGGGTTTGTCCTGTTGGTCTGGTACTGGGGTCTGTCCTGTTGGTCTGGCACTGGGGTCTACCTGTTGGTCTGGCACTGGGGTCTGTCCTGTTTGTCTGGCACTGGGGTCTGTCCTGTTGGTCTGGCACTGGGGTATGTCCTGTTGGTCTGGCACTGGGGTCTGTCCTGTTGGTCTGGCACTGGGGTCTGTCCTGTTGGTCTGGCACTGGGGTCTGTCCTGTTGGTCTGGCACTGGGGTCTGTCCTGTTGGTCTGGCACTGGGGTCTGTCCTGTTGGTCTGGCACTGGGGTCTACCTGTTGGTCTGGCACTGGGGTCTGTCCTGTTGGTCTGGCACTGGGGTCTGTCCTGTTGGTCTGGCACTGGGGTCTGTCCTGTTGGTCTGGCACTGGGGTCTGGTCCTGTTGGTCTGGCACTGGGGTCTGGTCCTGTTGGTCTGGCACTGGGGTCTGTCCTGTTGGTCTGGCACTGGGGTCTGTCCTGTTGGTCTGGCACTGGGGTCTGTCCTGTTGGTCTGGCACTGGGGTCTACCTGTTGGTCTGGCACTGGGGGTCTGTCCTGTTGGTCTGGCACTGGGGGTCTGCCCTGTTGGTCTGGCACTGGGGTCCTGTTGGTCTGGCACTGGGGGTCTGTCCTGTTGGTCTGGCACTGGGGGTCTGCCCTGTTGGTCTGGCACTGGGGTCTGCCCTGTTGGTCTGGCACTGGGGTCTACCTGTTGGTCTGGCACTGGGGGTCTGTCCTGTTGGTCTGGCACTGGGGTCGACCCCTGTTGACCCAGCCCCTGGGGATCTACCCCTGTTGACCCGGCCCCTGGGGATCTACCCCTGTTGACCCGGCCCCTGGGGATCTACCCCTGTTGACCCGGCCCCTGGGGATCTACCCCTGTTGACCCGGCCCCTGGGGATCTACCCCTGTTGACCCGGCCCCTGGGGATCTACCCCTGTTGACCCGGCCCCTGGGGATCTACCCCTGTTGACCCGGCCCCTGGGGATCTACCCCTGTTGACCCGGCCCCTGGGGATCTACCCCTGTTGACCCGGCCCCTGGGGGTCTACCCCTGTTGACCCGGCCCCTGGGGGTCTACCCCTGTTGACCCGGCTCCTGGGGGTCTACCCCTGTTGACCCGGCTCCTGGGGATCTACCTCTGTTGACCCGCCCCCTGGGGGATCTAAGTCTGTTGACCCGGCCCCTGGGGATTTACCTCTGTTGACCCGGCCCCTGGGGGATCTAAGTCTGTTGACCCGGCCCCTGGGGATTTACCTCTGTTGACCTGGCCCCTGGGGATCTACCTCTGTTGACCCGGCCCCTGGGGATCTACCTCTGTTGACCCGGCCCCTGGGGTCTACCCTTGTTAATTTAAAAGATGAACTGTGATATTTCAAATGACGTTAAATTACTAAAGATATTCTGGAAAATTAAATAATCTTTACTGAAGTTAGTATATATATAAGACGTACTGTATAAGAATTTATTATCTGCAAAAGTTGTAAAACAGTACAGTACAGCATGTAGGTATTTATGATTTAAATTTGCTTAGTATCAGAATACATACTGTACCTGAATTTACCTGAGGGGCACCAACACTAGTGGCTTCAATGAGGACAGGATGCCAGCAACTTGTCAAAGATTCTCCCATTTTCCCTGATCTTTTCTAGTTGCATTTTAAAATTTAATGGAGATTTGGCATTTACGACTTCGACGGGTAGGTAGTTTCATGCGTTTATAACCTTTTGGGCGAAAAAGCATCTGCTGTTTTCAGTCCTGCTTATAATATAAGCAGATGTGACATCTTAACACTTTCACTAGCATTGTTAAATTAGCTGTCTAGTCAGTTTGGTTCTAGCCTTAAATTAAAAGTTTTTGTTCAGTTAAATGTCCCTGTGATGTTCTTCATGGATCTGTATTGTACAGTTTCAAAGGTTTTAATTCTTCAGTTTAGAGTGATCAGTCAAGAATGAATCTGATTTTGTGAATGTAGAAAGTCCCATGTATGTTGTTTTCAGTCAGATTCTTGAAGATGTTGCCTCATTTTAGTCATGCACTCGGGCAACGTTGTCAATGAAATCTCATTATAAACAGGAAACGTTTGTTCCCATACATTTGGACAGAAAATCTGCTATCTGTTGCGATATTTTGTTTGTTTTGAATTCAGAAAACATAACTGAAATGTTATATATAATTTTCATAGTTTCTCTGTTACTTACATATTGCTAGTTTCAAGATTTTTTTTTGGTCTGAAGACTTGAGGCCATCTGGATTTTGGTGACTTTACCCAGCATCTTGGACTTAGGCCAGGATTTCCTGATGATTTTAAAATCATATAAAAATGCATAAGCCAAGTTGAAGTTATTTTGAGTTACAACGCTACAAGGTGTCCCAATTTAGGGCGACTTGTATTTAATAAAACGACCTTTAATTGGGGTTTATAAGAGAAAAGTGGGTGATGGCATCTCAGGGCCAAGGAACAAGTGCCATGACATTAGAAGTGAAAGTGCACGTAATAAGGTAGTCGTAGAAAAGAGAAATATTAACCCAGAATGCATGTGTGTGTGTGTGTGTGTGTGTGTGTGTGTGTGTGTGTGTGTGTGTGTGGAGGAGTTAGCACAAATGAACCATAATAACCAAAAGGTGCAGTGTTGTTACTTTTTACATAGAAAAGCTGGAGTTTATCTTCTACCTTCTCGTCCTCTATTCACTAATTAAGCTTCTCTTTGCAATAATATAAAGCCCATTAAATAAGGAACTCCAGCATTAAAGGCATATTTAATAAAACCAACATTTACTAAACATAATTTATTATATACAGTAATAAGTTTTTAAATATGCCAGGTTTTGGTGCCTTATTGTAGTGCACTTATAGGACATAGTGTTCTAAGTTCTAGCCAATCAATCTACATTAGAAAAATTAGGAATGCATCCATGTTGTAAGTAGTATTATCTCTGTGCTGTACTAAATTTAACATGATTCCCACCATAAGTACAGCATTTCGGGCAGGTCTGTAGTTAACATGATGTATTATAGAAGTAATACATTAGATTTGGAGAGTAACAATTATATATGCCAGTACTGTACTGTAGTACTGCAGGAATGTTTAATAGATGTAAACAAAGAACACCACTTAATAAAAGATATAAATAAATTATAAAATGAAAATTTTGATGGCTTCAAATAACTGAAAGCGTCTATAATGTAAATTGATTGGAACTGTAATGCTTTTATTTCCAAATATCGCTATTAATTTTGGTGCTGATTTCAGGCAACTTGTCTAGGGTATTGTTTATTAACAGTTACAGAAGTATGTTGTGCTGGCATAATAATATTTGTTCAATAATTTAATAATACTTTATATATCACTCGCATAATCAGTACTATGTTTAAAATATTGATACATTTTAAACTACTACATTATTATACAGTAATTGCATTGATAATGAATCTAATTATGTTCACTCATCCAATTGGACTAGTCAGTAGGCCTACAGTAATGGATTTGCTTTTTTGCATGGATGGTGTTAGACCCCTGAAGATCTAGGTGTTTAGAGACTGGTCTTACAAGTGCTCTACGGTATTAACAGTTATGGCGCATAATCTAATGTATTCATAACACTATATTAAAGGTCTCTGAGATCAGCTCTATCCGTGTTAGTCCTGAAGCCCTTTGCTTTTCTTATAAGAGTTTACTTTGTTTTAGAATGATTTTCAGTGCTCTGCACTGATCTTTATCAAGTGCCTTTTTGCTATTAAATATTTTGGAGTTTTCTTTGTAACAAATGATAACATGCATCTTTCTGCATATTTGGCCAAAGAAATAACATATAAACAATGATTTGATTTTCATATACAGTACTGTTATATATATAAAAAACTGTACTTCCCTTTTTGTAGCACAAGGTGGCCTTGGTTAACCTGTGAAAGCAAGAAGCAGTTACCTTAGTGTATATGTAGTACAGTTGTAATAAGACCTTCATAGTATTGTAACTATGCTTTTAAGAACTGAATAAATTTGCACTACTGTACTAGCAGTGCACAGGGTATTACGGCATTGAAATGATAGGGAGGTATAATTTTGACCATAATGTACATACAGTAGTAATATTAGTGCTGGCAAACTTCCCTTAAAAAAAATTTGACTCCTGTGTGCTAGCACCAGGGTTATCATATTCACTCCAAACATATACCACTTACGGGCTACTCATGCCCGTGCCACCTCTTGGGTGGCTTAATCTTGATCAGTCATGAATCAATCACCAGGGTGTCCAGGGTGTGGGCGCTGGTGGCTGAGTGGACAGCATGCTGGATACGTAGTCCTGTGGACCGGGGTTCGATTCCCAGTGCCTGCGGAAACAAATGGGCAGAGTTTCTTTTACCATGATGCACCTGTTACCTAGCAGTAAATAGGTACCTGGGAGTTAGACAGCTGTTATGGGCTGCTTCCTGGAGGGTGTGTGTGTGTGGGGGGGTGGGGGGGGTGGAGGAAGGTTGATTGACAGTTGAGAGGCAGGCCGAAAGAGCCAGAGCTCAACCCCCGCAAGCACAAGTAGGTGAATACAAGAAAGCACCATAATTTTTGGAATTTCTAATTGAATATTACAAAACATCCATTTTGGTTTTACTTAATAGAAAGTTTTTCTTTCGATTCCAACCACATGTTTTCCAGTAAACTTCATACTGTGTAGTGTGTACTCCTGCTCAAATGGGTTAATTAGGACTGATCCGTTCCATTCCATCCCAATTCAATTGAATCCATTTCCAATTTTTTATTTTTTTTTATAATACTGTGTGTGCATTAATTCTTATTTTAACATACTGTATATGAAAAACAATGCAATAAAACTGTAGAATCAACTGCAGTATAAACATGATATGCACTATTATTATAAATAAATTTTTACTTAATTTTGAAGTTAAACTTCACTTTCCCTGTGGCCCTTCAGTAGCTAAGTGAGGTGTCCCTGATCTAAAGAAATTTGTATACACTTTGAACAATTATCATACAACAGATTGCATCAGAAATAATACCGATAATAAAAGCTGTATCTCTTCACTAGACACCAAGTTTCATCATTAACTCCTGTTTTCAGACGCAGTTAACGGTACTGTATTTCTGGGAGGGGATCCCTAATCAGTTTCCCGAGCTTAGTTTTAGTGCCCCATATGGTAGAGTACAGTACTTGAAAATACAGAACACCACCAGTGTAGCTCTCATCCTGTAACTAAAGTCCAGTAATTATGGTACACTTAAGTAATTACGTAAAAAGATCTGGATGGAAGTTCCAGCACGTGTTGTACAAACATACTCAATGTGGAGTTGATCTGCAAAGATCACAAGCTTATGAGAGCCTTCCAGATTATGCAACACTTTAAATACTGTACCATCATTAATTGTTTGCCAAATTTCTACACGATTCGTGCAAGAAAGTATTCTCACAGCAAATAATTCACTTACCTGGGTGTGGGTAGCATTGTTGCCCCAAATATTGAAGTAACCACTATACTTTGGTACAGTAATTGCATTTGGGTAATTACTTTTAACTGTCTCCTTCTTTAGTAATTATACCTGTTGTGCTCTTCAAAAAAGCAGCATATCAGGCAAGCAGGACAATTCAGCCATATAAAAAGCTTTATTTCTTATATTATGTGCCCCAAAATTTCTGTTTTTATGTTTTTGGTCTGGTTTGGTTTGTTTTTAGTACAGCCATAAATACTGTACCCCATTTATGGTATTGTGCCTATGGGAAATATGGGTTAGTTATGAATGGTTCACTAATAATTGCCTTTTTGGCTGTTATCTTCCATCCTTGGTCTCCTTTTTGGTTTTGTTTTATCCACCTGGAACATCTTTGAGTTCCTCAAACACCTTGTTTTTTCATTTCCCTAACCACATGATCTTGTAAGGTTTTCTTCCTATGGTACTGAGGAGGAGTTTGGGCAAGTCGTTTGATTTTGTCACTACAGAATATTTTAACAATGCAGAAGTTGTTAAACACATTGGACATAACCTTACTGAAAACAACATACAAGCCAAAAACACTCAACCACCACCTAATTAAGACTGAAAGGAATAACGCTTAATGGGCCAGCTAGAGGGTTAGGGCCTGTGTAAAAATATCCCTGCCAAAATAAACAAAAGTCAGTTTATTACGAAGGTAAAGGTCACATTTGAGTGGAAAATGTGCTGCCTCAATAAGGTGACATCATTGTCCAATTCGGGTATTTGTTCCAATAACCTGTAAATACACGGTAATTAAAAATAAATAAAAAACCGAGAGAGAGAAAATTAGGTTGGCAAATCAGGGTAGTGCTTGATTAATAGGGTTTGATTAATTAATGATTAATAGTATGCAAAAATGATCAGTACAGAAATATTTGATTATGTAAAGAGACAGGATTTTAAATATGGATAGATATTAAAAATGAAATCACACTTAATATATGCACATAGTTCAAGACTACTGTGCACAAATTCATTTTATAGGCAAATTCTAAATGCTGAACTGTAGCCTGCACATATCCAAGCCTTTCATAGCATTTGCCTACATCAATATACATATACAGTATATAGTAGTGATTGTATTTAGTTTTTATGTACTTTTACCAATTCTATATTAATAAAGAAATGTTTTTAATAGGAATTGAGGGTAATGCACTCTATTTTTGCAGGCAATGGAATTGGTAGCGGAAAAATTATCCAGCGGTTCCCTGAGCGGGACTGGCCAGATACCCCATTTATTGAGGGCCTGGAACTGGTAAGTTTATGATAAGACTAACTTTCAGGCATAGCATAACATTCATGATCAAGAAAAATAGTTTACATAATACACAGTAGCACTGTACTATAGTATCAGTAATGTTCTTAGACTATGAAGCAACTGGTGACTGAAGAGCTCTGGAATTTTTTTGTGAAATAAAATTGGAATAATGTAGTTTGCAATAAAGAAGAGATTGTATGGTAGTAAAGTAAATTTCTGAGTTATCTAAGCCAATAGGGAGTACTGAAGAAAACTATCTACCTTGAGGGACACTTAAGGTATGTAGCAAATAAATTTTAAGCATTTTCAGGCTTTCATTGATAACACTCAAACCACCAAGAGTGTCCTTTGAAAACAAGCAGTTGGCCTGTGTGGGTGAACATCTTGCCAGCCACTGGGTGGCAGTACCCTGGGTGGAGCCGGTGGGCCGAGCGGACAGCACATTGGACTTGTGATCCTGTGGTCCCAGGTTCGATCCCAGGCGCCGGCGAGAAACAATGGGCAGAGTTTCTTTTACCCTATGCCCCTGTTACCTAGCAGTAAAATAGGTACCTGGGTGTTAGTCAGCTGTCACGGGCTGCTTCCTGGGGGTGGAGGCCTGGTGGAGGACCGGGCCGCGGGGACACTAAAGCCCCGAAATCATCTCAAGATAACCTCAAGATAACCCTTCACACAACAAGGCTTGTTGCGAGTCTTCTCACATTCTTCTGGACTGTCATACAGACACTGTGTGTCTGCCCAACCCGGGTTGGGCAGACACACAGGGACCAAAAGATTTGTTTTTGTGTTTAATGTGCCCAGAGTATTGTGATGAATTTGGGTATTTAATGTCAAGTTTTTGCCTTTTCAAGTGGAATAATAACAAAGTATTGCTTTTGGTAAACCTATGATGCCTGTTCTGAGATGGAGGGTATGGCCACATTTCCTTAAATATTAATTGAATAAGGTTCCCTGTTCCTATGACTTAATTTAAAATCTCTACCAAAAAAAAAAAAAAAAAAAAATACCAGCATTGATTGTAATGAAATGCTGCTATTTTGCTGAGATAACAACCCCTCCCCCCTTATTGAGTCACATCATCCATAGGAGTCATGCCCTACCAGGGACGAGAGCCAGAACCTGTACCCCTCAAAGAGGGGTACAAAAGCCCGGCTAATTACCCGCAGGAAACAGAGAAAGTGCGAACGAGTTACCCAGGAGCGCGCAAAAGCGATAAAATGTGTTCACTCTTTTCACTCTGGTCACCTCAATATTCGTCCTAGGTCTTTCATTTTGGTATCAATGGGTTCATAATAGAATTCTCTAGAGGAACATTAGCATATAAAATAAAAAACCTGGTCACACTCCACCCGCCGACGAGTTGAAGACCGGCCACGCGTTAACCGCGAGTGAGCGCCCAGACGCCTTCCAGCTACACTCCCAATTCCTGCCCACAAATGTTTAGTATTTAGTATTTTAGTATATGTAGTATTATAGTTTAGTTTTTTTTGTGTAGTAGTTGTACATCACATAAGCATTGTAGATAGCCATTTGCACAAAATAGATGGTCATTTTCTTCATCCATTTGTGAGTTTTCCTTATGTAGTGATAATATTTGATCATTTGGTCAAAGTGATCAACACTTTTCACGTTTGTATTGTAGTCACAGATTGCATTCAGCTTGTTGACAGTTACCAAACAGTCCCCCAAAAATCGGATAAAAACCTGATTTTTGGCAATTATTTTAGTGGATGATGCAATGCTGCGCCATCCCCGAGATTACCGACAGTAAACGGATGACGCAATGCTGCGTCATGCCCGGGCGAAAGTGTTAAACCGAGGCGCGATTGCCGTGCCACCACGCGCTAGGTCAGCCGTATGCGTATCAACAAACTCGTATCCTGATTCAAATTTTCTGAACAAATCGGGCTCATAACCCAAAAAGTTCATAAACAGGGACGTTCGTAACCCGAGGTATCACTGGAGTACTAGGAAGACTAGGAACTGATAGTACTGTAGCGTCAGTACCGAGTACTAGGAACTGATAGTACAGTACTGTAATGTCGTTATGTGACGGAGTATTGGGAATTTTAGGTTACTTCGAAGGTTATGTGCTGTATGCGGATGGTATTGAAATAAACTATTACAGTACTGTACTGGACTACCAGAAACAAATACCTGGCTATTTTCTTTAAACTGGAATAATACTCAACAGGTGTTTGTGTAGTATATTGTAAAGTACTGCACACCTTAACATTTCAAAGTCTGTGCAAACATTACATTAATTTGGTGAAATTAGATATCTTAGTCTTGGATTGTATCTTTGTTTTTCCTATGAGATCCCTAATTAAATCCAGTCTAGTACTACATAAAAACTGGGAGTCTACTGTACTTATATGCAAAGCTGCATTCAAATATATTGTTTAAGTAGCAAATAGTATTTTTTTATGGATCAAACTTTTTATTTTGTATTTTCCATGATTATTTAAATTGTTAATAAGATATAAAGTATTGTAGTTTTGTCATTAATTTTAAAACTTTTCAGTTCTGTCAGCCACAAGGTTGGGCACTGTCAACCGATCGTCAGGAGCCCAAATATTTTGTCTCGGTGCTGACAGACATAGATGCTAATCGCCACTACTGTGCAGTTCTGTGTTTTAATGAAGCTGTCTCCATCACCCCAAGTAAACCTACTGATGAAGTAAGTCGCCTAGTTTCTAGATATGACATTGATAGTACAGTACCGTAGTACGATCACGGACTTGCTAGCCAGCCACCTTGGGTTAGAGAAAGAGGTAGTGATCAAAACTTCACCCTTCCAAAATATTCCAGTGGAGTATGAAAATAGTGTACAGCAAGTAATTCAAATAAAATTTGAGGTATTCACCAAGCTTCAAATTGTGCTTTGTATTGATTTATGGACTAAATGGCTGTTGAGGGACATCAATGTGTTTGAAGCTTACCTAGAGGAGCTAGGTTGACGCCTCCCTCTCTGCATACCTTTACATGCTTAACCCATGAATATCTAGTTAAGTCCTACATCGTGGTGGACACGACAAAATGTAGTTCACCAAACTTTTCTTTAAAAAAAAAATGGAGATTCAAGTACAGGAGGTAAACACAGATAGAGTGGAGCCTTGTAGGTTAATATATGGGGACTAAAATGGCCTTACCAACACATTTCAATAATGCTAATTATCATTTGGAAAGCTATTACATTGTCCAGGAGCAGCCATTCTTTCATAGGTCTTTGTTTTGTTTCATCTCTGGCTCTCACTGCCACTCTACATCAATTAAAGTTAACAATTAACTTTAGCTTGACTTGCTACCATTATCTGATACATTGTTTTATCACTTTCCCATCGAGCATAACTGGCAATATTCTTTGATTTATCCTTAAAAAAGTGTAAAATTGTGGCACACACTCTGCATGTTTTATGGGTGTGTGACTCCTGAAAGCGGGAAAAGGAGTGTTAAGGCAACAGCACTCGTAATGATTGATAACAGTTTATGTATTTAATGTAATGTACAACATTTGTACAGCTACTTGCTGACTGGTAAAGACAAATTATCAAAAGGCAAGACACCATCCATCAGCATAAACAGATTAAAATCTAGCCCACAAATAAGGAATTGGCCACTTCTTTGGCAACAGTTAAAATCAGCATAGTGGTCTATATCCTTGACTCCTAAAAAAGATACCCAGGTTTAATCACTAGTTAAGACAGAAACAGTTGGGCACATTTTCATTCACCTGATGTTTCTGTCCACCTAGCAGTAAAATAGGTACTGGAATATTGGCAGTTACTACGGGTTGCATCCAGGGGGAAGATTAGTAGTTGATCTGGGGGGGGGAGGGGGGGCACCTCAATAAGCCTTAATATAGGCTTACTGTCCCTGACAACAGGAATTATATTCAGTGGTAAGAAGAGAATAACATGCTATGGTGAGGTAGAAGTATGAGAATATAAACAAATGCTGGGATGCAGAGTGCTAAAATAATGGTCCTACATATTGCTTTTCAAAATACAATACAATACAATACAATACAATTTTATTTAGGTAAGGTACATACATACAATAAATATTTACAAGGATTGTTTAACTTATAGGTATAGCTAGTACATACAATGCCTAAAGCCACTATTACGCAAAGCGTTTCGGGCATGGACATACAGAACACACTTCATATATAATGAAAACAATTGTTGGTGGAGAGAAAATGAGAATAATTAATATACACACAGTTGTACCATTAATTAACCGACTATGTATGGTATATTTTATGCAATGTTAAGCATCTAAGCATCTTGGTTTCTATAATTAAAACCTTACGTTTATATCATTAAAATGATCAGCATCTTTAAAGCTCTCAAAATAATAATTCAAATGTGTGTTCATGGTGAAAAATTTTGCCAATTAATTCCACCTTTAATTTTATACTGGAATTGATCACACGTAATTCTCCTTAGGATACATCTTACATGTATAATCAGTCAGTTTTTTTTATTCCGATGCTAGTTCTAGAGAATTTTCTCATCCAAATAAATTACTCATTTTAAATTAAGCTTGTTATAAAATATTATGGCAAACACATTCTAACCTAAAAAATAAACTATTATTATTCCGTACAATCTACAGACTAATCACTTATCCTATATAACTGGAGGATATGGCAACAATAAAATATCATCTACCTTATTAAAAAAATAAATGACTTTCAAACCTTAGATTTTATCACAAGCCTGTCACACGGAATGTAGTTCCACATTTTATAATGGTAAATAAAATTTATTTATATACAGATACTGTATATATATATCTTTTTTTTTTTTGCAGGAAGATGATGCCTTGGAGCTGGGCAGTGGAGGCATACGAGGCATGGGTCCGCCAGTCCCTATCATCACACACCACTCAATCATGTACGCCCCAAAGTGCCTCGTCCTCATCTCAACACTTGACTACTTTGAAACGTTTCGAGTGAGTTTGTACCAAGTATCTTATTTAATGGAGCTTTAAGGGAATTTATGGATGAAAGTGAGAGGTGACGATTAAGAATATTGAAATAATAAATAAGAATGATTTTTGCGAATAAAAGTGCAGTTGATAAGCCGCTAGTCTTATTTTGTAAGTGTTAGTCTTTGATAGCTAAATATTGATAACCAAGAATTTGTGTAGACAACAAGAGCAAGTGATGATTTTGTTTATACCATATATAAACCATAAACCGTTTATACCATATCTTTCAGTCAGTTTTGTTTTCAGTGAAAAATGGGAAAATTTTCATTTTCAAAATGGAACCTTATTTGTTAGAGCAAAACATATCTGATCACTGGTTCCCAAAACAGCTTTTGAATGTTAAAGATGAATGAAATATGGATGGAAATTGTGTTACTGTATAACATTATGCTGGAGTTGTGTCCATCCTTTAAATAAGGAGCTTTAGTACATCTGCAGATCACTTTCCAAATAAATATCCTAGTTTAGTTATCAAATAGATAACTAAACAAGTTCTTGCAAGTGCATCCTTAGTTCACATATACCAGTATGTGGGATTTGCTCTTATTTAAAAGTTGAATACTGGGGTACATCCTTTGAGAGTTTATAAATCTTAGTCTTTGTATATTGTATTTGTATGTAACTACTGTATACTGTATGTAAATATAAAATGTATGCATGGAGTGATTCAGAGCTGATTGGTGTAAATAATTCTGTTTTCCAGTTAGGTTGAATACAATATTTAAAGACAGGATTTTTTGTTTAAAATGTACTGTGTATTATTTTCTCATCAGTGTCATGATTCTATAGAATTTAAGAAACTGGTTTACCAATATTGGTGATATTGGCTTATTTTTACAGTTTCAGCATCAGTAAAATATCATTTGATACTTTTTAATTTTTTTCACAGGTAAGTAGTTACAGCATCTGACAAAAAAAAATGTATATTAGTAAAATTAGATTGGTACCTGTCAAAGTATGGTTTTGGTAAAGCTTTAGAAGATATAACAGTGTCATTACCATTTTCTTGTTATTGGCAGAACTGTATGGGGATTGTGTACACGGTGTATATGGAAGGCTTGGGGGTGAGCATGGAGACACTCATTGGCAACATGGTGGGTTATGTCCAAGTGCCGCCGCCTGGAGGACCGCAGGTCAGTCTTCTGCTTACTGCATGTTTGTTTTCTCTTTAACTGATTTATTTATCCAAGGCTCATTATTTTAAATTTACATAATGGGTAAAGGTAGTCTAGGTGTTACTGGATAATGAGTTTATCTTTGGCTTATTGCATGTTATTTTGTTGTTTCTTAATTGATGATTTATTTGAGATCCTTAATTTTAAGCTTAATTTATGGATAAAACTAATCTAAATTTGCTTGCATAACTAGTATCATTTGGATGCCAGTTTCTGGATGCCAAATGATACATCTGTGAATTGTGTTTGTGGATTTAACATCTGTGAACCTAGTATGTTATTGATATGTTATTGTTATGAAATAGGCTAAGGAATGAGTGCCTGCAGGCAAGGTGCTTGGCCAACAAGTCCACCACTGTATCCTGCAGGCCTAGTGCAAACATTAGCAGTGCCAACTGCTGCAACATTGCAACTTCCCCTAACCAACCAGCACAGTGAACTCTAGTTAGAACACAAAAAATAGATTCAAATTATAGATGTTTTGATTTAGAGAAGAAATTGGTAAAAAATATGTTTGAAAATATATTTGCTGATCCTAGTTACCAAATAACATTATAGATGCAGACTTGCAAGAATATTTCAAGCATAGGTTAGATAGTTTTCTCACTTAGGTTAATAAGTTCTCTGCAGATTTCATTATTTGTAGTTCGTATGTTGTTCTAATTGGCCCAAAAAGATAGACACGTTGCGAGTGGTGCTCAAGTAAACTTCCCATGCTGTTATCTAATTGGTCCCAGATGGAATGTTTCTCTGTACTGTATTATTAATAATAGGTGTATAAATGTATCATTGGTGTCGGCCTACTTTTTCAGTATTGGTGTCACATTATTGATAATTTATAGTATCAGTACCACAGAGCTCCATAGGGTTTATATAACAATATTGGTATCAGTCAAAATATTGGTACATCTCTACATCCAGTACCAGTATGCATATAAATGTAGTGAAATTCTCAAACTTCCAGTACTCTTGATGTATTTAGTATTCTAGTCAGATATGATCATGCATGCTTCTCTGCAGGTTCGGTTCAGCATTGGTGCCGGTGACAGACAAGCTCTCCAACCTCCAGCCTCCCCAACTCTCCCAGTCACCACCACCACCGTCCTCAGTCTCTTCAATCAGTTAGGTAAGCCAATTGTTTACTCGTGTTTATGTTTACCCAATTGAGCTGAAATGTTCCTTTGCAGCCAAGCTTGAGCCTCCTGTCCCAGCTATTTGGATAAAATGTCAAGGTATATTTTAGAATTCTTCCAATCCTAAATTTTAGCAATGGCACAAGTGATGTCCGTTGTTCTGGAATAGACAAAGAAAATTCTGCAAGTCCTTTTTTTTTTTTTTACTGGGAAATACATACATGAAGAGAAACTGTTCAGTGGCCTTAAATTAAAAATTTATTCTTTTTGCACTTTAATTTAATAGCATTATTGATAACATTTGTGTATGAAAAGAATCATGTCTTGCATGATTCCTTTCCTGAGGGAGAGAGTAGGATATATTTTTGAGTATGATGCTTAAGTAGTCTATTGGCATTATCACTTAAATTTACAGTAACATGCAGTATTTGGTCTTATTTAGGTGTCACATAATTAGACTTATCAAATTTCTCTTATGTCTTGGATTAAAGTTTCAGCAATAAGCAGTTTGAGGGATTATACAAGGGACAAGGGAGCAGACGTTAAGCATTTTATGATGTAATATACCTTGAGGACATTTGTGGAGAATATACTTTTACCTAAATGTTGAGTACCATATATTAACTGAGGTACTGTATCATCATTTTCCTGCAGGTATCAAGAATGTTCTGGTGCTATTCTGCTCAGCTTTAACCGAACACAAGATTCTCTTTCACAGTCAATCTTACTGCAGACTCACAGAATCTTGCCATGCCCTCAAAGCCCTTCTTTACCCATTCAAGTGAGTGATTTTGGTGCAATATTGCTCTGGGGTTTCATAACTTACATTTGTTGATTTCTAGGATTGCCCGGTGTCCATCAGTCAGAATAGTTTTGCATATACGTAATATCTAGTGTAATTACAAGAAATAATAGCCATTTCAGAAATTAGTGATGCTAATTTATCTGTACAAGACCCTCTTCAACTTTTTTTTATACACTTTATTGCCTTTTGTGTATCTACCTAACATGAGGAATATGGATGTGTAAGGCTGTTTCATTGATCATCATTTTGGAGAGAAAATGGTTTGTGAATTGGTCTGTGTATTCTTAGATGCCTAGTTTCTTCAAAAGGCATTCTTCAGGAGTGCTATTATACAGAATCTCTCTAGAAATTTAGGGGCATTTTTAGGTTCTCATGTACTGGCATGTCAGGAGTAAGAATTACTTGAAATCATTATTGCAGGTACTCACATGTCTACATTCCAATTCTTCCTGCTACACTTGTAGAAGTTCTCTCCACTCCCACACCATTCATTATGGGGGTGCACTCTTCTCTCCAACACGATATTGCTGAACTGGTGAGTGTTTTTATTAGTTTGATGCTGTGCTTTATTGCTCGGTAAATATATACCTGGTATTAGAAAACGTTTTATATGTTGTTTATGCAATCACTTTATCACCTTGTTGTAATTACCAAAAAAGAAGCTTAAAGCTTAAAGTAATATTAGAAGATGAGCAGGATAGATTATGAAGTTGAGTGCTTGCGTGGATCACACATGATTTACCATTGTTGGGGACAGAATCCTAGTAGGTCTGTTGACATCCACCTAAGTTCTCCTTTTCCATGATGCAACCCATAACAGTTGCCTATCTCTTGGGTACCCATTTACAGCTAGGTGAACATGCATCATGTGTAAGGAAATGTGCCCAAAAGTCTTGTCCTGCATGGGAATTATACCAGAGATCATTTGATTGTGAGCTGTCTTTTTTGTATAACTAATGTATGTTACTGGAGAGAAGTGAACGAGTTACACAGACGTGAGGAAGAATGGAGCAGAAAAAAGGAGGCAAGAATATTGTTAGGGGGACAGGTAGGTATGAGACACATTTGATAGACAATCCGCGGTCTGTGTCCTTGGCTCACAACTGAGGATCCTGGGTTCAGTCCTTGGACAGGACACAGACAGTTGGGTGTATTTCATTTTACCTGATGCTTATATTCATCTAGCAGTAAATAGGTACTCGGGAGTTGGGTAACTATTGAGGGCAGCATATTGGGAAAGATTATCTATAGTTGGCCTAGGAGAACCTCAATAAGCCTTAGAGGCTTTCTGTCCCCAACTATGGGAAACATGAACTGAACCATCTTTTCATCTGACATGTTATGCACATTTTATGTTTCCTTAAAAAAATATAAAATATAAATAGTGTACTGTAATTTAAATTAATGTGAAAAGGTGTGTGTTTATTCATATTCTTGTTACTTAATGTGTTATATCCATTGTTATTGAAACATAATGTGAGGAGCTTGACATGTGTATTTTAAGCTAGATGTTAAGCATGTACCAGCAGAAGCATTGAGTGTCATTGTTATTATGCCACCACCTTATCACTTATCACTTTTCATATACACATCCTCAGAAGATGTTTTTTCCTATGTTCCTTTTTAACCTGCAGATGGATGTCATTGTGGCAGACCTGGATGGAGGAGCAATTCGTGTTCCAGAAAGCTTGACTTTTTCTCTTCTTCCAGAACCTTTCTGGTCCCAAACACATGCTGCTCTCTCTAGGGTGAGTAAATAATACTGGACTATTTTGACTTCTGGCCAGAGAGCTTTAATTGGGAACTGATCCCTAACTGTTCACTCAACAGTATTTGAGAATCTAAGATTAATTGATCATTAGGTCATGTTCCAGGAAAACTGGTCGAGTAAGCTGTGAGAAGAGAAAGTTTTAAGCCTGCTAACAGGAGTCAGAAGTTATCAGATACTGTACCCACCTGTGAAAAAAAAGAGGAATTATTGATTTTAAGAATATTGTGTTTAAATTTATATTTAGTTTGTGTAGAAATACAGTAGTTCATTTATTATACAATACAGCAAGTCCACTGAATGTAAGGGATTGCCCTGGGAAAGCATTGCTGAGCAACCTGTCCTCACACCTAATATAAATGCAGTTTTGATGCTGTTGACTCCAGATTAAAAATTCAGGTACTGTAGTGAAATTAATAGAATCGTAATATTCCTCAGAATAACAATGTAACAGTGGCAAGAATGAAATAGTTTTGTTAGGGTAAATCTGTACTTGTTTGAGAAGTGGAAATTTAAGAATAATGTAAAGGGAGGAAATTATGGAAATGTTACTAGATGTAAAGGTTCAGATATAATAATTATTATTAAATATAATGTACATTGAAAACTTACTGTCATGTACACAATTAGAATGAATGAATATACAGGTATATCTAAAATCTTAGAATTAATGAATAAACAACTTAAAATAATTTTGATGAGAATTTTTGAAAGCAGCTTATTCGAGCATGTATATCAACATTTATTAGAAATGAAAGAAATGAAAGAAATCCAAGTAGTACAGGGAGTCGGTTATCCTACTAGATATCTTATAAAATATCTTGCAAGTAAAATATCTTGCAAGCTCACTGGGTTGTTTTAACAACTTCTCAGCCAAAAGTCTCCACCTTCATCCTGTCTCATGGCTTCCTTCTCACTAAAGTTGTGGAGTGAGTGGAGAATGGTGAGGTGACATGAGGCTACAGTACAGTACCTTCTTATATTCTAATGTAAACAATGAAGTGTACCGTAGCTCTTGAATACTCTTTATTTTCAGTTACCTATACAGCTCATAAGATGTGTAACTATAATACATTTAATAATGAAAATGCAATTAATTCTTGGAAAAAAGGAAAAAATACTGATCATTACATTAAGCATCAGTAGCTTGGTAAGTTAGGTGGGTTATGTTGGTTTCAATGCTTGTGGTAAGGGGAAAAACCATTTGGAATTTCAATCCGTATCAAATCATCAGAACAAGCTGTGCTGAGACACCTCATTGTTTACATTTTCCAGCTCCTCTCTCGATAAAATATAATTCAACGTTTTTGTATTAGTTACTCCCACCACTCCTCATTCACAAATAGACAATTGAACTGTATAAAAGTAGATTTAACCACTTGATGTAAATGAGGGAAAACATTACCTTTTATTTCTTCATGGTGAAAGCCGACGCTGCAAAATTTTTAGAAGGTACTGTATTATGATGCACAAATGTAATCCAAAGTGTGTGTAATAAATGCAAAATTTCAGCCAAATTTTGGTGCCAAATGCCTGCCACATGCTAAAATAAGATTCATGTAGACTTGTTGAATCTTTCATATGTTTTTCAGCATATTGTACAGTTTATGCATCATGTGTTAATGCAATTTTTTTTTGTCTTGTTACAGGTATTGCACCCTGATCTCAACTCTGCAGACAATGCTTTTCCCTCCAGCAGTGGCATTAGAGCTTCTCCGCACATCATGATTGACAAGGAAATTAGAGCAATTTTTATGCGAATGTTTGCCGAGTTGTTACAAGGCTACCGCTCGTGTCTCACTCTTATCAGAATACACTCAAAACCTGTTATAACATTTCATAAGGTAAGCAGTTGTACATTGAAGGGTTTGTCAATAGCCTTATAAGTAGTGACAGTGAATCAAACAGAAATAATCTCTAAAATTTTTGTACCTAAAAGATCTTGTAATCTTTAAGCAGTAAATTATTGATATAGATCTTGCAAAACAGATTCATAATCCCTTTTAGGGGAAAAACTAGACTAATTACATTTACATGAATAAAACTAAAATGTATAATTTTAAAAATCTGTTTAGTTGGTTTCAGTTCAAATTCACTCTTGTGATCCATTAATAGTAATTTGTCAGAAGTTATGTCAAGATTTAATATATAGTTTTCAGCTGGTATTAATTTCTTGTAAATAATTGACTCGGTTCCTAGCAGAGATGTGTTTCTTGAGACCATGTATCAAACCAGAACATACAGAATCTTGTCAAGGATATTAATGTATGGGAAAAATAGGCTGCCTTTCAAAGCCTAGAATTATTACAATTTTTGTTTTTTTTAAATGCCAAATAGACTCCTTATATATGCTTCATACGGGAATCAAACAAGTCTGCAGTCAGATTGTCTATTGTGTCAAGTATTCAGTTTGAGCCACAAGTTTGATCAGTGGCTCTAGGGGTTGAAAATGACCTAGAGATGCTGCACAACATTTGATCAGTGTTATGATGTGAAATAATTGTTGTTCACATCATTAGAACCCCCATTAAGCTCATTTTCTATATCTGATACAGTGCTGTAAATACAATCTGTGCAAGGGGTCTATAGACAGTAGAATTTTAACACTTGGAAAGCGGTGGTTGTCATTTAATTGTGTTGATTCACAGGGTAATGCGGTTGTCGTCATAAGATGATTTAACCACTGAACTGCGCAACGCACCTCCGGGATCTTATATATTTAGCGTATGATTCAAAACTCCCGCGGCTACATGGGGGGTTCACATCAGCTTCCTCAGGGTTCTTGTAAACAGACGCCATTTACAAAAAAAATCGTGGGCAACATTTTTGGGGAGCCAGTCGGCCGAGTGGACAGCACGCTGGACACGTGATCCTGTGGTCCCGGGTTCAATCCCAGGCGAGAAAAAAGGGGCAGAGTTTCTTTCACCCTGTGCCCCTGTTACCTAGCAGTAAAATAGGTACCTGGGAGTTAGTCAGCTGTCACGGGCTGCTTCCTGGGGGTGGAGGCCTGGTCGAGGACTGGGTGGCGGGGACACTAAAAAGCCCCGAAATCATCTCAAGATAACCTCAAGAAGATAACATTCCCGGGTGTGAGAGCCTCAGTACTGAGTGAGCAACCAAGGTTGGCACACACAGCATGAGCTCACAGCACTGCTGTTCAGCTTGTGACCACAGCATTGCCTAATAATGTCATAATGTATATATAATTGGTATTATTTAGCCATGATAGTATTACAGAAGAGCCTGAGTGAGATGATGACTGTGTACAGTGTTCAAATATCAGTGAATCAATGCTGTTCACAATGTTCACAGCGCTAGCCACAGCACCACAGCATTATTTCGTCCATCTAGGAATCTTCAAACGACTTCTTATGTTACTGTACAAAATAAACCTGTGATCAAATATTCATTTACAGGATTTAGTGACCAGGATTGTGATAATAGCAGGATTGTGGTGATAATTAGTGCTGTTCATAGTATTGTGGGAGGAGAAATTTTGGTGAGGGAGGGAGGGAATCCAGGTAGCGTCACTGTGTGTGTGTGTGGCAGCCACTCTTTGTTATGCTCACCATACTAGCTTAGAGGTTCGCTATAGTGAAGACATATGTTCATGGGTATATACAGTGTGTGTATATATTGTAATAACAGCAACAGGAGGCGATAAGTCACAATAACGTGGCTGAAGAATATTGACCAGATCACACACTAGCAGGTGAAGGGACGACGCCGTTTCGGTCTGTCCTGGACCATTCTCAAGTCGATTGTCCAGGTCCAGGACGCACCGAAACGTCGTCGTCCCTTCACCTTCTAGTGTGTGGTCTGGTAAGCAACAGGAGTATGTTCAGAGGAGTCATTTTGGTGAGGGAGGTGGCGTCGTAATCGTTGCGTTGTCTGCTGGCTACTGTGAGTTTTCTTGTGTAGTGTATAGTGGCCACTGTGTTGTTTGGACACAATACTTGCTTACTTGCATAGTTATGGTGAATAAAACATGTAGATACATATACATAACGTGTGTAAATAGTGTAATAAAAACAAGAACAGTGTGGTGGGAGGAGGAATGTTGGTGAGTAAGGTGTAAGCTAGGTGTTGGAGGAGTGAGGGAGAGCTGGCTGGGTGTGAGCTCACACTCGCAGAGTTCTTAGTGTGTTGATGGAGAATGGATATTAGTGTTTAAATATGTTGTAAATATTCATAAATAACCATGAAACATTGGATATATGTGCAATATATGTGGACACATTTGAGACACACATAAAACAGTGAAGTGTCCCAATGCCTTATGCCTAGGCATAAGGCATTGGGACAGTACGGATGTTCCACAATCGACTTGAGAATGGTCCAGGATGGACTGAAACGTCGTCGTCCCTTCACTGTGTGGTTTGGTCAATTGAACCATTATCGTGTGTTACGTGTACTAGGAGCCTGCTGTCATCTATGGGTGGCACATTATTGGCCTATGCCTTTAATTCAATTTATGCTCTGTCATATGGTGCCGATTAGGCCATGTGTCATTGCCCAGAGCCTAACACCATTGTGTACAGTATTATGTTTATATGGTTTTTCACTACTCTATATGGTTGTAGTGAAGTATACCAGGTAAACCAATCATTAATTGGATCATTATCATGTGGTATGTGAATTGTGTAATTTATCAAGTTATTCAACACACACAGACTTTTAAATAAAGAGAAACACACAATAAATAATCAGTGAAACATCCAAGGAGAACACAGGTGTTGTCTCGCATACCTCAGTCGAACCTGGCCCCAAGCTGGGTTCGGGAAGTAGAAGCCTTTTTAGGTATGTTCCAGGTATGCTCTGTGTCAGCTTCTGACACCGAGTCTGGTATCGTATATTGACTGATGCCAGACCACATAACCACTGCGCAACCTTTCAGTGCCTCCACTCGGCAAAATGATAAATATTCACATATTTTCATGCTTTTCTTACATTTTGCAAACAAATTAATCATGCTATAATGATTTTTATTTTATTTTTATTTTATATTTTTTATACATAAGGAGGAATGACCATTTTTCTATAGCCCCACTGTCCATGAGTTAAGGCTTAAGTGGCATACCACCATTAACCACAAGGCATTCTAGAAGTCGTGCTATTTTTTTTTTGGAATTAGGCTATATTTTAATGTTTTCATCACCGTGATTTGAAAGGAAAATGGTGGAGTTTGGAAACATTTTGACATTAACTTTACCTGAATATTTATAAAAACAAAAATATGTCCTTAACAATTGCACTATGAAGGTTTTGCCAAAAACAGGTGCGCAGTGCAGTGGTTAAACATGTGTAATATTTCCTCTATAAATTTGAGGTTATTAACAATACTGTACTGTAAAATATAGTTTATTCTTTTTAAATGAAAAGGTCTGTTGTAATTGTTTTTCTTGATTTTGTTTTGTATGTAAAGACTAGAGATGAGACTAAAAAAATTGTGTAGTATTTTCACTTCATCCATTCATTGTACAAGGAGGTTGTATTTAAGAGAGACTCGGTACATGCAGATTATCTTTGGAAATAAGCGTGAATAGTACAGTTCAGTAATTCATTATTACTTTAAGCATTTTTTTATGGTTGCAATGGTTAATTAAATAATTTGGGTCATGTGAAAGCCTTTGAAAATTAATTAAGAGAGTTATGCTTTGGTTTTCATTTTGAGTTTCTCTGTTTAACTTCTTGGTATCAATGACTTTTTTTAAGCAAAAGTTGTTTCAGTACTGGTATTTGCCGCAGGTAGAAGTGGACCCTATTATCCACCACACAGCCTGGAATCATTGATGCTTATTTTGTGTATTTTAGAAGTGTATTGTACTCTAGATGACTTGGATGTGTTAATATACTGAACATGGTATTATTTGCCACAAATTTGACGTGTAAAATGTTTCAGGCATCCTTCCTAGGCAACAGAGGGATGGTAGACAACGATTTTGTAGGGAAGGTTTTGGACTGCATGTTCTTCACCACTTTTGTATCGGAGAGAGGACCACCGTGGCGCGTGTGTGATTTGTGGGATGATCTCTACTCGGGTATCGGGGACCAATTGCGCCTGGAACAACACGATAGTCGAATGCTTCTAGTCCATATTCAGGTATGAAGATGTCTTGTCATTTGTAGGATAATCTATTATTGTTTGTGTAATATTTTTTTTTTTTTTTTTTTATGAATTCCTGTTGTTCATCTTCAAGGTTTGCATGTATCTAAGAAATCCTCAAAATCTTGAAGAATTAATCATATACTATTCAGGCTTAAATGTGGGATGAATTCCAAATTTGCTCTGGAATATTTCTTGTGTACATTATCATTGTTGTTTTCAGCATGCTGATCTCCCTTCCCACCATGCTCACCCTTTCTGCTTCACTTATGGCTTCACTCTCTCTCTTCCTGGATGTACATGAATTAAATCTGTCCATAAAGGCTTCATTATTACTCTTTGTATGGATTGTATTTCATTAAGCAGGTATAAGGGATGTTTATTAATTCTTCACATATTATAAATGCTGAAAAAGTCTTCATATAGGCCTGTATCTTGGCAATATTTATATATAACCAGATATAGTATAATAGTACAGTAATACATTTTTAAGTGGTTGTTCAGATACACTGGTAAATACAAGAGAGCTAATGGGGAGGCAGTAGTATAGTGACCTTTCTTGGTGGTGTCACGTGTGTGTCCACCACCAACACTAACATCCCTGCACACAACTAATGTGTAATAAGAGTACTGCTTATTTCTTGTCTTGATTTCTTCTATTTTTGCCTTCATTTATAATGAAAGTTTTCCTGGAGAGGGTCAGAGTATAAATATTCATGGCACAAATGAAGAGGAGATCCATGCTTGCATTTTGTTACATGTTTAGGTGACTTAACTTGGCCTACAACTGACTGCTACACTATTTTTCTTGAAGTATTTCATGTTTAGAAAGGAATTATGTACCTTATTTCTTTATATTTTTCTTTACAGTATTTATAATAAAAAAATGCTTGCTTTAAATAACATCAAAATACTGTACAGTATTTCAAAATGACTTGGCAGTACTGCACCACTACATTCTGACTATATATGTGGAATATGGAAGAGGTACAATACAATGTTTATAGTGTCATACATGTGGAACAGCTGACTGGGGATAATGTTATGACCTTGAGTGGCAGTTGTGGCACAGTTGCTGCCTAGCATTTGGGTCCTGGTAACAAGGCTTCTCATCTGATTATTTTGCTAATATTGAATTTGTAATATACTTTCTATTTGCTTAAACATGTAACATCTTTGTAGAGTGACAGTATTGTAACCAATGATGTTGATCCAAGTTGCAAATATTGAGGATGTTAGAAAACTCAACATGAGCAAAGATGCCACTGAACATCATAAGTCGTAAAGAAATAAAGTAACGATACTGGAATAAAAGTGTGTTCAATGAAAATATAATTCTAAATAACTCAATGTTGCTTGTTTTCTTACGACCAAAAGTACACCCATAAAAATTGGATTTAAGTAAGCTTTGTTTGGGGGTGTTACCAGACCTTCAGAGTATTCTTGAGAGTTTGGTGAAGTTTCATATTTTTTTGTCATTTTTGACAGGGTTCCACTCCAATTGTCATTAATGCCATATTCTTATGGGCACCATGTATTTACTTTCCCTGGATAGTTGTGGGGTGCATGATAGGTAAATGGAAAAAGAATGTAACTAATTCAAAAGTTGATTAGTCTGAAGAACATTGGGCTGAAGTTTCTTGAACCCATTATGTTATTAATCTTTACACACCACCCACATACTATTTTTGTTAGTAGGGGATAGGTTATGGAGTTGCATAATGGGTTCAGGAACAGAACCCTGCAATGTTCTTTATGCTGAGCAGTTTGTTTCTGGTGAACTAGTCACATTCAGGAGGAAGTGAACATATAAACAGTTAATATCATTGCATTATCATCCTTATTTTATGTACCTAGGCATAAGGCATAAGGAAAGCTTGCTTAGTCTTAAGGTACTGTAAATAATAGGTCATCAAACCACAGTAAATTATTAAAAATTCCAATTAATTTTTGTTTGTCTAAAAGATGCCACAAAACTGCTACAGTATCTCCATTGCCTAGTAATGTTGCCACCAATTCACTACTTGCTACGAAGCCTGGGTGAGACCACACACACACACACACACACACACATTGTCCCTTGCATTTGATGTTTCTATGCAGCCATGACTGTTCATATAGAATGGGAACTAAAATAAAACCAAGAGAGTTTGTGTTACATTAATTTTGGTTTTGAGTATAATATTGATTTTCTATTTTAGCGATGGCTCAATATCAAGAGTGTGCTGTAAAATTGGAATCAAGACTTTTTTAGCATGAAATGTGTGTAAAACTCGTCCTGCATCTTAAAACTTGGGTGCCTTGTTCTTGGACAGAGAGTATATCTCATTCCAATTGGAATATTGTATATTTATAATAACTTGTTCATAACCTTTCAGAATGCGATTCACTTTCCTCTTGTTTCATTCAGTTGATTCATTGGAAATTCAAATTTGGGTCTAAAAATTAAATATTCACATCCACGCTACTGTGGGTTGCCTCTTATACATTCTTCTGTAAACATAATTACTCTCTTCCTTGACCTTTTATTTGTCATGATTGTACAATTAATCCTTAATATTCAAAATTCCTTTGTCTCCTCCTAGGCTTGACAATCAATTTCTGTAATTAGATGCAACCAAATCCATCTTATCAGTATTTAAGCTTAGCCACTTGCCATGTCTTACCTTTCTGCACTGGCTCTCTCTCCTTTTCTTGACCCCTTGTGGTGTAACTTGCTAAGAATATTTGTTAAGTTTATGCTCTAACCTTGATGTCTGTCTGCAGGAACTTGCTCAGCAGCTGTATAGCAATGAGAACCCTAACCCCCAGCCATTTGTTGCTAAGATTCCAAAGCCTACCGAAGGTTCATTTACTCGAATCCACCAACCTGTCTTCCCACACATCGATGCTCAGAAAGTGCAGAGCATTATTGATGAGGGCACAGCCAAAAAAGTTAAGTAAGTACTGGATTGATAACTTGTTTTATATGAATAGAACATAACATTTAAATATTTGATCTTCACAGTAATAATTTGCATTATTACAAGATGTATCTTGCAATACACATTTTCCGAATGTTGGGGAAGTTATTGTAATAAATTTACATAAACATTAATGGAATGTAAGTGTCTTATGATCAGAAATTCAAAACAAAATTTATAAATTCTAATAAGAACAGTTGTACATACAAATTTCAGTAAGAATAGAAGTTGAAGATGCTGTTGTATATAACTGATAAACCTTTGTTGAAAGAAAGCAGCATGCACAGTGTAGAAATGGCAGAAATTGTGAAGGATACGGAGAGAAGGGGAAAGGGGGTGAGATTTTAAGTGCCATCATAAACAAAAAGCAGTATTATGTGGTGGAGGAGAGAATGGGACATAAGAATGTTGTGACAAACCTCAGTTGTAACCAGGATTAAAGATTTTAAACTATGTTTGTGCTTATAATTTCTTCAAGTTAATTATTGGATTAATTTATGTATATGTAACAAAAACATTATATACAAGTTAAAGTGATTTAATATATTTTGTGCTATTGGATGCAAGCCAAACAAAAATAATTATGGTATGTTGTGTTGCCTGATTTAGTAAAACATGTAGCTTTTTATTTGTTTTTTTTTCAAATTTCCAACACAGTACCAAATATAACTCCTCAAAGGTTTACAAGACACTTAAAACATGAAAGCAAAAGAAGAATATTCTTACATCTCACCTTGTGAAAACGTTCTCAGTAAACAATGGTCAAATATACAATAGAAAACAATTGCATCCAAATGTCACATGAATCTTATTTATTGAATTGAATAACGTACACCCCAATAGCATTGGGTGAAAAATGTCGATGGTAATTAATCATTTGGAACAAGTGATTATTGAATAACAAGGGTTAAGACCCGTCTTATTACTGGGGATAGGGAACCTTGATTTTGTCTTGGGGAATGGCGCTTACCGTACTGCTGGGTCTTTCACCCATCTTAATACTATTATACGTTTGCGAGTCAAATAGCTCATTTTGTTTGGTACCTTACCTTGAGGCTACCTTGAGGTGCTTCCGGGGCTTAGTGTCCCTGCGGCCCGGTCGTCGACCAGGCCTCCTGGTTGCTGGACTGATCAACCAGGCTGTTAGACGCGGCTGCTCGCAGCCTGACGTATGAGTCACAGCCTGGTTGATCAGGTATCCTTTGGAGGTTGTGTTGGTACCATGTACTTATTTTATATAATGCCAAATGATACAGATCTTGGCATCGGGCCTTGGGCCTAAAATCTATCGTTTTGTTTCATATATTTGCATAATACATGTTTTACTTACATGCTGTATTTAATTTGTTAGATGCTTAGTAATATATATACATTTTTAATTTGCACATGAAGGATTCCGCAGAAGGCTGGCCAGCCCAGAATTGTTCCCATGGGGCCTCACATCTCTAGTCTTCAATCTGGCCGAGGCATGGTATCCAGTTCTGCTAGAAGATTAGAAGTGAGTGTTGTATGTCTTGCAAATACGTATTACATAAATATTCGTCTGATTTTCCTTGGAATAAGTCATTTTGGAAAGTCATCAGCACTCCTATAGTTTGAATATTTTGGTCTATTACATTTAGCATTAGTTATTCCAGTATAATTATTAAAGCATATTTTATATCAGAAATTTTGACTCAAAAGAAAATTTTTGGGGTAGGGCAGGGATTGACCCTGTCCTGCTCCAAAGATTATTTTATAGATATATCACATTTTTGTCATGTCACTGGGTATTCTACTTCAGTATATTATTGGTAAAGTTTAAAATCTGTAGCAATATTGTATTGTCAGTATCCTTAAAAGTTTTTACTCTGCAGGTAATGAGAAATTGTGTTAACTGCATATTTGAAAATAAAATTAGTGATGCCAGGAAGACCTTCCCCGCTGTCTTACGAGCTCTGAAGAGTAAAGCTGCACGCTTGGCCCTGTGTACTGAGCTGAGCCATCATGTACAGGGTAACAAAGCTGTACTTGAACACCAACAGTTTGATCTAGTTGTTCGTCTCATGAATTGTGCACTGCAGGTGAGTGACAAATAAGATGTACATATATGTATGTATCCAAATATGCAGTAATTACCTAAGTGTAGTTACAGGATGAGAGCTACGCTTGTGGTGTCCCGTCTTCCCAGCACTATTTGTCATATAACGCTTTGAAACTGCTGACGGTCTTGGCCTCCACCAAGAGTGTGTGTTTGTGTGCTGGTCATGTGATGTGAAGCAATAATGATGTCATAACCTACCTCACTCACGAAAGTATTGAGAAATTTATTTTGCCAATATTTTTATATCTTCATTTTCTTCATTGCCGATTATATTTTGCTCGTGTTTTAGAAATTAATGACCTGTTTAGATATGTTTTTAAAATTTTTAGTCAACTACAGTAGTCTGACTTAATATTATAAATAACATACACAATTATTAGATAATTTTGATTTTAATAAGGTGAGAAAGGTTAGCAGTGTGAACGTGTAAAAATTAGGGCATTAAGTGAAATGCTTTCCGAGCACTCTGGTCATGTAATTGGCGAAGGGAGACTGGTAAATTTAATTAACTACCTCTGAAACCAAATTGCTATCAGTCAAAAGGACAAACATTTGACTCAACAAACTCCTTCCAAATGGAAATTGAAATAAACTATCATTAATTATTTTTCTGCTTACTACTGTCTAGGTAATTAGTCACTACCAGGAGTACCGACACTTTGTGAGAAGGAAAGACTAACTTCCCCAAGCAAAGAAGGAAGTTGGTGGCAAGAGATTCAGGATGGCGTCCTCCGTACTGAACACAATTTCTGGGGTGGGAAAGGCCTTAGAACCTCGTCCTTTGTATCTTCAATGGGCGCATGCGTGGGATCCAAATGGGGGTGCTTAGGAGCTGCCAGTTGAGGAGAAAATTTGGAAGCTGGGCATTATGGAGTACCAGATAAGGCAGACAGAGAAATCAGTGCTAAGGAATGAGCAACTCATTCGTGATCTTCCATTTGGTCTCTCAAGTTGAGAAATAACTTCTCTATATCTTCCTTATGAAAGATGGGAGGTTGCATAGTGTCCATGCCAGGTGACATGAAGGTACCAAGCACCTTTAAGAAAGTGCACTAGTCCATAGACAATTGATAGCATGAAATGTAGCTGGCTTGAGTTGGTTGCTCACGCAGAATCTTGCTTCACACCCAGAAAATGCTAACACTCATGAGGATGGAAACAGACCCTTTACCCAAAGAAAAGAGTTATGGAGGAAGATGTGGATAGTCAGAAAGCAACTTATAACACTCAAACTGAACACACACAATCAGACATGAAGCCGATGAGACCAAACTTGAACATGGTAGCTAGAAAACCAACCCGAAGCCAAACCCAAGGAAGAAACTTAGGTGCGAGAGCATTATACTTTATGATATCTAAGTGAAAAAACTTTGCCAAAAAACATTAAGAGCAACTTATGGCCAAGTAAACAATTAAGTAAGACTACATACTCGAGTGAAAAACACAGTCAGCACAATGAATCATCTGTAAGACATCACATGCAAGGGTGCTTGTTATATATAGTAATTAGTTTCACGTCGTGCTTGAGAGTGAAGTCCCTTGGCACCACCAAGGTGCCTAGGGTACAACATTTATCCAACATAGATAAATACAACATTTATCATAGTGGCCTCTGCACAGTTAGAGGTAGGAAGTGTGGATCACCAGGCAATTAGTGAGATTGATGTAGTGTTGTAGCAGTGGTATGGCCACCTAGTGCCAGTCAGGGTAGTGGAGGATGGCCCATCTGGTACAGTAGTTAGCAGAACAATAATTTGTTTAATTTCTCTTTGGAGTGGAGTAGGATGTTTATTCTTTTGTATGATGACTAGTTGGTCTCATTAGTGGCTCGAGTTTGTATAGTCAGATTTCCTTTCCCAAGCACATGACCAATGGCCAGACTATAATGATGAGTGAACAGGTCATTAGAGCCTGGCTGGCAGAATGTGTTTCTAGAACCCTTATAGACTGATGGCTCTGTGAGCAATCACAGGGCCTTAACTTGATAATTACTTATATAACCCCCCTCCTACTGTTAATTCATAAGGTTTGTTATAAACACAGGTTAATTGAAATTCCCGCACTTGATCCTTGGTCTAATTTTATCAATCAAAACTTTAATTCCCAGGATGATTCTCCAGTTGATGAACACGGAGTGGCTGCGGCCCTTCTTCCACTATCCACTGCCTTTTGTCGTAAGCTATGCACGGGAGTTATCCAGTTTGCATATACTTGTATCCAGGTTAGTGTAACTAATAATATTATAAACTTCAAAATACCCTTGTACCCTGTATTTTGTTTAAGGTCTTCATTTTTTACCATACCTAAGTTCCTGGAAGTCATCACTGTTAAAATCATGATATTTTCTGCTTCCCAATCAAAAACCTTATTAATACCAGCTTTTAGTTTTTTCAATGTCTTCTACAGAAGTAATTTTTATGATTTTGGTGTTATCTGACTTGTATTTTTGTCTATACCTGATATGAGAATAAGGAAAAGCGGTGGTTGCATGGACTGTGCCGCAAGGTACAGAGTTTTGACTGCTTGGACTCGTTCTTAATTTGACTGTTACCCTTTGTATTCTGTTTGACAGAAAGTTGAATATCCATTGCCCTACTTCACCTGTTATTCCTGTTGACCTCATTTTATGGGCTATGATCTCTTGGTTGATTGTCTGGTCTAATTGCATTTCTTCAATCTGATATGATTGCTTCAGTGTGTGTTCTATTTCTTCAATCACCCTGCTTAAATTATTATTTTTTATATATATTTTTTGTAGGGATAATTTTCTGCTTTAGCATTTTCATTATTTTTTCCTTCTGCAATGTCTTCTGTGCTCTCCTAAGCTGGTCCTTTCTTTTTTTTTTACTTTCCTTCCACAAAGGAACATATTTCAAAAAGTATGCTTTGGCAATCAGTTGTTCTATTCCTTGCATGAGATTTTTTATTACTTAGAACAGTTTCCCATTGACTTTGTAGGTTCCATATTTGTTTTTCCAGTTTTATCTTTTCATTAAAATTTAACTTATTGAATAATGCCCCAGCAACTGTGTGTTGAACCAATCTCTCACAAGTCAAGCCAGGCCCCCGGCAAGGCTTGGGCATAGAATAACTCCCAGAACCTAATTCAGGGACAATCCAGGTACATATCAGAGCAAGAGGCAGTTGCTTCACTTGTTTAATAACCAGACTATCATGTAGAAGCTAGCCAAATTATCATATCGAAGTTAGCCAACTAGCATATGAAAGATAACTATCAAGTGGAAATTTGTAATGGATATTTCAAGCTATTCTCTAATTGTGTGTAACACCTGAATGTAGTCAAAGAATGATTATGCATGAGGTCACCACCTGATATATGCTAGTTGGTAAGGAAGTTGCTAGTTGCATGAGGTCACCACCTGATATGTCTTTCATATGCTAGTTGGTAAGGAAGTACCCAGATGAAAAAATGGTAGAAAAATTTGTGTTCCCCAAAGGGAACATAAAATCAAAATATTTATTAAATGAGTTGACTACTTTGAGTGGAACTTGTTTAGTGGGGTGGATGTACAGTATGGCGACAAAAATTGTCATTAGTTTGTATAGTCAAGATCACAACACAAATGTTAAGGGTCTTGACTGCTCTTTGAAATAATCTCAGATGACTAGTATAGTAAATTCTATAGATTTGGTTTGTGATGTTAAATTTTAAGACTTATGAAGACTAAAAGTGGTGATGATCGTCCTTCAGAGTTGAAAATGACCATGACTACATCAGATCGAAGATTGGTGGCTATGTGTCCGAAGATGGCTAATGAGACCAATCCTGGCCTGGAAGGCTTGCCCCCACAAGTTATGTGTGTGGGTGGGTGCTGCTGCTGTAGGAATGGAGGTTGCTCTAGCTTTGCGCACAGTGCGTTTCCTCTAGACCTCTGCAGTCCGTTTATTCTCTGCTGCACGGGCCCCCTGTGGTGACTTAGCTTCGCCAAGTTGGATGGTCCTGAGCAAACAATTCCCAAGTGCTGGGGTTAATATCTAGGTCTTTGAGGGTCACTTTGAGGCAGTCCTGGAATCATTTCTTCTACCACCCAACTGAATGTGTGCCCTGACATGATTCTCCATGCAGCAGCTGTTTTGGCAATTAGCTGTCAGGCATTCTAACATAGGCTGGCCATCTGACCTGAGTTTTCTGTAGTAGGGTGTAGACATGGAGAATACTGGCCCCCTTTCCAGGACCTCTTGTGTCCATAATTTTGTCCTGCCACATGATGCAGAGGAGTCTGCGGAGATGGTAAAAGTGATTGAGCTGTTTGACGTATCTGCTGTAGACGGTCCATGTCATGCCTGCATAGAGGAGAGTGATGAATATCACTGCACAGCAAACATCCAGTTTGCATCAAAACATCCAAAAGGCCGAGGCTCCTCCGCTCTCAGACATTCTCACGGAATCTTCCAAAGGCAGCGCTGGCCTTGACGATCCTGTTGCTAACTTCTGCATCTGTGTTTACCGTTCTTAAGAGTATGGCGCCAAAATAGGTAAAGTTGTTGACTGCCTGTAGGTTCTGTCCCTTGACCATGATGTGTTGTTGCTGGTAGGGCCTTTTGAGCATGGGCTGGTACATGACTTCGGTCATATACAATACAATATTTTGGTCATGTTTGGACTTCGTACAATACCCACTTTTAATGGTATTGTACTACTTAATCAATATTGTTATTTCAGTCTACTATAATCGTCTTGTTTACCATGGCTATTTGCTTTTGTTTACAAAATTATACCACTGAATACCTTGCTGTAATGAACCTCGTTTAACTGAATCTCCACATAGTCTTTACAAATTTAAGGACAATAATAAACAACACTACAGGTGCAATGGTGTTTGTTGCAAGTGTTATCATACATTCCAATTGCATCCATACCATTACATCAGATGTGGCTGATTTAATCTCATCCATTTGTTAATAAATTTGTACAAGCTTTGAGATTTGCTCAGAAATTAAAACTTTCACGAATACCATAATTACTGTGCAGTATTATAATAATTAACAAGATTATATACAACTACCAAATTTTAATAAAATTTATTTTGTATAAGCATATATTACGAACACAGGTTGACATGCAGATCCAGACTGTGCGCGGTGTATGGCTGACACCATATGTTGTCAGTCTTGTCCATGTGCAAATTTACACTACATGCTTAAAAGATTTTATTGTTAAATATTACATAAGAACATAAGACCAAAGGTAACTGCAGAAGGCCTATTGGCCCATACGAGGCAGCTCCTATTTATAACCACCCAATCCCACTCATTGCTTTGTCTTCCGGGTATTTTTATGTCTAATTCACATGATGTCTCTTGAGTAACAGTCTTGGAACTTCAGGTGTTAATAGAGAATATTCTTATCAATTGAGAAGAAAATTTACCAGATTGAAAAAATTGAGATTTGGTACTCACCAAGTTGATTTAATAGTTTAGCATTTTGGGAGAGTATTGTTTGTGATAGAAGAATTAGAAATGAAGTCAAAGTGCAGCCACAGGCAATAGAAGAACATGAATTCTTCTTTTCTGTGTTGTGGTGTCATTCATGTCAGTGATATATTTTTGTTGTTGCAGGACCACACTGTGTGGGGTAATCAGCAGTTTTGGGAAGCATCATTTTATCAAGATGTCCAGAAGGAGATCAAGAGCCTCTACCAAGATCGATCACAACAGACAAGTCGTACCTCAATCTGTTCAGATATATCTTGTGTCAAGGATCCATCTCTTAGTCCGGTTAACCCTAGAGATGTAAGTACAGTATGTAGAACATGAATTATCATTGCATACTTATTTCAGAATGGGTTAGAATGGTATTCAAATAATTGTTTTCAAATCTAATCTTGGGCTTATAAAATGATTGTTTTGAAGTTATCAAATTATTAAAGTAGATTCGATACCAATTATATGTATTCTGTACTAGCAAAATTTTGCATTCTGGATGCCCTTGAACTGAGGCAGGGTAAAATTCTTGTTCTGACCATAAAAGTAGATTGACATCCCGAAGATTCAACGGAGTTATATATATATGTATGTATGTATGTATATGTATGCAGGCATGCTTGCTTGCTTGCTTGCTTGCTTGCTTGACAGTATGAGACATTCAAATCCTCGAAAGCAGTTGATGGTACATAATTATTTAGATGGTATGTGTTGGATATTGTTGATGTTGAGATTGATTCATATACCACTCCCAGACTGCCTTACCTCTATACTCTGCACCTTAGCCTTACTTTCTGCTTTTCTATTAGGCATTACTTTTCACTTGGAGCAAAATAGTCAAAGCTAATGGCTTTAGCCTTTATAATAATGCCAACTTTCTTCTAAAAAGTCATCACAATGATTTCTCTTGGATTTCTTGTTTATTTAAGCAATCACACTACCTACCATTGTAGCTGACATGATGTATGGATGGCCTTACATTTGGGGATATTTCCAGGAATATCACATGATTGAATGCTCAAATGCCATGCTCTAACCCTAAACAAACTTGGGTTGGTTGAATAGGCCTCTTCCTCCCACTTGCCCACACCACATTCCATTGCATATCCTTCCCAACTCTCACAAGTCGCCTGGAATTTTTTTTCTGATTGTCCATGATACTTCCCAAACACTTGTTATAACAACCTTGTCCGAAATTTTTTTCACTCAACATTATCGCCATCTATATTCAGACCACCCTAAAAAGGAAATTGGTCAGTAAGTACGCTTTGCCTGGCAAGTTTTCATCTATAAATATACTGTAGAATTAAGCATTCAATTGTTCTGAGTCCATGAAGTTCCAGAAATTCTCTAGTGAAACCACAAACTTTCATTTTAATATTACACTAGTGAGCTGCATTTAAATATCTTCAGTTTTATTATTTAATGATTCTCTGTGTGAACTAATATTTCAAATTACTTAAAATTTTAAGGTATTTATTTCCTTTAAAATTTCTGAAAATGTGTTAACCACAGCTTCCCATTAGCTAAGGTATTATTTATCTTTACTTGCTGAATCCCTATGAAAGAAAGCATTGACTTTCAGTATATGTTTCTAATATGTTAAGTGGTAAATTGTTGTTTACCTTGCGTGAAAGAGCATTTTTCAGACTAATAATCATCCAAATAGGTTTCTCATATTTAGGTAACATAGGATTTAGCCTATTGCTTACAGACGGCATTAGACTTTATTTTTACATTTATATATTTCCCATTTTCATAAAGTGAAGATCTGTGTTATTGATTGAAGAAAATTTTGAGAATTTTGATTCCCAGTCCAATCATCTAAACTTTTATCACAGGGAATAGGGGGCTGTGGTATTAACCGATTGGTAATAATTTGTATTTTAGGAACCTTATCGTGTCTGTCTGTCAGCCCTCAGATACAGGCTCCTGGAAAGAAGGAAGATTATCATACTACAGACCTCACGAGCCATCGGCGCTTGAGATAGCAGCAGAACAAATGAGACTCTGGCCCAACATTGATCCAAGTAAGGCTTAGTACTAACAAGGTGACAAGTTCTGTATGTACTTGTGTTTGTTTAGTTATCTAAGTGTTGTTGCAGGATGAGAGTTACACTCATCTTCTTGAGGTTGTCTTGAGATGATTTCGGGGCTTTACTGTCTCCCGCGGCCCGGTCCTAGACCAGGCCTCCACCCCCAGGAAGCAGCCCGTGACAGCTGACTAACACCCAGGTACCTATTTACTGCTAGGTAACAGGGGCATAGGGTGAAAGAAACTCTGCCCATTGTTTCTCGCCGGCGCCCGGGATCGAACCCGGGACCGCAGGATCACAGTCCAGCGTGCTGTCCGCTCGGCCGACCGGCTCCCTCATGGTGTCACATCTTCCATATTATCTTTGTCATGTGATGTTTTGAAACTTAACCGTTTCTGCCCGAAACACTTTGCGTAATAGTGGCTTTAGGCATTGTATATACTAGCTCTATCTATAAATCCATCAACTTTTGTATCTTACCTTGTATGTATGTACTTTACCTGAATAAATATTTGTATTTGTATTTTCAATGGTTTTTGCATACATTGACCCTCATTATTTTATTCCATCCATTTATTACTCTATTTGCAAAAGATAATTTGTTTAAGTTTTCTGCGTATTTTTCTTAATTTGAATCTCTTAATGATTACAAAAAAATTTGTAACCCTTTTCTCAATTCCTGTCACAATTTTGTATGTGATGATCATATCACCTTTCGTATCCTGTCCACTAGTTTTGGCATGTAAGGCTTGTCTTGGTTCCTTTTCTATTTTACATGTTTTTGGAGATAAGAACACCATACAACTACAGTACTACATATTCTGATTCAGGCCTCACCAATATCATAAACAGTGTTAATCATTTCTCTATCCATGAATTGTGAAGGCATTCCTGAAATACAGACGATGAGTTACAACACAACTTCATGATGGTCCAAGATGGAACGAAATGTCGCATTTCTTCATTTTCAGATGTGTGGGTTGCATGTCATTTCTGAAATTTTGACCTTGATATGCTTTTCTGGTAACAGTACTACTACTGAATCTCATTGCCATAATTTTAGAGCCTTTTTATATTATTTGTAGGTTAAATGTACTGTATCTGGGTTTCACTAATTCTGCACTCCATTATGTGCCATTATTTCATATTGTATTCTATTTTGTTTAGGTTATTTGTAGGATATGACAGTTATCTAGGTTTTCACTTCTTCCCAGTAGCTAAGCATCATTTGCAACTTTGTTCGTATAGCACTGTGTCCCTTCAGGTAGATCATTTATATGTACAATGAATATTACTGCCACTCGTACTGATCCACATGGGACTCTGCTAACGATATTCCTCCAGTGGTGTTCATTGCTTCTTATAAATGCTCTCTTTTTTTTTTTTGTATTTAATAATTTTTTTAATCCATGCTTCTTGTCACTGTGAGTTCCAGCTTCCAAAACAGTCTCTTGTAATTATCTAAGTGTAGTTACAGGATGAGAACAACACTCATGGTGTCCTGTCTTCCCAGTACTGTCATATGACGCTGTGAAACTACTGACAATTTTGTCCTTCACCACCTTCTCATTTAACTTGTTCCAACCATCTACCACTCTGCAAAAGAAAACTTTCTAATACATTTTTGGCACCTTTGACTCCTTAGCTTGAATCTGTGTCCTCTTGTTCTTGAAGTTGCTGGTTTCAGGAATTCCTCTTTGTCAATTTGGTCTGTTCCTGTTAGCATTTTGTAAGTGGTGATCATATTACGTCTTTTTCTTCTATCTTCTAGTTTTGGCATGTTTAACGCCTCTAGCCTTTCCTCGTAACTGTATATGACTTCACTGGATGTTTTATTTTATAGGTGCAAATGAATACAGTCTTCGCAACAGTTTATATTAGAAAGTTCTTGGTGACCCACCTTCTAGCTAGTGGTAGTTTGGTGTAAATATTTGAGTACTTGAGACACTCTAATGTCTGTTATTTTATTATACCTTTAAAGTTGGGGATGAAGTTAGTCTCTACCACATGGCATAAAAGATTTTTTTTTATTTTTTACTACTATAGCTTTAAATGTTCTGATGTTTATAATTAGTTAATCAACAAACTTCTCATATTTTCAGAAAAACAGCGTGAATTATTTGAACAGGAGGAATCTACACTCTACTCACAAGCTATCCATTATGCAAATAGAATGGTATTTCTACGAATACCTTTAGATATCAACGCAGCTGTTCATAGACGTACATATAATGATAGAGACAATGCGAGTAACAGCATAACTAACAGGCAAGTTCTGTCTTTATCTGTAAATATTAAAATGTTTATCTTAAATGTTTTACGCTTGGATATTCATCATTAAGAATTTGGCTCGTTCATCTTTTTCTCCTTCTTGAGAGACTAATATTTATTTGCAAGAAATGTATACATTGGATGAGATAAAAATTATTGTGGGATTGGTTGAGATTAAATTTATTCTAAACCTGTTTTATTTGATAGTTCATTTTATATATATTGGAATCTAAAGGGTTAGGTTAGGTTATTTCTGTTTTGGAAAACCTGTAGATCTTATTTTTTGTTTATATTAAAATAATGCTGCTTAATAATGCTAGCATTCAGATAATTTTGTATTATTAGTCTTATTACTAGCTGGTTAGAGGTCATATTGCAGAATATGACCTCAGTTGTATTATAATTGGCCTTCTTAAGACACTTATAATTATAAATTGCATTTCTGAGATATTTTATTTGTAAAAGGGGTCAGCCAGCTCATACACATGAGGTAAGGGGCGAGTTTATAAGGGTAAATATATCATTTGATTTATTTAAATTGGTGTATTTTAGTACAACATATGAAGTCATTACTTCAATTGTGTACTCTACTGTTCTGTTTAAAGATTCATATGACTAAATGCCAATACTTCAGGTGGGAGAAAGGAAGGCATAGCTATCCATACTTATCTGGTAAATATGCCTTTAACTATTTTATAACTTGTGTCTGCTCGATAAAATATTTACTTGAAGGCCACAATCTCTAATGGCTTTGATGAGGACAGGAAACCAGTAACTTGTCACAGGTCACACCATTATGACTTGTATAGTTGCGATTCTCGCATTCATTGCTGTACCTTGTATATTATACATTTTTGTTTGCCTTGCCCCGACACAAGACTGGCTTACTTTGGGCCAACTGTTAGAACTGTAATTTGGAAAATAAAAGCAACATCATTCTCCCATTGATAGGTAATTCATTGATTAGCCAGGGAGGCTGGATTCACAAAGTCCTTACTTGTTCACTTATGAGGGTTAATATTTGTTGTTATTTATTAGAACTGTTAACTACCTGCTAAATAAAACAATGAAGAATTGCCTGAAATTTTACGAGATATCTCTACTGCAAAAATAGATCATTACCACCAGTACCGATACATTGATACACCTCAGAAACAAAATCATTAGTACAACACTAATAGTTGTACCAGATGCATCAAAGTACAATATAGCAGCAGGTTCGAGAGTTACTCCTCCCTACATGCAAAAACAAATGCCTAAGAGATACCCATTCACCCATACATGTCTACATACCAGTAGTTATACATTCTTATAATCATACATCATGTATCTTATTCCATCAGATAAATTTTGCTAAAAGAAAATATTGTCTTTACAGTATGGCAGAAAGTGACAGCTTAGATGCCGAGTCTGGGTTTGAGGACCAGGAACAGAGTGATCGGGAGGCAAGTGTAATACGTTTTGTCTCCAGATTTGTGGACAAGGTGTGCACTGAAGGAAGTGTTACAGGTAAGGCCCATTGTTATAACTCCTGGTTCATTATTGCAAATATTTTACCTTTGCAGAATTTGAGATTTTATTTTTTTGTTATTATTTTCAAGACTAAGTTTGAAGAAATTGCCTTGTTAAGCTTGAACCAATATGTAGTGAACTGCATGCTAAAAGAGTTATGTATCATGGAAGCATTAGAAGTTAATAAAGCTATGAGAATACATTGTGTTGATAATGGGGACTATACCTTTAAAATATAAAAGGTGAAAAAACACATGTTGAATTAATTATCATTATAATCCAGAGTTGTCACCTGCTGGTGGAAGCAGGCCATCACACAAAGGCCTCGGGAGTACATGTCAAGTCATGTCACCTACTAGTGAAGTTGTCATCTTTCAAGGTTAATTTTAAGTTGCCCATTATTCACATTATTTCATAAAGGTCTAGCAAATTATTTTCAAACTCTAGTTATTTAACACTATCGCTTGCTTTGGACACCGGTCGCATCCATTTTTTTTCTCTCGAGTCCTAGCCGAGGACAGGACTTGCGTCCACTACAAAAATATTTTTATAAAATTCATTTTTTTATCCGATCGACCTCGGGATAGTTTCAAAATAAGCGCCTTTAGAGTGCGCACAATTTGATACCAAAATGAAAGAGGTAACACGAAACTTGATGTTAGAACACTTGAAAGATTATAAATACGTTTTTGGTCAAAATTTTATTCTTGAGCTTTACGAGCTTTATTCGTAATTTTTAATACTGTGGTTTATGTACTTGAGGCTTAACATAGGGAGCAACTGAATGATCTGGTTTTGAAATTCAATATGAAACGTTCCTTTTTGAGCAGAGAGTTTGTTGTAGCTGGTTCCACCTGTTTTCCCATTCTCTCCTCAGGGCTGATTTTGTATTTTTATCAGAATGTTACATATTTGGAATTGTAAAAGATGTCACTTGATGGTGGGTGGGTGATTTGACCAGGCAAGCAATGATCTGGTCTGATGTCTCTCTTAGTGGTCACTTGTAATACAAAGTGAGGATTCAATAAGGCTACGAGTCATTATGGAAGTAGCTTTGTGAGCTTTCTGGGCCGGATTGATCCCTTCTTCAATGCTTCGGTAGCATCTTATTATGACCCTGCAGGAACAGTTAACACAAAATAATCATGCAGTGCCATCCTATTCAACACTTCATAAATCCTGTGTCATAGTGAATTCTTACCTTAGGAGAACAAACAAATGTATCTGTCCCAAAAGGAGCTTTTTATGTTAACTCAAAGCTTAATTATTTTTGTTCAGTGGATTTGTCAATACAGTATTAATATTGCTTTTTTTGTTTTTTGTTTTACAGAGGAGCACATAAAGTCGTTACATCAGATGATTCCGGGTGTGGTAGCTATGCACGTGGAGATGCTGGATGCTGTGTACAAAGAATCTAAACGCTTACCGCCAATACAGAAGGTTAGGGGAATGTTTGCGTATGATGATCAACTGTGTGTTTATTTGATGAAGACAAGGATATTAATATGGGGTTAACTGTAATAAATGAGTATTTTTATATTACATGACCCCTTGCATTGAGGCTTTGATTATACAACTTTGACATCATTAATGCATTATACTGTATTAAAAAATGTATGTACTTTCCAATATAGGAGAGCATTGAAAAAACATAGTTTTCATATTTTTTTCCTTTATTTTATAGTTATACTGTATTATGTATAGAAAAGGATGGATAATGATAGTAATACCATTGGTCTTGATCCTCTAGTCGACTATATACATCAGACGTGATGCATATAGACAGAGTGTAGATGGTACTTACAAACCTGACTCAAGGTACACTGAAATAGTTTATGGTCAGGTAAGTCATAGGAGTAGCTGTTATGCTTATCTGGGGGTCTAATGATGGCATATACTAAATGTTGGGATTTTCTTGTCTGACTGTCCAGTCTGCTGCTTTTTAGTTCATGTTGACGGTGTTTTGGCTTTGAAATTCGTGGTGAATCGGTATTAATACCATATGTTTTATTTTGGGGGGAAATGTGTAAAGATGAACGTTCTCTTACTGCAACACAAGTTTGAATTGCATAAATCTCACAAAATGTAAGATATCCTTTACATTACAGTATATTAATCCTAGATTGTAATGTGAAAATTGAAAAGCCATTGCAAGTTGAATATTGAATTGCCACATTAAGTAAATTTGGCAATTATAGTGCTGAATTTTCATTGAATTATTCTCCTAAACCAAATTTGTAAATAAGAAAACGCTCATCTTTGTCTTCTAATTCTTATATTATATGTGGGCTCTATGAAATGTGTTCGTATGTTCGAACTGACAATAGTTTCTATCATAAAAGAGGCACACGATTGGTTATGGGTAGACATGCTTTGTACTTTTTGCTCCTTCGTAGGTTGATAAGTTTTGTTTTCATACATTTTCAGTAATAATCATAATAAAAATTATATTACAGTACTAAAATTAATAATAATTTTATTTATAAGAAATATTAGAGGGGGTTTGTAGTGTAATTTTTTCAAAGTAGGAAATTGTATTTTCTATAAAGCCTTTAATCATGAGCAACATTTCAGGCACATGATCAGGTCTATGGATCACTACTATGTTATGTTATGATTTAATCTAAAAAAAAAGTCTTCATTTGTGAATTCTCAAACATTTTAAGTCTTGTATCTTTATTTTAACTTTCATTACTTATGATATTAAAATTATCATACTGCTACTCAAATCAATTTCCATATGTAACAATTGAATCATAATTTTGTATTTTTCAGCCAAAGATTCTGGTGCCATCGTTAGTACCGGGAGAGGAAGTTATGTACGAGGGTCTACGGGTTTACTTGCTGCCAGATGGTCGAGAGGAGTCGACCGGAGGTCATGTGGGAGGTCCTATGTTACTGCCTGCTGAAGGGGCATTATTCCTCACCAACTACAGACTTGTATTTAAGGGTCTTCCAACTGATCCTTACGGTGAGTTTTCAGAGGCGCTTCGTGTTATTCTGGTAATAGTATTCAAGACTGTTTATTCTTTCGGTGAGTTATGGATGAGCTTCGTGCTATTTTGTCATAGTTTTGAAGTATAAAGGATTTATATATGTGCTAGTAGTCCAGAATATGTAACCAACTTTTCTTTGTATAGCATGTGAACAAGTAGTTGTGCGATCTATGCCTGTGTCATCTATAACAAGAGAAAAACGAGTACCAGCCAATCAGCATCCAGGACCTATGGATCAGTGGCTCAATGAAGGCCTTCAGATACGATCTAACACCTTCCAGGTACATAATTATTTCTTAATCCCCCTGGAATTATGCAAATGTGAGGCTAAATGAACTTAAGAGCTACTTAAGCTCAGGATCCTTGGCATAACCTTTTTTTACATAAAGAAATTATTTGTATAAAATCACCCAGTTGAGAGTAGAATCGATTTGAAAATTAGGCTTTTGCATGTGGAGGCTTTTGTAAATCCAAGAGGTCTACAAAGTCAGTGCTTATAGTGCTAAAAAAGTGGGAGAGGCGAAGGCATGTTGAGATTAGAAAGGAGAGGGATATTTAACTCGGTGTATAATTTAAAGTATGGTATTTAGCAATGCTGAATTTTCCTTTTGTTCCCCTAATACTGTGTTTGATGGCTGCAATTTCTATACATTGTTCTAATAGTCTTCTTTGATGATTGAGTTTAACATGACCTTGAGTTCACAAGGTGTTGCTTCTGGTTTCTGTATTGCTCAAGTATTGTTCATGTTATCTACATAGCAGGTTTACTTGTTAGTAAATCCTTGCATCCAAGTAACTAGAAATTTTACCTGTGCTGCAATTGCTTCACAGTATAGTATAAACCCTTGCTATGTGAACCCTGTTGTCGTGTTTCTTTTTCTGATGTGGGTTTTGATTATTGTCTGAACGTCACTTTTCCTGACCACCTCTGCTTGCATTATCACCAATTTGCTATATTGGTCACCAGATCAATGAGGGCATCAGTACATGTGTAAATGCAATTATCTCCTACATATACTGTAGTATATGTACTACAGTATACATGTAGCTATATGTAGCTATACATGTAGCTATATGTACTACAGTATACATGTAGCAACACATGTAGCTATACTACAGTATAGCTACATGTGTTGTGTAATTCTCACAAACATATCTGCAGTACTCATTGGCACTTATGAGAACCCTAGCTTATCAACGCTGGACACAATTGGTTTGATTTACTAATATCTCTTGGTATCTAAGATTCCACATTCACCTGTTCAGGTGCTGACAGGTGAATCAAACTGGGCAGTGCCTTATGGCCAAGCCACAGATAGAAGACAATGTTTATATAAAATCAGTGGTTTGTACAATTTTCACTGTCACATGATCCTTCATACACAGATCTAGCAGTGACCCCAGGTGGCTGACCACTGCATTATTAGCATTTATGAGTGCATGATGTTAATGAACCACATACAGGAGGAAATTCCAAGGTTGAAGACAACAGTGCTGTAGCTCATGTAAATCTTTAAAACACAGTCAGCTGGTCATCAGTTATTGCGTACACAATCAGAGCTAAGCATCTCAAATGAACCATGACTACCCAGGTAATTGTTATGGTTAAACCACGTCTTCATTCTCACAACCATCTTTGTATTATTTATCATTAATGTTACCACAAGTGATTCTGGGTTCCTGGTGATATCAGCAATGATAATTTGGGAGGCATTACTCGATGTAGATAAGCTCCTACAGACCACATTGCTTCTATCTTGGCTGGTAGTGGGTGCACACGTTTATCTCTGATGGAGGACCTTAGAATGATCAAACCAGCTGAACTACCAGCCTCAGCAATCCTCTATATGAATCCACTAGTCAGAGGTAGCATCTTCATAATATTTTCCCCTGATTGGTTCCTTCCCAGATTTTGTATGATGTCTCCAGGGCCCAGTTCACCCGGATCTGTCTCTTCTCTTAAAACTGAGGTCAGGTACTACCTTACTTCAAGAAGCATTTAGATAGATTCTTGAAAGAAGTGCTGGACTAACCAGGTTGTAGTGAATACTTCATTCACTAAACCTGGATAAATTATCCAGGTTTAAAAGTTGTGTTGATCATTCCTTCACCTCACTGACTTGTCCCACATTTTCTTTTTTTAAAAGTAAACATTGCCTATGTTTATCTTGTTAGATTTGATAAGTTGTTACTTGTGAACTGTTACTTTTCAATAACAGTAGGATCCAAAAACAGTACTGGCGTGAACATTATGACATCATAGTGATGTGTCACATCTTGTACACACCGTACATAAAAACATAACATTTTATCTTATTTTCGTAGGCTGGGTATGGTTTAGTTTATTTAAGAGTAGCAATAACAGAGGGTTACATAATTTTCTCAGGTCATGGACCCTACTCAATAAAGCTTACTCTCAAATTGGTATGTGTCTACATTGTTTTCATCACATTGTGCTTTGAGAACTTCTTCGGAGTTGGGCTGTGGCATGGTTGGCCATGCCAACCTGTTGTCTTTGAGCTTCTAGAAGCTCTGGCACTGTTGCTGCCCTTTGCGGAAAAGTGTCCTTGCTTCCCTGAGACCTCTTTGCAATATAATCACCTCTTTTATGTTACAAAACACATACACAGTTATCCTGCCTTCCATCTAAAATATACCGGTACAGATAAATAAACAACAAATCGTTGGCTATCAAATGGGAACAAATCCCACACAGGAGGAGTCCCAGACTTGGCTCTGGGACTTAAGTTATACAGAAAAAAACTAAACTAAAATTACTCAATTTCCTGCTAAGCCTATGACAAGCATATGTTCATATTTATAATGCCTTGGTAACTAAAGAAATTTTGAAGGATGATGTGTGGATAATTTTGGTATAAATTATTTACTGTATCATGGCTTCATCATTGTAGCCTGGCACTACATGATAATATACAAAGTGTAACAAAGGATAAAGGAGAGAATGCATGCTCTGTTCCATTGTATTAGGATAGTTATTTGAAATGTATTTATAGTAAATGCAATCATACTGTTGTTTGATAGTTCTACTAAGGAAATTTTAGAACATTATTACTTTCTTTTCCTAGCTGATTAAAGTGGCCTTTGATGAAGAAGTTCCTCAGGAGAGTATTGAAACGATGCGAAAATTAATAAATCGGATGCGACACCCACCTAATATCCACCATCTATTTGCTTTCGTGGGCCACAGTCACGTGCCTCAGACACCCAGCAGACAACAGAAAGATAAGCCTGGCTATGGTACCTTGAGGTATGTTTCATGTTTGTATTGTATTACACACTTGAGTTCAAGGCTTGGGTTTATTAATAAATGATAAGCTCGTTGAACAGAGCACAAACGATAATCAATAATGTAAAGAAACGCCAGGTTGGAATTAGATGGTATAAATTCAAGACTTAGATTTATTAATAAACGATAAGCTGTTTGAACAGAGCACAAAGGGCAATCAACAATGTAAAGAAACACCAGGTTGGAATTTGATGTAATGATTTGCCTGAAAATGTCTTATCAAATCCATTGAGGTGACACCCCTATGGCACTGTCCTTACATGTGAAAGCCCTTGCCAAAACTTATAAGGATGAGCGCCCTTGATAAAGCCTTTGCAGGTGAAATATCATCTTTAGTAAGGTCTAATCTTATAGCTTGGTGAACAAATATATATATAATTGATTGTCAAAAAATATTTTTAAGTTTTTCATGTTTTTAAACTTTGTCTGTTTTTAGTTTTCAGCTGTCTTGTTTCAAAACAAATTGAAAATAATTTGAAACATTTCATATACAGTTTAGACATTTATTTTCTGTTGTGCATAGAGACAATCAGCACTGTTTTATTTCTATGTTCTTGCAGAGGATTTGCAAAGAAAACCCTCTTGAAAACTGCCAAAGCTGCAGGTCTAAAACCAAGCAAAGGAGGTAAAAGACACAAATACGTATTCCCTAGTAATAACAAGTCTATGACCTCCCCTGGACGTATGAGCCTTGCCCAGATGACCAATATGGACTTGAGTAACGAAGATTTGCCCCACGACGACGACTTGTCTAGTAAGTTCTTTTCGTGATTAGACACTGTACAAGCATTGTTTATATTTCTTGCCTTTTTCACTTGATATATTTAAACTGATATTGGCCAAATTGTTGACCAGACCACACACTAGAAGGTGAAGGGACGACGACGTTTCGGTCCATCCTGGACCATTCTCAAGTCGATTGTCAATCGACTTGAGAATGGTCCAGGATGGACTATCGACTTGAGAATAGTCCAGGACGGACCAAAATGTCGTCGTCCCTTCACCTTCTAGTGTATGGTCTGGTCAACATACTTTAGCCACGTTATTGTGACTCATCGCCTGCATACCTTGAGGTTACCTTGAGGTGCTTCCGGGGCTTAACGTCCCCGCGGCCCGGTCGTCGACCAGGCTTCCTGGTTGCCGGACTGATCAACCAGGCTGTTGGATGCGGCTGCTCGCAGCCTTGGCCAAATTTCTTTAACCACTGCACTGCGCAAAGCGCCTTTAGGCGCTCAGAGAGTTGTGCTTTTTGTTTTTTAATTTGGCTATATTTTAATGTTTTTTAATGTTTTCATTACTATTTGTGTTTTGAAATGGAAATAGTTGACATTGGAAACATTTTGACATTAAATTTACCTGAACATTTGTAAAAATAACAAAAATATGTCCTTGTCAATGGCACCAAGACGTTTTTGCCGAAAATAGGTGAGCAGTGCAAGGGTTAAGGTCCTCTCCCGTTTGCCTTGACACTTTCAGTAATGATTATTGCTATAAATTGAGGACCTTTAGTGTAATTCTGGGTTGTTATCATTGGTAAAGCAAGATTGCTCTTTATTGTACCCTTGGCCTTATTTATATTGTAAGATATTAACATTGCTTAAATTCTGGTACTGTATGAACTTATGACAGGTTCTGTAATTCCTAAATTTTTAGATCAAATGGCTCATATGAAACGAAAATATTAGTAAATGGTGTTTGCCAGATTCTTAAAAATTTTGATGATTAAATTGGTTAGCTCATCAATTACTAGAAGTTTAGTGTTTAGTATAAGTACAGTATTTTGAGATGTGCACTCTACCCATAATGTATGCTTTGCTAATGATATGGTTTCTAGATCTTTTATTTTGCTCAAGACAAGGATTAGAGGCTTAGCAATACTTAATGTGTTGTTGATGGCTGATTTTATTGTTACTTTCCTTTGAGGCAATATAGCTATTAAGGGTGGGAAGCATGCAGTAATCACCCCCAAGGCCAGGTTGTGTTGCACATTTTCAATAAAAGGTAATGCTTTGCCTTGGCAGCCTAGCGCAAGGTTATCCTTGTCCAATCTGGTGTGCTAGGAGGAGGAGTGGAGGGTTGTAGTAGTTGGTGGAATGCTAGACGGAAGCACTTAATCCCTGCACTGCACTCTCAGTTTACATTACAACCCCCTGGTGTTCAAGAAAAAATAAATTCAGAAATGTTTTATATTTTAACCACTGTACTGCACAGCTGTTTAATGTGACAAGTCCATGATGCTCATTAAAAAAATTATTCTCTAAAATTTTTTTTTCACTAATATTGTTAAAATGCATTCACGAGAAACGAAACAAAAAAAATTGTATGTGACTTTGGCTGTGATGGAGCGAGGAAATTTTGCAATTTATGGACATCAAGTGAGTAGCCGCCCAGGCTATATACATATACAAAAAACGCTGTTTTTTGTATATCTATATAGCCAACGTTGAGTGGTGGAAGGATTAAATCTTGAGAATAGATGTCACTGATTCACTAGCATTCAGGCAGCAGATGCCCCAAGTAGGTTGCTCATGCCAAGCAAGCAGTGGGAGCTGTTATTAATATTTTAATTCTGATTTATTTCAATGCCACTGATTTGATTTTTCACTTGTTTTTCTGCACTTAAATTATTCAATAATGTATAATTTGAGAAATTCTATAATATGTGCAAAACATCAATACACACAAATACATTTGTCACTATTGTGTGCACAATATTATATTCTTTGAACAATAAAACAGGATTTTTGCTATATTACACTGGATACACATGTTACATATTACTATCAGCATGTTTATAAATCATTATAAACCACTAAGCAGTTTTCTCGGGTATGATAACTCATTCGAGTTTTAAATCTTACACTAGACCTAAAATCGATCCTTGTTGACATGCACACCTCCAATGACAAGGACCCCTGGTTGATATACATAGTTGAAGAGTTAAATGAATGGGAATAGTAAATATTTCTTTTCAGGAAGGCAATTTTACTATAAAATATATTTGTGAAAGAGTTAAGATCATTATTATTCTGCAACTGTGAGCCAGAAACTAATTGCTGTAATGACATTTGATTTGTATGCCTGTTAAAATATATACAGGTACTGTAATATGGAATTTAAATTCTTTTAACCTTAGGCTGTTTGGCAATAAAAGCAAGTTTGAACTTCAGATGTGTTCAAGCTTGCTTTGTCAGCAAGTACAGTAGTTATAATAAAAGGTTCACCATGGTTGTGAAACCAACATCCTGTTTCTTCAGGATTGCCATGATCACTACTACCTTCGCTACTTTGTGCGGTCCCTACAACATCCTCACTCTTGCTTATGTCGTACTTTGACCATTGAACTTGGTCAGTGTCATTGAACTTTGTCTTTGAACAGGGTCTGTGGGCCCTGTTCCGTTTCACCACCTTCCCCTTTCTATACGATTGTCTTGCATGCAAGGTTCTCTCTCTCGGTTCGTGTTACCAATATTTCTCCTCGTGTCATTCCCTCCTTGCCCCCATGGAGGGGTCCCTCTTTTTAAGTTTTGTAAAACCTTGACCTGCATGGCAAAAGCTTTAACCCCACCTACAATTCTGAAACGCCTTTTCCTTACTCGCTATTCTTCACATTCCCGTTCCATTTTCATCTTCACAGATGGGTCTTGAGTCTGCTAACGGTGTAGGCTACTCTGTTGTGTTTCCTGGCTACACATATTTTGCCTGCCCCTGGAGACTAGCATCTTCATGGCAAAACTGTATGCAATTATCTATGCTCTTTGTCAACTGCTTTCTTGCTGTTAATCTTCCTTTCCTGTTGTAGTTTGCTTGAACTCATGGCTCTGGATTCCTTTAATCCTGTCTGTCCTGTGGTAGTCGAAATTCAACATTGGCTGTTTCTTATCTCCAGCAGATTTAAGAGTCAAGTATTGCTGGGTTTCCAGTGATATTGGTGTTACCTTAAATGAGCGTGCAGATGCTGCCACTAAGGAGGCTATCCGCACTTGTCCCATTTCCCATAAAGGTGTTCCTTATTTTGACTTTTACCCAGTTATTCATTCCTCAATTAGTGCCCGTTGGCAGGGTCATTGGTCTTCTGTTACTGTTAACAAGCTGCGTGCTATTAAGGGTAGCATATCCCCATGGCCTTCCTCCTACCATAGTAACCAGTGGTGAGAAACGGCTCTGGCGAGGTTACGTATTGGCCCATACATGTTTAAGTCAGACACTTAATGTAGCACTGCCCTGCTCCTTATTGTCCAAACTGCATTGTCCCTCTTATGGTCATGCATATCATTGTTGAATTTCCTGAATTCCAGGATGTGTGTGCGTCTTGCTTCCCAACTGTTCCTCGCGGTCACCTGTCCCTCAATAGTATCCTTGGTGAATCGGATACCTTTGCTATCATTTTGCCTTGTGCGCTTTTGTTCTCATGTTGGCATCTTTAGTAATATTTAGCGCTTTTTGAATATCCCACACATTTGATGGTGCTACATAGCCTCCCCAGCTTCATGTCTTCTTTTGATAATTACTTACTTCACCATGGTTGAAGAATGAAGCTTTGTGTAATGAGGAATTGAAATTATTTGAATCTGAAGCTAAAAAATAAAGAATTTTAAGATGAATAGGTTTAAAGGATAAATTTCCTTCATCAATTTTTAAGAGAATTTCTCTTAAAATATCCATGCAGTAGGTCCTAGCTTGGACATGAGTGATGTCTCAAGGATGGGAGGGAATGAGAAAGGAAACGAAGAGGGACGATGATAAGGGAAAGAGGGAGAGGGAGGGGGGTGACCTGGCCTGCCACCTCATGATGACCTGGGGCCAGATTCACGAAGCAGTTACGCAAGCACTTACGAACCTGTAAATCTTTTCTCAATCTTTGGTGGCTTTGTTTAGTTATTAAACTGATAATGAGCTTGGAAGCACCAGGAGGCTGTTTATAACAATAACAACAGTTGATTGGGAAGTTTTCATGCATGTAAACTGTTTTAAGAAATGTAACAAAAGCTGTCAAAGATTGAGAAAAGATGTACACATTCGTAAGTATTTGCGTAACTGCTTCGTGAATCTGACTCCAGGGTAGTTGGGGCAAGAGTCGTTTAGCTAATGGTAACTTTCCGGATGCTGTTTTTTCATATTTTAATTTTTTGTCAGTAGTGGTTTGTTTTGTTTTGATTTTCCAAGAGGTTTACTTCAGTTGTGGGTCACACTTTGGTTCTCACGTGCTTCTCTCGCATGTAAGGGAGACAAATGTTGGTCTTGATGCCCAGTAGGGTGATAAAAGTCCCATGATCTCAATTCGGTAATGTTACCGGTGCCACAGGGCCCTCGCTTCTGGCAACTTTTGTAGTCTTGCACAGAATTTTTTTTTTCCATTATGCTCTGTGTTCTTTTTAGGTTTATTGCCATGGCATGCATACATTATCTTTACCCTATTTTTCTTTCATGTTGGAAAGGCATCTCTCGCCTTCACTGAATTTGTAACATTGTGGGAAAAGAAGTCTGATTTAATTTGACCCTGAAAATTGTCACATCTTCACTAATTTATTGATTTTGTCTATAGTCTCTCTCCTTGTATTGCTAATTTATTATCACTGTCTTTTTATCTCACAGGAAAGCTTTATATATGTAACAGATTTACAATATTTAAGGGTTCTTATTAATCTTTCATTGCTGTAATTATTGAACAGATAGTCTTCATCACTGGGGAACAGCTTAGTACTGTACTTTGTTCTTAAATTATAGCCTTTTGAAGTGCTGCAGTACTGTCCATATAAAACTGGAGCTGATCTTATATGTTCAGTTTTTGTTTTTGGATTAAAAAAAAAAAGGTTCGAGCGCTCGATATGGCTTCCTAGGTACAAGTAACAAAGGACAGTGTAAGCTGCTGCGTGTAACATCGCCCGTGAGCCGCAGCTCCGAGGAATTGGGCTGCGAAGGGAGGCTCTCGCCCAGTGAGTTCTTCAGGAGAATAGTGCTGCTAGTATTTGTTTTTTTCTGTGCTCTACCCTTGAGATTATATATATTGTATGATCACCCTGAATTTTAGTATGTTTGTAAATTTTAAGCACAGTATTTTTCAAATTTAAGTATGTAAAGACCTGAGTGTAATCATCCTATTGTCTTTCTAAAAGCTCCATAGTCTTTTGAATCAACTTTATTAAATGAGTCTTTGAAAATTTGAAAGGGTAGCAGTTTAGCAGATATTATGCTGCGATACTGCTTTACATTTCAAGAAAAGTGTAAGCTTTACGGCAAATAGTTAGTTGGATTATAAAGTTAATTTAGTGTCTGGGGTGATCCTTTCAGGTCTTTTAGTAAAAATTCTAATACAATAGAGATCTGATATTTCAGATGGGATAGGCTAAGGAGAATGTTAATTACATTATGATATTGGTTATTAAAAAATACATCTCTGATGCCAGTGGAATATTTGGGGTTATCATAAACCAATGTATTTTGCATTATAACATTGTTTAACTGCATTCGAATTAGAGTTAGAAATTTGCTTTTATTTTCTACTTGGCTGATCTAGTTGTGTGAATAGTTTTCTGGATGTTGAATTCTGTTTTATTGATGGTCACTGCATATTGAAGTTGATGGAAGTGCTTCAGTATGTGACATTGTGCAATAATGCTGAAAAGGCTGCCCAAATGCACTCATAGCAAGAAGCAGCCATTGTATAGCTAGAGAGGTTTGACAAATGAATTTGTGTTGTGGAAGCCTTAAGCTCTGAGAATTCAACAACAGCTTGACTTTGGGTCAGTTTTCATTACTTCTCTCTGGATATATAATGGGCAGGGGAAAATATCCATACTGTATTGATGTTTGTGTAATGTGCGTGTTCCATAACCAATATTTCCTTAGTTCATTGTGTCGGTGTCATTTTCTTTTGTTTAAACAAATTTTCACTGTGCAGAGCATTTAGTTTATTTGTAATAACCTAAGACATAAGGAACAAAACTTTGCATATAAGAACCATACCCATAGGTGTGTGTAGTCTACATAAATAATTTGCTTTACGATTTCTCTGTGTGCTTCTTATCAATATCTCTTAAATAGTACATGTTGGGATTAATATTTGTTGTATGAATATGAAAGAGCTTTCTCCATAATTAATAGTCCAGAAATGTTATCTCTAGGCTGGAAATACTTTAATTGACATTAATAAGTACTCCTTCCACTGCTGTACTCTTGTTTGCATAATACTGTCAGTATTATAAGAATAATGGGAATATTTCTTACTTTTGTACTGGTCAGGGACAGTATGAGAGACTGTATATTTTTATCGCAGATTTTATTGCGCTTGATTCTTTTCCAGTGCCAGAGTTGATGTTGTAGATTGCTTTACTCATTGTATTTTATTTCATTATTAATAAATGTATAAATTTTTTCCTCAGAGTATATATGTATATGCTCTATTTAATGGCCATTCATTGTCAACAGTTGTAGATGAGCTAGAAGCATCTGGTTTAAGCAACGGATCAACTGGGCAACTGTCTGTAGCTGGGTTGGTTGGACTTCGGGAGGTAGATAATAAAACGCTGGAAAAACTGTCTGAACGCAGCTATCACAAAGATTACATGCGTCTTGGTCTTGGCAGTCTTGGAAGTAATGCCACTACAGTGCCACCAAGAACTAAATCTGAATTTAGAGTTACATCCTGCAATATCAGTTATCAGATATGCAGAAGGTTGGTACTATATTGTTATTCACTTGTAAAGCATAATTAAGAATAAATTGGAGGGGGGTTTTTGTCTGCCACTATTAACTGAATTGTCAGGAGAAGATGAGAAACTTAAGAATTTAAGTTTCTTAATTTAAGAATTTAACTGAATTTAACAGAATTTAACCTGTTGAGTAGTAGTTACCTAAATGTAATTGCCTAAGTGTTCCAGGACAAGAGCTATTGCTCATGGTGTCCCATCTTCCAAGGACTCTTTGGAACGGCTGACAGTTTTGTGATGTATGCATTGTACATTTAGATTATTGCGAGAAACTTAAGCAGGTTGAACACGGTGATTTTAATTTTGGCAAAATGGAGGAGCACGTGTTCTAATTCTGTATGTGAAAAAAATAAGAGAATAGCATTTCATTCATGGAAAGTATTTGATACATTTGAATCAAAGTACTTGATTCGAAAACTTTTTCCATGAATGAAAGTTAGTAAGTGAAAATTAGCATGAAATTAGTAAAGTTGTGGATGAAATAAGTAAAATTCTTACATTTGTTATCTCTCTTCGTACAGCTACCCAGCCCTACTCTCCGTGCCGTCCATTACTGGTGACGATAGTCTTCATCGGCTTGCTCGTTGCTACCGCCACAACCGTTTACCAGTCATCACTTGGCGACACCCTCGTACAAAAGCTTTACTTTTGAGAGGGGCTGGCTTTCATGGCATGGGTGTTAGGAGCATGCTCATAGGACCGTCAACAAACACAGGTATTGTGCAATATTTGTTCAGATGCAAGGCAGAATGCATTTTTGTATCAAAGTTCTAGACTTTATCGTAACTATCTTTTGTATGTCTTCAGTTAACGTTGATACTTTCACAATAAAGCAGAACAGTTAGGAAAATGAAAACAAATAAAGATTTACTTCAAATATGTACTGTAATCCATTTACAGCATGCACTTCAAACTAGGTAGCTAGTTAACTTTGGTTTCGTAAAGCAAATTTTTTTGTTCTTCCTAGGCATGTCTTTGAGTCCTCATTACTGTCTGGAGGCATCACAAATACAAAGAATCTATCGCTTATGAGAAAAATATCTTCCAGCCTTGATTTCGAGGTTTTTTTTTTATAGGTCTTTCTCCCCCAATTCATTAATCTTGGACTGACCTTAACTTGTTTATATAGTCATTTTCCATATCATAATTCACAAACCTCTTGAAATTACCATATTTCAAAACGTGGCAAAATAACTTGAAACAAATTTAGCCCCCTTTTTCTGCTGCTAATTAGAGTTTCTTTAAGACTAATTGCCTAGTGTTAAAGCTACACTACACACGTACACAAATCACTGGCCTTGTATTTCCATTCTAATCCTCCTTAGCTGTATTAGTAGAACAGAGATTCAATTCCTTAGCTTTGGTTTCCCCTCCATATTTTTACCATTTCCTTATTGTTTTCGGTATTGCTGTAAAGATCAGTGCCCTCGCTAAATTCATATATGCGTGCGAAGGTTATTTGTAGGTATGTATTCTGGTGAAGCGCTGGTTCTCGGGGAAAATGTTAATTAATCCACATGCCTTTCAAAACTGAATTAATTTCTGACATCTCTTTATCTTTACATAACATGTAAAAACAAAAAATTGCACTCAAATTTCATTGTTCATTGGTTGTCGTGGTTGAATATGTGTATAACATTAATATGGAACTGGCAGGGCTTAGTCATAATAAAATGTCTGGATATGAAAATGATTAGAGTAATTTTAGCATGTACAGTAATTATCTTTTTCAAGATTCATTAAAAAATGACAGTACTGAATGCTGTGTAAGGTGTATACATGCACACATAAGTAATACAGGGACTATATTAAAGGTTTATTTTAAAAATATATATATTTCCAGGCAATACTAGTGAAGTGTCACACTCAGTTGAACAAGAGAAATACTTAGCTTCAGTAGTTCAGTCAACACCCGTGTCAGTTCTCCGAGATGGTTCCTCGTGGCGACTTACAGATTCCACCCTCTCCATAAACTCCTTGGTGCTGGCAGCAGGGGGCCCAACCTTAGAAGTTCCCCCATATCATCCTACTTACCCTACACTCACACCTGAAGTTTGCAGGAAAACAAACCCCCTTTCGAAGGCCATGAACACGTTACGGTAAGTTATCTGAAAGGTGTGGTGACAAAATCGTGGAGACATACGGACATGTTTAACCCTCTGAGATATTTGTGTGGACTCATCCATACATGCTCGAGTAGTACCGCCATAACACTCCTGCTTCTCTTCTCAACACGACAGAGTAAGTGTGTACTATTAGACTTCTAACAATAACTAATGTTACCTGAATTACAAAAACTGCATATTCATGTGATGCCACTCATTTAAATAATCTTTTATCTCTGCGAGAATGTTTTATTTTCTTCTATGTGGTGAGTGGCATCACAGTCGTGTAATGCAGAATTTGAAGATCGTCCAGCCTTGCATAACTAGTTAGTCTTTAGCAATCAAGGGTAAATCTATCAGGCATTTCCAGTAAATATCACTTAAGAGCCATGTTAGATTAACAGGTACAGTACATGGCTCATAAGTGAATTATAGCCATTACAAAATTCATTATAGCTTTGCCCTTAATTGTAAAGCTGAAAGCGAGTTGTGACAGTATACAGCAGTGCAATGCTACTTGATACTTTTGCAATTGTAAAGAGCATGGTGCATGAAGGTAGTATTTTTTTTGTTTTGTTTTTGTAATTATAATTTTCAGTTTTGCAAGTTGTGCAGTGGAATTAAAGCTTGTAAGTGTCTTTGCTTCAGTGTAATATAATATACTTATCCATTGCTTGTTTATATACTTATATACATATTAAATTTAGCACGTTTACTAATTTTGACCTGTACTGTACACAGTCTTACAGACTAACCTGATTGTAGAGCACTGACTGAGTATTGGCTTTTATCTGACTTGTTCCTCAAGCTCTCAGTGATGTGACAAATCATCCTCTTCACATGCTTGCTCTTCCTTAAATTTGATCTCATTTACTATCCCTGAATTCAACTTACCAGCTGTCATCTACATATTGTGTGAAGCAAAGAATTTTGCCAGAATTCAATTTACATCTGATTGCAGTGCAACTGGAAATTGCCTTGCATTTGTTTTCCATTCTTGCTGTTGATGGATCACTTAAGAATAGGGTTCTGTAACGTTATCTTCACTTGTGTGTTTCATGACTTCAATACGTGGTGTAAAGGTGAAAAGTATATAGTACTGTACTTATGTGTCGGTAAAATCTATTTCTATGTTTTGCTTATTCAGTTCAGAGACATAATTTTCTAGAATGTCATAAAGGAAGAATATAAAATTTCGGTTGATATTTAAGTTGCAGCATCAGGGGGAGCCGCCAAACTCATTATGAACAGTATCAGGTTCATAACTTGCATGCCATATTTTAAGTTGTAACATCTTTGGATTCAGTATGACCTTTTTGTAACGATTGCTGCTAAACGACACTACTAACTCAGATTTGTACAGTTCACTAACCTAATAGCATGCACTCTGTATTAGTTTGGCATTAGCATGAATATTATGAGGTAAACGTTTTCTGTAGAACCTTGCATAGTGATTGCATTTGTGCTTGTTTTGTTTGGCATTGTTCTTTGCAAATGCTTTTTGGTGTTTGCTCCTAGACTGATATAGAAATATTATTTATGTAACATTATACAAAAGTTTAGTTGTGTAATAAAGAGTTTACTTGATGAATTTGCACCAACTGTGCAGTTTAAAGATAAGCTTTAATTTGTAGTTTTGTGTTAAACAGAATTTACATTTGTATATTCTTTAAAGCAAGGTTTTGCAGAATATTTTTATCACTAGCTCAGGTCATCATTCTTTTGCACTACTGCCAATGTTTCACATTAATAGTGACTGCTTGAACTTTTTTTTTTTTCATAAACATATTCTAGCATAAAACCACTTAAAGAGCATTAATATTTAGGAGTGACTTGGTTCATCACAAACTACGTTATTTTTTTTTACCCATTTTAACTTTCAAGCAATTACTAAAATATCGGCTTTGCCGTTCTTCTTTAGTGTTGTCAGTGGAGCTTCTATGTTTTTTCCCAATTCTTTGACGTTTAGGGCTTATACCAAAAGACATTGTACTTGTGTACTCATACACTTACAAAACACAAGCATATTAGTAACACAAGAAACTATTTCCTTTATTTTAGTAAAAGGGCAAACAGTGATACTGTACAAGGAAAACTGTGCTTAGGGACGTCATTAATGGGGTCCTACAAGGCTCTGTACTCGCCTTGCTCTTGTTCCCAATTCATGTAGATGACTTGCCAGAAAGTACGAGTAATAGCATAATCATTTCCAGATAATTACAGGCTACATTGAAAATTTAGTTAATTTTGAAAAATAAAATAATGCAGGGGAATTCTGAATAACAATCCCATCAGTGTGGACAACTGCCACTTATGGAAAGTGATATATGGGAAACCACCTTACCTTGAGGTTACCTTAAGGTGCTTCTGGGGCTTAGGGTCCCCGCAGCCCGGTCGTCGACCCAGGCCTCCTGGACTGGTTGCTGGACTGGTCAACCAGGCTGTTGGACGCGGCTGCTCGCAGCCTGATGAACGAATCACAGCGTGGTTGATCGGGTATCCTTTGGAGGTGCTTATCCAGTTCTTAAACACTGTGAGGGGTCGGCCAGTTATGCCCCTTATGTGTAGTGGAAGCATGTTGAACAGTCTCAGGTCTCTGATGTTGATAGTTCTCTCTCAGAGTACCTGTTGCACCTCTGCTTTTCAACTGGGGTATTCTGCACATCCTGCCATGCCTCCTGGTCTCATGTGATGTTATTTCTGTATGCAGGTTTGGGACTAGTTCCTCTAATATTTTCCACGAATAAATTATTATGTATCTCCCGCCTGCGCTCAGGAGAATACAGATTTAGGCTCTTTAGTCAGTCCCAGTAGTTTAGATGTTTTAATGAGTGGATTTTAGTAGTAAAGGATCTCTGCATGCTCTCCAGGTCAGCAATTTCTCCTGTAGCACATGAGCTGGAACTTATCTTCGTTAAGCACCATATTATTTTCTGTAGTCCATAGAAAGACCTGATTTATGTCTGATTGGAGGTTTACCGTGTCCTCTCTGTTGTCTACTCTCATGAAAATCCTATTGTCATCTGCAAAGGATAATATAGTACCTGTCTGTGTCCGATATGAGGATGAGAAAAAGTACCGGAGCAAGCACAGTACCCTGGGGGACTGAGCTTTTCACGGTTGATGGACTGGGTTTTATTTTATTGACTATTACACATTGGGTTTTGTTAGTCAGGAAATTGTAAATCCATCTGCCTATTTTTCCGGTAATTCCTTTTGAACGCATTTTATGTGCAATAACACCATGGTCACATTTGTCAAAGGCTTTTGCAAAATTTGTGTAAATTACATCAGCAGTTTGTTTGTCTTCCATGGCATCTAATGCCATGTCATAGTGGTTTAGCAACTGTGACAGGCAAGAGCACCCTGTTCTGAAACCATGTTGTCCAGGGTTATGGAAATGCTGTGATTCCATGTATTTTGTGATCTTACTTCTTAGCACTCTCAAAGATTTTTATGATGTGCGATGTTAGTGCTATCGGTCTGTAATTTTTTGCCTCTGCCTTATTACCTCCTTTATGGAGTGGTGCTATCTCTGCTGTTTTTAGTATGTCAGGGATAACGCCAGTATCTAGGCTTTGTCTCCAAAGATTGTGAAGGGCCTGCGATAGTAGTTTTTTACAGTTTTCGATGAATATGGAGTTCCAAGAATCAGGGCCTGGTGCAGAGTGCATAGGCATACTGTTTATGGCTTCTTCAAAATCCAATGGGGATAGGGTGACATCTGATTTATGTTTTGATGTTGGTATCATAACCATGAAAAATTCATTTGGGTTTTCAATCTTTAGTGTGGTTAGTCCTCGCTGAAAACAGTGTTGTACTGCTTCCTCAGTATCTCGCTCATTTCTTTGTTGTCATTAGTAAAAGTTTCATCTCCCTTTTGCAGGGGCCCGATACTAGATGTGGTTTTTTATCTTGATTTTGCATAGGAGTAAAAGTATTTCGGATTAGCCAGGCCATATTCAGCTCACAACTCTTGGGGAAAGACTAAAAGAACTTGGGCAAGTATAGAGACCTTGAGTGATCTGGATTGTCACTACTGTGGCCAGTTTCAAAATTCCCTTCTAATAATTGTGTTGGGGAAGGGAATTATCAGGGGAAATTGCCAAGCTATTATGACTATATAGCACTTGGAAGAAGTTAGGATGAAAATTTGGGATGGGACAAGGTGGGGAAGGAATGGGGGCCATCCATTTGGACGGTCGGGGATTGAACACCAACCTGCACGAAGCAAGACCGTCGCTCTATTGTCCAGCCCCAGTGGTTGGGCCTAAATGGGTGGAGAAATATTTGAAATATTGTTCACAACATTATTTAATAACAACTTATCTAGAATATGTAGCTGTTGTATAGTCAACATCTCTCTAAAAAACATGTGCACAGATTAAACGGGAAGACTTGCAAAGACTAAATGTCTTGCAGGCTTTAATAAGTTGGTGGTGTAAGGAGAGGCTGGAGACACTAGATATGCCAAAACTAGTACAGGTACAGTACATTATACATAAAAATGCGATATGATCATGTACAAAATTATCACACAAATTAAATAAGAATTAATGGGGATTTTTTGTAAATCTCAACATTGTGAACAAAAGATTACATATGAAATTATGACACCTAAGGCCCCCCCCCCCCCCCTTTCCGCCACTAAAAAAAAAGTGCAAAAATTTTGTTTTGTAAATATTGATAGATGGATGAAATAAATTAATGAGTATTGTATACTAAAACCATTTGAAGCTTCAAAAATTTGTATGAAAAATATTTATATTGAAGATGACACACCAGGAGCTTCTCTAACATCGTGTAACTACACTTGGCCAAATTACACACACGCACGCACGCATGTACGCATGCACATGCCACTAAGTGGCTCCCAGAACTGAAGGACAAGAGCTATGAGGAGAGGGTAGAGGTATTAAAAATGCCAAAACTAGAAGATAGAAGTAAGAGGCGATATGATCACTATGTACAAGATAGTAACAGGAATCGATAAAATTGATAGGGAAGACTTCCTGAGACCTGGAACTTCAAGAACGAGAGGTCATAGATTTAAACTAACTAAACAAAGATGCAGAAGAAATCTAAGAAATTCACTTTGGTAAACAGAGTGGTAGATGGTTAGAAGAAGTTAGGTGAGGAGATGGTAGAGTCCAAACCGTCGGTACTTTCAAAGCGTCATATGACAGAGTGTTGGGAAGACGGGACACCACGAGCATAGCTCTTATCCTGTAACTGCACTTAGATAATTACATCCACACACACATTTAGGTAATTACACATACTTTCAGCGGGTAATTAGAAGTTAAACATAGCACTCCATTGCACTGCCTCCACTCACACCACAGTGCATATCACTCTCCACTTTTACCACAGTGCACATCACTCTCTACTCACACCACTGTACCTTGGTAGTCTGCTCCATGTTCATTTTCATGTTGTGTGTCTACTCAGTACTCATTCTCTTCCTAACTATTCATCAAACTTTTCATTTCTTCTATTTGTGCTTTTACTGCCTTGGCTGAATGAACCATAATGCACTGGGTAGTGTATTTCCAGTTTGTGTTTTCATCTCCTTGTTTATGCTCTTTAGGTCTTCACTTGTAGGTGTTTGTTTAAGCAGGCCTCATTCTTTCTTCATATTGTTGTTCTTCAGTGCAACTAGCCACTGTTTCATTATATGATACCTGTCCATACAGTCTGGTGTACAAAATGCATTGGCAGACTGTTTTGGTATCATTTCACCACTTAAAAGAAATTTAGATTTAAATGATAAGATTCTATTTGAGGCTAACCCTTAAGAAAGTGAAATTCCTAGAGGGAACAAGATATCAGAATTATAAAAGAAAAAAGATTGAGTAATAGAGCTTTCAGCTGTCATATCTTAAGAAGATTAGATTTTTCAAACATTGTTACGTGTGGGATTATGGTGGACCGTTGTTTAATTACAGTACTTCTAATAGAGGGTAAAGCGTTTGACTAATAATTTACATTTTTTAACTTAACCCGACCATGGAATACGTAGCTTTATTACAAAAATACCTCGGAAGTCACCCCATTGTTCTAGTATGACCATTTATGCTTAACCCTTGCACTGCTCACCTATTTTCGGCAAAAACGTCTTGGTGCAATTGACAAGGACATATTTTTGTTATTTTTACAAATGTTCAGGTAAATTTAATGTCAAAATGTTTCCAAAGTCAAATATTTCCATTTCAAAACACAAATAGTAATGAAAACATTAAAAAACATTAAAATATAGCCAAATTAAAAAACAAAAAGCACAACTCTCTGAGCGCCTAAAGGCGCTTTGCGCAGTGCAGTGGTTAAAACAGCTTTCTTTATTCAGGGATTTGTTTTTACCCCCTTACTGTGATTTGTTATTTATAGATGGAGTTAGTAGCACCCATTCATTAGAGCATCATCAAATAAGATGAAAATTGAAAGTTCAAACAAAAATCGGAAAGTAGTTTATCAAAATGTAATAGGAAATAAGTGCAAGTAATTCAAATATTTTTGTTTCGTGTAACTGGAAAGAAACTAAAGTATGTGGTAAAAAATTTGTTCATTTAAAAATGTAAAATTTTGGTTAAAGAAAGTGTTTATAGTCTGTGCTTGTCGTTATTTTTCAATGTTTTATTGTTTATTAAAAATATAACATTAATCCTTACTTTTATATGTGAAAGTTTGCAAAAGTGATTGAAAATTCAGCTGGCATTATATCGCATGACCTTCGAAAATGGCCATATAAATCTGATGGTTGCAACGAGGGTCGGTCGTAGGGTCAAGTGTGTCATTATTCATCGTCATTGTTTTATTGCCAACTCTTTAATTTCATCTGTATTTATATCTCTGGCTTTTCTTAAACTGTTATTTCCTCTTTGTAAATATTTTGGTGGTTATTTAAATTTCTAATGAGGATTGCATGATGTAAGGGATAATGCTCTGCAACTGCAGCTTTTGAGACTTGGGCTTAGTTCTGGAGATGGATTGGACTGTTAATCATAGAATTGGGCCATGCTTCACGGTGCACTTATGTGTCCCCCTTGCAAGATTGGTACCTGTTACCTCGATCATGGCAGCTTAATCTGTATATAGTTTGCCAGTTACAGTGTGCTACAAGGTCATCCATAATACAAATAATCTCTGGCTGAAGATATGTTTAATAAATGCAGTATAAACTGCCATGATTGAGGTAAGAAATACAGATCTCATAGTTAGACACACAAATGTTTCATGAATCATGGCCCAGGTCACATGCCACGTTAAGGCCTCAGTTTGATTAAATTAGTCATGCACGTAACAGTGTCGTACAGTGAACAGGTGCCACATCAATACAGTATTTTTAAAGTGATACCTAGATACAAGATACACTTAACATGAACAGCCAACTCCACAACCTGTGACTTTCTCTGTTGTCATACAGGGTATTTAAATTATTTCATAATTTTTTTATTTTTATTTTTAAGATTACCTTATGGCAAATTTCTGAAGCTGTGGCTATATTAGCTTTTGCTATTTTGCTTTTGCTTTCACAGAGGGTGGCCTAAAGACTCGAGGATTTAAGATAAATGCTCTGCTGTATGTATTTGTAAAGGATATTTCTGCTTTTCCCTATAAATGTGTACATTTCTGCACATACTTTTGTCTGTCTTAGACATCTTACTCTTCTCATAATCATCTGTTTTCCAAAAATCTATAGCAGCATGCCCTGCCACATTCTTCTCTTCTTACCTCACCTCCTCACATCCGGGCAGCCAGTCACTCAGTCAGGTCTCCAGGTGGCCTGCTGTTGTACGTACTGACCTTCCCCCCTGCCCGTTTTATCAGGACAAGCGGGGGCAAGGGTACTGGCAGGATGGGGCGGTGGGGCTCCATACGTGGGTCACGTCTGGGTGTCCTGTCCGGTGGTGGGGCTGGAGGGACCCTCGGGACCCTCCGCCACTACCCTACAACCACCACTGCCCTTCGTTCCAGCATCAGCACGGGGCCAAGACTCTCTGTTGATTCTTCTGACACTGGTTCTGAAGCAGTACAATCCTTCCACAAGGCTGCTCTCTATGTTTTTGGTGAAAAGACACAAATTAAGGTATGTTCATTAAAACTATCTTTTTTTCTAACACATTATTTTGATCAATGTAAATAATAAGCAGTTGTGTTTTTCTGAGTAAATAGTGGCATATATTATTTTTAATCCAAGCTGTGATCTTTACCTCATTTCAAATGTTAGTAATATATGATGTTTCATGTAGGAAGAGAAGTTTGATTTAAAATTAGTCTTCATTGTGTAAATTGTGAATCATATTTAATCATTTAAAGAACTGGTCAGGTGTAAATCTTTTCTCGAGAGCTTGCAATTATGAAATACTGTACTGAATATGAAAATATTTTTTCAATTTGAATTTCATTTGTCTTATCTGATATTTATCAGCTTACCTGTTTGCCATGTCTCAAGCTCTGACAAAATCAATTTTAAAAATAAAATTGTAATCCATTATTATGCTATTGACTAGAAAGGAGCATGAAATTTCATAGCATTTTCTTTATCAGTAATGTGATGATTTATACAGAGACTTTATTTATCTTTTCATGCATATAAGAATTAAGTTAAAATATTAAGCATTTGCAATTGAGGGGAATCTTGCTAATGATCTACACCATATTTGGCTAAGTACAAGGCGCTTGTAATTCTAAGACTCTGATTTTGTTTGGATATATTGCATGCAAAAATGCGTGGACCACCAATTCTAAGGTGCAATTTGAAATCGAGTCATTAAGTTAAACACTTTCCATCAATATTATATTTGTGGGAAACTATTTTAACTCGTTAACAAACTGACACCCATGAAATTAGTGCAACAAAGTTTTGGACCATCCTGGACAATTATTAGTTATGGCTTAAAAAGGGTCTAGAACAGGCTGAAATAACATCACTTTCATATTTCACGTGTGTGGGTGAACCTACTTGTGTTCAGCCACGTTATTGTGGCTATTTCTTTGAATGGTTTAATAGTTTTTATTATATATAAGCATACAGAGTTTCATGGTAAATTAAAGTTTATGAAATAGTATAATAAAAAAGGAATAAAAGTTTATTACGTGTACAGTATTGTCAAACTTAATGTACTCTTTTTACCTATGCTTTATGTGAGCGTGGTGGTGGTGGTGGTGGAGACCCGTAGTGGTAATGTTTTGATGGTAGGCAGAGATACCTAGTGAGAGATGGAGGAAGAGTTGATGTTGAGAATTTTCGTTACACATATCTTAGCTTTCTACTTTATGAAGTTAATTTTTTTTGTTTTTAAGTGCGCACTAAAGTACTTGGGTAAATATGGTATAGTCTGAATGATAAATTGATTCAGTAGTACACTCAAATACCAGATAGTGAGGTATCAATTTACTAATACAATTTTATAGGCTTCCTTATTCTGAGCCTTATTGTTTTAGTTTATAAGCAAGATGTTTATTCAATTGGCTTCTAATAATTTATTGTCTATTGTCTGGTAAGATAAGAAAAGTGTTAAGACATTCAAAGTATCGCCCACCTGTCTTAAACTGTTAAATATACAGTGCATTATCACTTTAATTTGTTATTTAAGTTGTTGTATACAGCAACAAAGTGCAGTAAATTATACCCCCGTGGTCTACTAGGGCATCAAGACGGATGCTTACCATAAAACTGAGTTCATCCCAGTAGACTTCACCGAGGTACGACAGATCAAATCTTCATTTAAGAAGTTGATGAGAGCCTGCATACCTTCTTCCCCAACTGCTGAGCAAGAACAGTCCTTTTTCAGGTAAAATTTTGATCCATTTGACTTCAACAATATCTGATGAACTCAAAAGGATAGGAACAAGGCAGGGAAGTTGATTTGGGCTATTTCTTCTGATTGTTTTCCATTTTTTCATACTGTTCATGAAGGTTTCTTGGGTAGAATGGGAATGTGATGTGCTTTACAAAGAATATGATGAACTTTAGGAGGGGTATGATAACCTTTAGAAGGGATATGATAAGCTTTAGGAGGGATACATTAAGCTTTAGGGGGTATGATAAATTTTAGGGGAGATATGATAACCTGTAGGGGGATATGATAACCTGTAGGGGGATATGATAACCTGTAGGGGATATGATAACATGCATGGGAATATGATAAGCTTTAAGGGGATATGATAGGCATTAGGGGGATATGATAAACTTTAGGGGAATGTGATATACTTTATAGAGAATAAGATATACTTTAGGCTTAATGCCAAACATTGGAACTATCAATTGGCATAGTTTGGAAGTTGGGTGGGGGAGGTTATTGAAACAAGGCCAATCACTGGCACTAATATGTTAGTGTAATTGGATTGGCAGGGACATATTTAGCCGAAAGTCAAACACCGGAACTACTGTGATGTCCAATAGTGCAGCTGGTACAGGGAGTGGGTGGGATTTTATGCCTAAGGCCAAGCAGTGGTATTACCAATCATTAGCACAATTGGGTTGATGGAGAGGCATACTGATCGGCATTTATTGGTTTGGGAGATTGGTGCTTTAGCTTTGATGTCCAAAGGGATTGGAAAGGATGGGGGATGAGAGGTAGAGGGATGGGGAGATAAAATTCAGAAAGAGGATGTGGGTGTAGAGAGAGAGGAGGTTTGAAAGTTCGGTGGCCTGTCCACCACGGGTTGACGTGTGTGTGTGTTGTTTGTTTGTGTATGTGTGTTATGTTGGGTTGTCAGTACATTGGCTGGGGGGGCTAGGGAATTGGTGGGGTGGCTAGATGATTTATATAAACCCCATTAAATGTTAAGATTAAAGGCTAATGAGGCAAATCATCTTTGGATAATTCTGCTCATGGCAGTTTGTGAGCTGGATGGAAAAGCATGTGACCGGAAACATATATGGTGTGAAGGAGGAATTAAGGCAATATCTTAAGATTTTGTTTATGTATTGCAGGGCAATTGAGAACAGCGAGTGGCTGAACCAACTAGAATCTCTACTGCAGGTTTCTGGGGCCATAGTTGACCTTATAGACCTGCTTGGTGCATCCGTTATGGTGCTACTGGAGGATGGGTGGGACTTTACTGCTCAAGTAAGGACAATTTTTTTTACGTTTTTGTATCTGAAAAATGATTTCTTTTGTTCACTATCTCTTATTACCATGACTCTTCACCACCACACCTTGTACAGTTAAATTGTTTATGGAGAATAATAATTCCCATTGATGGGAACAGGAAACCTGTACGTAGGCATCTTGAGATCCTGCTAAGCCTACTAATGACCTACCCCAGCATGCAACCCACTACAGTTGCCTAACTCCCATGTGCCTATAAGGTAAAAGGAAATGTGCCCCAACTCTTTGTTCTTACTTGGGATTGAACCCATGTGTTTAGTGTTTATTGTGGCCAAGTAGAGTGGAATACAAGCGGTGAATAAATCACATTATCTGTCAGGGCTATATGTAGTGGTTTTATACAACCTAGTTATTTTAATTATCAAATTTATATTTGGTAATGTCTATACACAATTGTGTATATTATTTTTAAGGATCTTGTTTCAAGCCTCATTTTGTGTGTGTTAGACTGGTAGGTATTTGTAATATTTTGTTGTTCTTGCAGTAATGTTTTATGAAGAATGACGACTTACATTTATGCTATAGTCCTGTACAGTATAGGTTTTTGTAATGTGTTAAGCAATCGTACATTTTTAAATTCTGTATACTTTTCAGGTTACTAGCATAGCCCAGCTGTGCCTTGACCCATACTACCGAACTATTGAGGGATTTCGAGTTTTGGTGGAGAAGGAATGGCTAGCTTTTGGTCACAGATTCAACCACCGATCAAATCTCCTTCAAGGATCCCAAGCTAGTGGATTTGCTCCCATCTTTTTACAATTTCTTGATGCTGTGCACCAGGTAAGAAATCAGTTGATAGTTGTCATCCTCCTGTTGTCACAGCCAGTAATACAATGGCACAGTAATGAGTATAATTAAATCTTTTCCTTTATAATATTTATTTTGGTTAGAAAATTGAATAGGCAGATAAACAATTAAAGTATGAACATATCAGTTAACAAATTTGAAAAATCATATTCTGTGGCCATTAGCTTGTATTACATTTCACTTCCTTACTAACTATAATCTTTACCAACAGATTCAACGCCAATTTCCCTTATCTTTTGAATTCAATGAGTACTACCTCCGATTCTTGGCTTATCACTATGTTTCTGCACGTTTCCGCACTTTCCTGAGTGATTCTGAGTTGGAGAGAGCCGAGTTGGGAATTATGACTGAAGAGGACAAACGGGGATCCCTCTCTCGGCATCATAAAGGTCTGGAAGCAACGCAGGATGATGATATTTATCCGGGAGGTATTAAACTTAGCTTTTCTCTGACAATCTACTTGTATTAAGTCTGCTAGTAATAGTAGCTCTGCCCAGTTTCTTTTTTTTAGGTTTCCAACTCACTATAAATTTACCAGCCGACTAAATTTTTTGCTTTACTAGAAACCAGCTTGTTAAAATTTCAGACTTTAAATTTATAGTCTTAAAATTTTCATACAGTTTTGAAGTTTGCACATAATATAGCTAACTACCTTTTATAAAAGGCCTAAATGCTGAACAATATAGCTGGTGAAATACTAAACCTATTGTTTTTAGCATGCAGCCATAAAAATGAGAAGATATTAGTTTAGTTTTATGCAGATCTAATGCGTATTGGAGAAGTAGACAAAATGTGTTGCATTAAGGTTCACCTTAAACAGCTGGTGATACATGTATTAGTAGAACTGAAGCCGTTGAAAAGCAAGAGATTACTAGATGGAGCCATCCAGTCAGAACTGATTAAGTGTAGGCCAGTAAAATGGTGTCATTTGATTTAAGCTAACAAGCTTACAAAAACATTTATATTTAGCACCACTAAATATAAATTAGCATTATATATATAATGCTAATTTATATTTAGGTCCATTAGCATTCCTCTAAATATAAATGTTATGAAGATTAAGTTGAAGAAACAATTTTTAATAATTTTTAATATAGGTACAAGAGAGATAATTTACCATTACTGTACTGTATTTTGTACATAGTAAAATGATACCGTAGTAGCATTAAAAAGGTTTACATTGGTAGCTATATAAGATTAAGATAATTATAGTTTTACAAATAAAAAATCAAACTGGCCCTTGTGATTTGTACAAGTTAGTTAATTCTTATGCAAGTAAACTTAATTTCTTGAGAACTGTTGAAGGATTTCCTGTTTATGAATTATTTGGCATTTGTTTTAACAGATGAGCTACACTTTATAATGTGTGTGTGTATATGTATATATATATATATACTGTATATATATATATAAAAATTTTATTATATTATAAATCTAATTGGATGTTTAATTTTCAGGGGGCCGTTTAGGATCACCTGGATCATCAGGTCACCTCGGACAGTCTGTATTTGACTATATAGAAAAACTGAGTGGACGCTCTACAGTCTTCCACAACTTCCTGTACATGGGTGATAGAATAAGTGACTCAGCAGTATGTATTTAGTGTGGGTGCATGGTTCCACTAACTTTGGCAAATGTGCATGGACTTAATAGGTATAGAATTTCTGTAATTGTCTTTCAAATTATTGTTAGATATATAACCCAACCCATACATATGAAAAGACTGGAATGTGGTGAGGTTTTGTCTCACCCTGGACCCTTATTGAGTTGCAACGGTCCAGAATCCAGGATGGACCAAAATGGCATCGCATTCCTCTTTTTTTTTTTTTTATATGTATGGGTTATGTTGTTTGTTTTCAGCCATGGTATTGTCGCTTATTCTCTGCACTGAGTCAGATAATTGACCAGTTAGTCTCAGACATCCATAGAATCACTAAAATTGTGTTCTTTACTTTGGCTATGTTTACACTAAACCCCACTACTGTCTTCCCAGTTAAATTTTCTCCTCCGCATTTGATAATCAATCAATATTTTTGTCTCGTTCTTTTTTCTTTATGTAGATGCCTCTTTTCTTTTCTTTTCCTATTTTTAGGGATTTTAGATTTCCATATGTACTTGCAGAGACAATCCTTATTCTTCCTATGGTATTATTTCACATTTTAAGCAAGTAGTAACTACTCACTTGTGTAGCAGTTAAATCATTATCTGGATATATTTCCAGTGTTTTGAATGTTTAAAACATCTTTTAACATTTGATCTGTAACCTCTCCAGTTCCATGAAAGCAGTTGACAGCTATGTTTCAATCTTTATGGAGAGAATCTGTTCTGCTCTGTAATAATTAAAATGTCCTGCTGAGTCTGTCATGATGTCATTTGACACCAGAGACCTTTGGCATCTGTTCACCATGTGTTATTACTTGAGCTTTTATTATTGTTATTTTCATCATCATTCCCCATTTCTCACTTTTATGAGGCTGGTACACAATAACATGCATAAGAAGAAGAGGCAGTATAGATAAAAGAGAAATATTAAACAATTATTCGTGTCATTTCACTTTATCTTATTCTGTATAGCACCACTGATAAATGAACACCACACACTCCAGCAAATCATCTACAGCAGCAGCACCCCACCACTTCTTAAGGCTAGGTGTACAGTGTTTGGCATGAGTTGTAATAACAAATATTTTCTTCCTCTTCACAAATTGTTGTGACTTAGCTTTGTTCTCCATCACATCCTTGCATCCTCAAGTCTTGTTTCTGGGCAGGGTGATTTTCCTCCGTCACCTTGGTTTTTATCTTCTCGTACCCTTAAATTTAGTTAAACACTCACTCTCCCCACTTATTGTCACCCATTCATTCATCATAACTAAATCATCTTGGTTCACTCTCCTCAATCAGGGGAGTTACTGACTTGCACTCTACATCTTTGTATGACATTTTCATTCCCTACTCCTGTTTTTGGCACAACTTTATTTCATAGCCATATCTACTGGAAACACAACCCCTCCTTCATGCAGCACCCCCCCCCTCCCCAACCTCCTGACTTCATCTCTTCCTATAAACATATTCATTCTCTTTCACTACACCAGCTCCTCTCCTTCCCTGACTCACTGAACTTTGATTGCACAAATTCTTATTTTATGTCACACTTCCAAGATATATAAACTAATCAACCACTTCTCCATTCACATTAATTCCATTCACTATTCACCATACACTATTCTGTTCTTTCTCCACAGCTATGTCCACATTTACGGTATCAATAAAATGTTATTGATATATAAAAAAATTCTTACATTCTTGTACAGCCATTAGCACGCATAGCGTTTCGGGCAAATCCTTAATCCTAAATTTTCCCCAGAATACGACCCGCCAAATCGTTTAACAACCAGGTACCCATTCACTGCTGGGGGAACAGAGGCTACAGTTAAGGATTGGCACCCGGTCAATCCACCCCGGCCAGGATACAAACCCAAGCCAAAGTGCTCATGAAATGTCATGCGAGTGTGTTACTACTGCACCACGGCGACTGCTTAATCCCCATGGCAGTCAACATATCATTGTCTTCCTCTCATTATCTAATAAAATATGTTTCAATCGGCATTAGGGACCAAGGATACTTTCCTTAATTTTCATAACGCAATATAGAAATATCCAGTTTATATAACAATTCAGTTGTAAAATATAGTTTGCCATTTTTGTTATGAAGACCAATAAAAATGTCTCAAATGTTTTTGCCTTGCCTTTCAAGCTATGGTTTATTTTTAGTTTATCTATTTTTTGTATTAATTATATTTGAGCTTGGCGCACTCAAATTTGCTACTGTATTCACCTGATGGCCTCTAGTGCTAGTGACAGATGCATCATGCATATTTAATCTAAATTTCAGGAAGGTATTGTAGTTCTATGCACTTTGGTCACCACTGACCAAAGTTCACAGAGAACTACAGTGCTTTATCATAGCACTTTGGAGTGAAACACATGTTAGGAATGAAACATTTTGACTTTGTTCTCTATAACTATTAAAGTAATTAATGCAAACTCCATTAATATTCTTCATACTCCAAGTACAGTATGCTTAAGAGATGTTGGTCCATCTATTGGCAATTTAAAACTTCAAATTAATAAAGGATTTGACCTTTGAAAATGAGATTAAATAGGTTATTTAGAATAAAATATATAAATTTGTATTGTGCTTAACACTGGAATATGGTAAATCATTATTTATAGAATTTAAACTTGTATTTGGTTTTCTTCTATATTTTTATATACATAGTGTATGATAATTTATATTCCTTATATTACCTGAATATGTCTTGAAGGTGCTACGACCAGTGAAAGAAGTTAGTGCTCTCCAATTATGGAATTACTTGCTTGGAGAGGAGCTGCGTCACGGGCCATCATATGACCCTGAGGTTCGGAACTTAGACAGACAACAGGAGGAGGAGGCTGAAGCGGCAGACGGCACGATCACCACATCTCAGCGGAGAATAGTTATGAGTGGGCAAGTATGAAGGGTATTTGTATCCCTGGTGTGGAATTGATATAGTAATACAGTACTGTGTATTGTTGTGTGCTGGAAGTTTATCATTAAGGAAAGCTCATATTAACCAGTCTTGCTATTGCCACAGAATTTATTAACAAAAAATATTTACTTGTATATTATGTATATGCATATGTATTTATGCAGTAGTCATTGAGAAAAATGCAATTTTGTCAAGCATTATTGTGTGACATTCATCAGGGTGCCATGAAGTGACAGGACTTGTTCAAAATTGAGTTGTTTCTCAGTGGTTCTACTGCAGACCGTATCCAGGCTCAAGAACTTTATGCATACTGGTATATGTGAATGTTAGTACAAGTAAATATTAACTTCATTGCCTTCCTTGAAAATGATAAAAATACATAATGAGAAGCTATGACCATTTTGTATTGTACGTCAGCAGATATGACTGCGTCTGGGGCGTGCAACTAGATGCCTTTTCTGCTCAGCTAGAGGAACTACGCCACCTTGAATTAGAGCTTGGACATCTCCCCCAAAAATGGAACATGCACTGGGATAAGCTGGAACTGCCTCCACCTGAGCAACTGACTGTAAGTGAATCATCACATGCCAAAGCTGAGTTATCCAAGTCTTAGAAAAATTTAATGATTTTCCTGAGCTACAGTGATCAAATGTGGCATTAAGTGTAAGAGGGATAAAGAAATGAAATGCTAGAGGTTAACTGCTCAATGATAGTTACTACGAGGATGGAAAGTTAATTTTTCACTTGTATGGTGTATTGCATACAGTACTGAGGCATGGTAAAGTATGTTCCTCGTTACATCACATTTTGTCTTTTAACTAAAGGTTTCTTTTATAATAATTTTGTTTTACACTTTCGTGGAGTGGGGAGGTATCAGACTGCTGGAGACAGAAGCCCTATAGGAAAAGTAGGTTAAATGTATTCTAAATATATCCAGGTTGCTCACTACCACATAAACTTAAGATTCTAAACCAAACATTTGTTTATATACCGGATTTTTTGGTATATAAACTGTACCTTTTTTACAAGGATATTTTGTGTGAAAACAGTTTTGTGTATTTCACCATACATTTCTTGAAAAGTGATTTTCAAGTGGTTTTGTAGAGGAAAACATGATTTTATGCATGTAAATGCATATATTGGGTTGATTATGAACATGAATTATGCATACACTGGAAAATCATAATAACTGGTTCAATCCCTGTCCTGCTCCAATGAGTTTTGTAAAAATTATGCATCCTATATGCCAGAAATTATGGCACATCTTGCATGACACTGAGGTGCAATATTGGTTCAGTCAATTTTCTCTAAGATTACTATTACTTTTTCTGCTCTCACTTTTTTTTTTTCAATGGTAGTAAGAGGAATATGTGGAGAATCATTGGGTCTTTTGATAATACTCTTGAATACTGTAGTAGAGAGAAGATGGTTCCATGGAAAGCTTCAAGATGTTATAATATTTTAACTATGTGGCCAGTCTTTAGTAATAGTCAACAATTATGTTCATTTTTTTCAAATTTGTTAGATTGCTGTTTATATCTAAGGTAACATAGTGAGTTTGAGAGTTACAAGTTTATGATGTGTGAAATACATTTGTTGTAATTGATATTTTGTAAATGTTAGTTAAAGCGTAATACAGTATGCTCTATAGAATTAGCTTATTCATAGCTTATGATCCAATTTACAGCGCATTTTAATATTATATATTATCGTTGATTCATTTTTGCTCTTTTCTCATCAGCGTCAGGTATCCATGACAACCCAAATGGTGCGTCACCATGGACGAAGTGTTCACAAGCGTAGCACGATAGAAATACTGATTCGAGGAAAGACAAGTGGAAGCACTCCAGGTGGCGGTGGTGACACCCCTCAGGGTTGTTATTCCCACCCACACCGATTTGAAAAGTACAATTACACCACGCCCTCGTATTGTGATCATTGCTCTTCGTTATTATGGGGTCCACTTAAGGTGAGTTTATGATAGTTGGTAAACCGTAATGTGTAAAGTGTTTCATTTCACATGTGGGGTCATTTCACATATTCATTTGAATCACTCAAATCTAAAAACAATTTTTGGCATATTTTGATGTATGGATAGGTTTTGTTTCAATGAGCAAAAATTTTTCTTTTGCATACATGTGAAATGTTCATGGTAACTTAGTTAAAAGATGGGTAAAAGGTGGAATTTGTACTAGATTGGTTCCATTCTTTCCTCTACTGACCTCTCCTCTTTCCTCTCGTGTTCCCTTTTATTTCTTCCTCTTATTTTTCTCCCTTTATTCATTCTCTCTTTTGTCCTTTCACTTTCATTGTGAAGATATTGTAAGGTGAGGTTTCTGGTTTCTGGTTGCTTAAATAAGTTATTTGTGTTCAAATTAGAAGTGCCTCCTTTATTAACGTTGTGGAAAACCATTATTAGGGATTATCATTTAAAATTATTTGTTTTGGACTGCTAAATGTGGACGAGAGCCTTCCTTGTTAGTGGTGACCTGAGTGGACCAATGGACCTAGGGCAGCAATGAGGGACCACTCCAAAAGAAGCTTTTCATTACACTTGTTATGCTGTTTGTTCTGTAATACGGTAGTATAAGTTATATTTTTATTATCTGTGAAATAAATCTGCTAGTTACAAGCATGTGATGTGTTATTGGCAGACGGGAATGCGGTGTATGGACTGTGGGTATAACTGCCATGAAAAGTGCATAGAGTCGGTGCCCAAGAACTGCACCAGGTTTAAGAGTGTCCGAGAGTCTGGAGTGAGCATACAAACCAGCACAAAACCTACCAGCTTAGATACTACCTCTGTAGGATCAGGTAAGGTTACTCGCTTTATTTATGCATTTCTTTTATTTGCAGTTTGTATTGTAGGTGTCTTATGGCTCCAGATTTTATAATGAATAATTTGCATTTTCCCCTCGAGTCTTATAGCTACAGATGTTATCAAAATTTAAAACTGCTCTAAGGCCAAGCTGCCCCCTAACATTTGTCATTTATTTTCTCCGTTCTTATTGCTTACAACCTCAAGACCAGGGGTTACATAAATTATAATGCTTACAACGCAGGGAAGAATATTATATTATTAGACCATTTTTATGCAGGTTTGTCAAAGGGAATATTAGCTGGGGACTTTGCTCTCAAAGTCAATAGTCAAAGACAAAGTAAATAGCGAGAGCAAAAAAACTTTATTATTTGTTCTCACTATGTAAATGTGCTTTAATTTGTTTTTAATTCCTATCCATTTCAAATAATTTTGGAAGTTATTAAATAAGCAGTAGTCAGGATTTTTGTTTTTCCTGGTAATTTTGCTGGTTTCTAGTTCTGTCTCAGATGTAATAGTTTATTAATGATGTAATTTGTAACAGGTGTGACATCCCTACAAACTACATCGCATCAATACTACGAGCAGTTTTCTTCAAACGTAGCAGAGAACAGAACACTTGAAGGATATTTATGGAAACGTGGGTCTCTCCTCAAAAACTGGAAACAACGGTGGTTTGTTCTAGACAGTGTAAAGCACCAGTTGCGGTATTATGATAGCATGGAAGATTCTCATTTTAAGGGAATTATTGGTAAGTATCTTTTTGAAGTAGCGTTTAGAGAAAATAGTACGAAACATTTTTGAGGAATAAAGCTATATAGCACTGACATAAGGTTTTGAAGCATAATGAATACTGTATGGCTAAATTAAAACAAATTTCTTGTTGTAATTTAATTGGAAAAAAAGCATCTAGAAAGCATAACCCTATGCATCATTAGTTTAAGAGATTTTTGTAATTAATCTCTCTCATTGTATAACACGTGTGGTTTTGACAGAAGCTTCATCATAGTCCAACAAGTGGTCCAAATTCTGTTACAGGAAAAATAATTCTCAACATTATAAAAGCTTCATTTCACTTTAATGTTAGTTTTCCATAAACGGGCTAGATCCTCACCCCAGAAAGCTTGTATCTGAAAAATATATTTTTATATCATGGATGATTTTTGTCCTGTACCATGTTCTTCATTTATGTATATCTTACATACCGGGAAATATTCTTTAAAAATTATTCGTCCACAGTTCTCTCACCAGTGTTTATTTTGTTCATCTACCTTGACTTGTTTTTGTTACTTTCCTTCTTTATTTTGTAGAGTGTAAACATATTTGTATAAATACATCCTGTCAATAACTGTTTGACTTCTAGGATAGCAAGTGTGAAAGATTGAGTTTAGTGTATGATAAATTGACATGAGGTTAATGGTAATGTTAATTTACAAAGGACTGTGCATCTTGGTATTAAATTTTGGAAAGTAGTAACCAGCTTAGGTTAACAAATTAGTAGGTTACATAGTTACAAAGAGGATCTTGTATTCCACTAAATGCTTGTTACCTGAAGCAAAATGTAAAATAGTCATGAAGTCACAAGATCAGTGCATGGTACTTAAGTATTGCACACAAATAGAATTTCCTTAGTGCCTGAATCTCACTCGTTATCATGCTGAACATGCACATTGAGAAAGGATACTAGTAAATAAATTATTTCTGAATTCCCATCTACTGACACCACACACACACACACACTAAAAGTTGACTATTGATTGATAGAAATTGGTGCTTTACTGTTAAATATTGATATATAATTAAGCATGTTATATTCCATGTTGAAATTGCCCACAGAATTGTCTGATGTTGTTGCTGTGATCGCATCTTTACCAACGCAAGGAGCGCCAAAGAAGGTTGATGAAAGAGCCTTTTTTGATGTAAGTGTTTTTGTTTAATGTTAACTGCAAGTGGCTAGAAATTGTGTGCGTGTGTACATTTATGTATGCGTATGTTTGTGTACCTAATTGTAGGTACAGGATGAGAGCTACGCTCGTGGTGTAATTATCTCGTGGTCTTTAGATAAGCTTAGATTCAGGAAAGACCTGGGTAAATACGGGTTTGGTAATATGGTGGTTGAGCTATGGAACAAATTTCTGGCTAAAATAACGACATAGGATCACTTGATTGTTTGGAGACATATTATAAATGAGTTTTGGTGGATATAAATAGCAGGCTAAAATGTTGTTAGCCTGCCTCATATGGGCTAATAGGTCTTCTGCAATTTCCCTAATTCTTAATGTTCTTACGTTAAGAGTGAGAAGGCATTGCCGAAGATTGTGAATGAATTTGATAGTGAGAACAAGAGAAGAAAGTTCAAGGTCTGTTTTGGAAAAAATGAGATTTTAAGAGAAAGGAAAGAGATGTAGATTTGTAGATCAGTTATAATGGCAAGACATAATGGTTTGATGAAATGGGGGAAGAGATAGTAATAGTGCCATGATTATTATTATTGGAATATGTAGTTTTTAAATACTTTGGGGGTAGTGTTAAATATAAAAGGGAGTATGATCAGAAGAAATAAAGAGGAGAGCAACCAGTGGTAGGAGAGATGACTAGTATAATAAAAGGAAGATATGTTAGTATGGGATTTATAAATGATTTAAGATTAAAGGATTTAAGAAATGTTGAGATAGCATACTGCTCCCAGTTCTGACATATGGGAGTGGAATGGGTGTGTGGAAAGGGAAAAGGTCTCAGGAGTAAAAGTAGTAAAAAATTAAATTATTTTGAGGAAACCATCATGTAAGGTGTGGTGAGCAATGAGGAAGTGAAAGGTTTTGTACGAGTGAATAGTGTGAGATGAAATGTGGAGTGGGTAAAGCACAATATATTAGGTGGTATGACCATCATCTTGGAATGTTTGAGGATTATTGAACTGATGTTCTACTTAAATACAACATGTTGCATATATATATCTCTTAATATTAATTTTTAATTTTTATTTAATTGTCCACAGCTCCAAACGAAACGGCGTTTGTATAATTTCTGTGCTTCAGACGGGCAAGCTGCACAAGAATGGATTGAGAAAATACAATCATGCTTGCAGTAGTGTGGACTCAGATGGCTGTACATGGTGAATTAAGTTAAGCTGGCTTTACATTGCTATGATAGTTGTCTAATGTACTTTGCTGATATCCTTCAGAAAATTTTGTTCAGCCTGGTTCCTATCCAGTATTATTATGACATTTTAAGACAATTTATAATTTTGAGGTTATTTTAGTCATGCTTTACTATCTCAAAGTTCTCATAATTATATCAATGGTGTCCTTTAGCAAAGAGTTTCTGCATAACTAAAATTGCAAGTAATTTGCTACTTGGTAATGTCTTTGATACATGGACTTACCTGTCACAACATATAGATGTACTTTCTGTCTGAGCCTAGATGTTTAGGGGACCAAACTATACATGAAACCACAGTATTCTTTGCAAGCTTTGCCTCTGATTTAGATTTTCTTTCATAATGGGTAGTCTGGTAAAGTGAAGAAAGCACGACGACTCATAATTTGATGCGAGTAGGGGGCTGGTCACCCTGACTGTTGTGTCCTGCTTATTGACAGTGTTGAGTAGACTGTCTTTTTCATTTTTCCTCTGGAAATTTGCATTAAGACTGTGAAAGGAATAAACAAGTCTGCATGACTGATGAGAAGACCCGAATTCCTGTAGATTGCATTTATTATCGTTATTATTATTATTGTTTTAAACATATGCCAGATTTTGTGTTTTGAATAATGAATGAAATTTTATATTGTGACAATCACATATTTTCTTATTAATCCTGTTGAAGTTGCTGTACGAACTAAACGTGTACGGCATTCTCTTTATAGCGTACAAAATAAAACAATCTGTCTGTCCTCCCTTCTCCTCTCTATCCCTCTGTCTCTTACCCTTATATCTTATTCATTGATAAAGGAAGCATGCTCTTGAAGAACATACTGAGGTAAACAAAACATGGTGGTGAAATTATTAGTCGTGTTGCCCTGACTACTTTGGTCTTTTCAAAATCTGATCAATTCCTAGTCTTGCCTCAATGTAAAATAAATATACTGTATATATATATATATTTGTTCCTCCTTCCCTTCTCCCCCCTTCTCCCCCCCCCATTCCCCAACCCACATCAGATCCCCTTAGTTTTCAGTCATATGTTCATCTTGTCTCCCTGTAATTTATCTCACTCTTATCACTGCCGGGATCAGTACTTTTTACGTATAATTATTGTCTAATTTTTTCGCAGCAAGTTTGTAGACTGCTCTCTCTCTCTCTCTCTCCCTCTTCCTTTAGACAACTACATTTATTTCCAAATTCTATTCTTGAATGCTATGGATACCAAGGTTTCTTTATTGACATAATCTTGATTATTTGCACTGGATGACTGGAAATTATTAGAATGGAGTCTGTGTGATCCTGAATGTCTTACCATTTCTTTAGCGGCATCTTCTGGCCTGCAATTTTAGTTATTTGGAGCGGTTTATTTTTGGTATTGAAAATCAACTTTAAGTCTGGGCTGCTAATCACGATTAATCTCAAGTTGTGCCATCAACATACAAAATGGGAAACATTAGGTGGGGATGTGAGGATGTTGCATGTATTTATTGTCTTCATTCTAGTTTAATGTCATCAGGCATTCCTTTTAAAAAAAAAGTTTATGCTTTTTTAGCTCGGTGTGCAATGTTGAATATGTTGCAAATATCTCGTGTGTGTGTGTGTGTCTGTCTTTGCTGCTGGTCATTCTCAGTTGGCCTATAGGAGTGTCTTAGATAAGTTTAGTATGCATTTTTTGGAGCGGTTGCTTTTTGTGGGTTTTAACTGCAAATGTTTCATTTTAGATACAAGAAGTACATGACACATAATAAGGCAGCATTAATTTTGCATATCATCTTGTTGATCGTGAAGAAGTAAGAAAACGTTTGGGAAAATGTTAGCGTTGAGAGAGAGATACTTATTCACTTTATATTCATAGAATAATTCAGTGAGTGCTCAACACTTTTTATTTCTCAATGTTTTCTGTCATGTACATACATAGATTAGATTGAGTACCTGGCAGTGCACGGCTCTATATATCTACAAAAGAACGTCTGTCTGTCCAGAGTTGGAGGCCAGGTGCTAGAGGCTAGCCTCACCTAAATTTGCAAGGGGAAATATGATCTGGGGTAAGGAACAAACATTGTCTGGTTGAGGTAGGCCTAACTTAAATCCTTTTAAGAAACATAAGCCTGAAACCCAACCACTCGGGGGAGCAGAACTCCCGAAACTCTCTCCAGGTACTACTGTATGCACATGGAGTCTGAAATGAAATTGGGGATGTTATTTCTGTGTAGTTTATTGTGCACTTTCATGAGTTACTGGGAAAGATGACCTGAATTCATTTGGGTTTGTGATGAAAATAGTTAATAAGGAAGATGGTTAGTGATGAAGATAGTGAGTACTGTAGTAAAGATAGTATGTAGTGAAGATGTGAGATGGTGGGAATGGAGGAGGGGGGGACAATGAAGGAACAAGGTAGACAGAGAAGGGGGTAGAGGTAGATAAATAGAAGTAAATATAGATAGATAGATATAGAGGAGACAGACAGACCCAGGCAACACCGGACAGTGGTGATTATATATATATATGTATAAAATAATAATCCTCTCTCGTTTCTCTCATTCTCCATCTCAGAACATGCAGTATATGCACCCAGCAAATACACATTGTAACCACAATATTAATTTGTACTAGTGTTACTTTGCAACAACATTGTGGTTGCGTTGTGTGAATGATGGAAAAGCTGAAAAAAAACTGCTAGAAAAACTCTATGAAAACAAAACAGTCATTTCAGACTTCATAGGAGCCAATCCCATTTCAGGAGCAGCCTGGGGATCAACCCCCAACTGTCTATAACAACCCCCATACAATCACAAATTGCTATGGAAAGCTATGTGAGCCTAAACACAACAAATCTGGCTTCCAACCTCAGGCAGATAAACTAATACTGTACATTCTCCTTTATATATATACATATAAATACACATACATACACACACAAATATATATTTGTATGTATGATAGATAAATAGCACACAGAAAAGCAATACCGATGATAATGTAGATACCTCCAGTCATGTTTCCTTGGCCTCATTTTTTTTGCCAGGTTGCTAAGCATCAGCACTCATGGATGATGGTGATTCATCTAAATCCATTTATATGGATAATATGCCTTGTCATATTACACAAGATAATGAATCCCCAGCGTAATAGGAATATTCTCGGCTAGTTAAGAGAGAATAGATCATATTAGTACTCTTAGTATTGTTGGACTCATGCTCATCATTTAGAATTATGGCCTCTTTTTCTATAGATTATTGACTTGTTGTGTTTTTACATTAATGTGCATCTGTTTTCTTCACTGTCATGTACAAATAAACATTTTGAAATGTGATGTAACAGCTTAATCTGTTGTGAAGTGATATTTCCAGCATGCTCGATAAAATTAGGTCGTATTGAAAAGTTTTGTAGGGCTAATAAGTACGAGCTTGCCACTGAATTGAAAGTTGACCCAAAATGAGGCATTAGATTATATTGTGTGTTGATTGGAAAGGGAGGAGTGAGGGGGGGGGGAGGTGCACACAATTAATCATCGTAGATCCTTCGCACATATTATATTTGTCCTCGGTACTCTGTATTGGTTGGAAGACAAGGAAGCGATACAAATGTTTCTATTATATTCAATTTGAAAAGGCAGTATTGTTCTGGATGCCTGTTCTTTCCTTTCATTAATTTTTTCTCCATCGTTTTGGGTCAACTTTAAACATTTGTATAGTACTAAGTATTTTAATCTTATACCCCCCAAAAAACAGAATCTTGATAATACTAGTTATTTTGAATACTCATAAGATCTAGTAATGTGAAAGACAGATTAAAAAATACAAAAATAAAAGTATGGAGGACTCACAGAGTTTCCCTATGCTAGTCATGGTATGTTAGATTGCTTTTACGTCATTGTTTTCCCAGACTCAATTATAGCTAAATAAGACTTTTTATTTGTTTTGACTTTTTGTGTCCAGTTATCCATTTCTTTAATGTTTAATAGGTCTTAGTACTGCCACCTGGAAACTTTTGAAAAATCCTCTGTATCCTTTTGAGCCATACATAGGTGCTGCACTCCTGTATTTGTTATTGGTTTTAAATCAGAGGATTATTTCATGTTTATAGCATAATTATAGATTTATTTGTAAATTGAGTGCAAATATTATAGTAAAATTAAATGTTACAAATTGTCATAATGACTTGAGTGTAGCTTCTGGGTGTGGCTTTGTTTTTTTTATTTATCTTTGTTTATTTTTATTATTCCTGAATATACGAACATTCTGTGGAAGATTTAAATGTGTTCAGCACCAAATGTTTAAGAGTTTCTTTTATACTACACATGGTTTATATTATTTTTATACTTTTCATAGTTGCTAGAGGCAGCAGAAACAATTTAATTGGACTGTTTGTGTGTGTTGGCATTGTATCTATTTATGATTAGCCAGTTAACAAATTATTTCCAGATCTATTACTGTCTAATTTGTCTAATGTAAGAAAATGGTAGTTACTGAATCATCTTTGGTAGAGTGATTCAGTGTTTGACCATTGGGAGTGAAATTGGGACAATGAGGATTTATTTTGCCAACTGAATTTGCTCCAGATGTTTTACTCCATCGTGTGATGGAAAGAGAGTGAGTTGACAGGAATTATAAGATACAACTAGCAAACTAATTCACTGCAGGAATATTGTTGTTAGCCTGCTGTATGGGCATGCAATCCATTCGAGTCTATCTGCACAAAATTGATTTAACGTTTGAGCCAGGTATTGTATCATCAGTAGTTTTAAATTACCAAAAATAGTGCATTTGGAAACTTAAATGTACAGATTATTTGGCCAATTTTCAAACCATATGTTGAAAGTACGGTATTTGAATAATAAATTTTTGTGGCTTGTTAGAATGATACTTAAAACATTCTGCTCAATTCTGGCAAACAATAATATACAATATATATTTATAAAATTGATCCTAGCTTAATACAGGTATATGTATGTGATCAGAAATAAACATTGAGGATTCAGGTGAATAAAAACATTTGCCTACATTCTGCAAAGACAGGGGTCAAACTTCATCATAATTTATAATGACTATATATATATATAATTTGGTAAATTTCAGCCAGTTACTCTTTAGAAAAGTAAACGTCTTCACTGTACTACACTAACATTTATCAACAAATATTTACTAGTGCTCTCTGTTTTATTGCCTAATTTTGTTATGTTTTTTCCCCACATGTAGTGAATTGATTAGAATCCTATTTGTTCCTCTAAGATGTGATAAAGACAGACAGCTTTAAGCTTCTCAGTGTTCTGAAGTATATTTTGATGATCATTTGCTCACAGCTATGCATTGGACTCTCCATGAGAAGTGAGTGCTGAGGATCCTGCAATTGTAAGATGTGCACTAGGTAGCCTATCTTGATGTGCTTAACACTGCAGTTACTGCTGATATTAACTTGGCACCTTGGATCCTACTAAGTGCTAAGCATTGGGGAATCCTCCTGTTATGAGCACAGTACTGGTGATCCTACCACTATAAGCTCGGCACTGGAATCCTACTGTTTATGACCTTTGCATTGGGGATCCTATCAGTATGAGCTCAGCATGGTACCCTACCATTATCAAAGGATTCTCTTGCAAATCACTTGGTGATTGCATAATAACATGGAAGATAGTGAATGAGAATTTTCAAATGCTAGATTTTGAGCTGTGCTCCTCAGTTCTCCAGAATACAGAGAATGTTTTTCAGTTCAGAATACAGATAAAAAAAGTCCAGAGACCTTACAGTTTAGGTTTTTGTATTTCTCCAGTTGGGCATCAACAGAATTATGTGGTTTTTAAACAAAACTTGGTTTCCGGATTTCCATACATATAAATACAAGATTTTAGTTAGAAACTTTGTCGATTTGGCACCATATTAAGAAATGTGGTCCATCTAAAAAATTTAAAGATTTGGTTGACATTTACAGCTTATCTCTGTATGGCTGACAGTATCTTAATTGATTGTCAAATGAAAAATAATATATCCTAAGAAAGAAATTTTTTAAACAGTTTGAGAAATTTTGTCAAATGGTTATGTTGGATGTTGTCAGCAATACCCAAGTTTGTGGAATCCCTCAAAAGACCTAACCTGCTGCTTGCTCGAGTTGTTTGGCATGTGTGTGTGTATACGAGTTTGTGTAGCTGAAGTGTGAATATGGATGTGTGTATGCATGTATGCTCACAGATGTACATACAATGTTGATGTATATGCATTTATATTGTTACAAATAAAGCGAAGATATGGAAGCGTGCTCTTTTGATTACCACACTTTCTTCAAATGTATATATTGCAAGTAGATGATACAAAACATATCTTGAGTTTTAACTGATTAAACTTGAGACTGTATAAAACTATGGGTTTCTCAATCTTGAGCGATTGTCAGAAAAAAAAAAAATCGGTATTCACCTAGTTGTACTTGCGGGGGTTGAGCTCTGCTGTTTCGGTCCGCCTCTCGACTGTCAATCAATCAACTGATTCTCTACGTAGGACTACGAAACCATCTGGCACTCATCAGGGAGAAAGCACCACATGAGCAGGACAAAGAAGGGGCACTAGGCTGGGAGCCACTAGAACTCTGGTCGACTCCCAAAACCCATGCCCGAATATCAGTACAGCAAACAGCCAAACACAAGGCATAGTTCCAAACATCAAGGCGACAAGGAGAGACCACAGGCCAACAGGTCCCAAAAACACTGAATAACCTGACATGAGCCATGGAACAGGGAACCAAGGCAACCAGAACTACCCACAAAGCACCCACCAAGGCAGAAATGGCAGCATGAAGGTGGTGGTGGAGAGTCTTTACCGGACACAACAAGAGAGACATCCCCAGCTGAACCAAACAGCAATAACAAAGGAACCCTCTGGAAGCTAGTTGGCACATTTGTCACCAGAAAAGTAGCTGGCTTCAGACGAACAAGCCAAAGAGCAAAACCCCTTGCCGACAGAGGAGAGCAAGAATCTGCCCAACCCTACAACCGGAGATGATGAAAACCAAAAACAAAAACATAAAGAAACAATTCCAGCCCAAAAGGGACACCAGAAACTAAGAAGAAACAAGATATGGTCCAAAGACCCAGCAGGGTCAGGAGGCACACAAGCTGGCCAGAGGGGAAAGAAGGCGCAAAACAGGCTGAGAAAGCGAGCCGAGGAAGTATCAACCCCTAACACAAGCTGCAGCGGCTCTGCCAGTGCCGCATAAGACAAGGTGACAGTATTCAGCATGAGATGTTGGTCTAGAAAAAGCGTTAAAGGATAGGAGAGCACTGCCTGCTCAGAATCCAAGGAACAACTCCAAGAAGGAAAGTGGCAAACGGAGCACCACAAGACCATACTAATACCGAGAAGAGGAATGCAAGTGGGACACCCTGAAGGAAGCCACTAGGTTGCCATAATTGATGAGAACCACGCATCAAATCACCAGATGCAGAGAGAGAAGGTTGAACCAGGGAGAGGAGAGAGATACCAAATAATATACACATGGAAAATACTGGAGGGCCAGGTCCCAAATCTACACAGTAAAATAACAACGTACTGGAGTGAACGATATGGAAGAAAATGCAAGATTGAACCAGTGAAGAGCAGAGGTGCCATAGGCACAATCAGAGAGCACTGTATAAACATCAGAGGTCCACAGTTGTTCAACGTCCTCCCAGCGACTATAAGAAATATTGCCGGAACAACCGTGGACATCTTCAAGAGAAAACTGGACTGTTTTCTAAGAGAAGTTCCGGATCAGCCGGGCTATGGTGGGTATGTGGCCCTGCGGGCCGCTCCAAGCAACAGCCTGGTGGACCAAACTCTGACAAGTCGAGCCTGGCCTCGGGCCAGGCTTGGGGAGTAGAACTACTCTCAGAACCCCATCAAGCAGGTACCGGGCCAACCCTCTGGAAGAGGCATTGCCACTGACAAAATAAGCCTTGGTTCAGACACTGAGCAGGCAGAGGACAAAAAGGCTGAGCTGGCCAGAAAGGGCATTCACCAGTGGAAAGACAACAATATGACAGGACCCAAAGCAAAAGCTGGACCAGGGAGAAGTAATAGTAATTACTATTAATAGTATAGTAATTACAGAGTTCAGCATACCTCAGGCCAGGAGGGCAAAAGTCAGTTAATATGGGACATTTTACAATATAATGTTCAAGGGAGTGCATGTTTTCTCTTTCACCAATTTGACACATTGTGTAGTGAGTGTGGAGGACAATCCCTGAGTATGAACCTCGCAGAGAACCAAAACCCAAAACCTTAAGAGGAGCGATTCAAAGAGCCTAGCCCCAAAGAAGTAGGGACCAAAGTGAACCCCTGCAGCCAAGAAGGGAACCGCAGAGGACAGCCCGAAAAGAACAGGCATATGGGGCACAGAACCCAGAGGAATCTAAATCCACCACTGCATGCCACATGGCTGCAACCACCAAACCATACTGGAAGTCCAAAGAAGGAAAATGACCATGGACAGCTTAGAGGGCACAGGGCACAAAGGCCCAACTCAGAGTATGGCAGTCAGGAATGCACCAAAGGCAGAGGAAGACACTAGGAAACTGAACACTGAGAAACCCAAAAAAGTCTGCAAAATAGCAGCCAGCACAGAGCATAAAAAGACTGCACACAATGGTCACAGCAGAGGGAGAAGGCCGCCCCGGAGAAACCAAAGCAGTGTCCGAAGCCACATCTCGCCTAGAATACAAACACTACTAAGATATGGCCCCTGCACAACCGGCCAAGCAACAATAGAGTCACCTGGGTCACCCCAAAAGAGAAACAGGTACTACAGCCAGGTCAAGGCCACTGAATGCAGGGAAGCAATGACAAGTCCCCCCAAGTCCCCCCAATGACAAGGCCCAGCCAAGTTCAAACCCAGAACAGAACCAACCGAAACTTCTATTCAAACCAGGTACATGAACCCGGTGAGCTGGGCAGAACCATGAACCTAGATAGCAGACAAACAGGCCAATTGGGTGCCCACACCAGCACGATAACGAATGAAACCAACCAGAGATGAGGCAGTTAAAGCTGAGTGAAGAGGATGAACATGCTTGGAGCCAGATAGATCCAATGGGAAAACCCCAGAGGGAAACAAACGGAATGCCCTCAGACCGTGAGGGCACAGGGAAAACCCAGAAGCCATCCTAGAAACGAGAAACCCCCCAAAAATGGGACTAGGAACAAAGAGCAAGGAACACTCCAACTCAGCCAGAAAAGGGCAAGGAGAACCAGAGGACACCCAATCTGAAAAGAACAGTTGGAGGTGAAGAAGCAGCCCACCAGAACCCCAAGAGGGTAAGGAACCCCAAAAAGGGGAGTGTGAACTGGAAGACCTATGAACAGCCAAAGCAACTGAGCAGGGTAATGAAGACAGACCAGCCGAGGGAAGCATAATCAACCAAAATCCGACTCCACAGAGAACCTCCCTTGTCTACAAGGAGGAGAAGCATCAGTACCATCAGATTACTTGCCCAGAACAAAGACTAAAAGGGGCGGACAGAATTTAGCCAGCAACAAGCCTGGCCTCAGGCCAGGCTTGGGGGTAAAAGAACTCCCAGAACCCCATCCAGATACAGGTATAATGCAGATACAGGGTCTGCACCACCACCACCACCACTGAGGGAAGAGGTGAAGAGAATGACGAGGCAGACAGGAGTGCGAAGGCCTACAAGAAACCTGAAGAAGCCAACCATGTGATGAGGACCTCCAAGGAAGTGACTCACAAAAACCCCAGAGAAGATAATGACCGTGAAGCACAAGGGCATCAGTAGGAAGCACAAATTTCATGTGGCATTCCCCCATTTGATTATATTTGCTATAGAATTTCCTCTGTAATGATGCATCGATATCACTCCTGAATTGTTGCTAACCTTCCTATCAGAATAGTTTCACTTCCTTTGATATCATTTGTAAGTCAAATTGAAGCATATGAACAATTCAATGCTCAATACCATTCAATTAATTGGAGCTAATAAAATAAGTTTAAGCTAAAAGCGCCATTTCAAAGACCCATTGTACCTTAGTGAGAGAAAAACTTGCGTATCCTATTAAGATCAAGCAGCAATTTTGGCATAGATAGGAGAGCTGCTGCACAAATACCTATATCAATGAATCGTGGAATAAAGCAAAATTTCACCAATGTTCGTTTGGAGCCCTCTTTTGATAATTACTTCACCAATGCCCTTACCCTACCAACATTTCCCTGACTGTCTATTGTTGGATCCAATCGTTGTAACAACCACATTAACAAATCATTTTGCAGAAGTATCCGGTACACACAGGTACAGGGCCGACTCTTAACACATCTGACAATCCTCTTGCCTACCTGTTGATGAATCTAAGGATCATCGTGGATATCTTCAAGAGGATACTAGATTTATTCCTCCAAGGAGTGCCGGACCAACCGGACTGTGGTGGATATGTGGGCCTGCAGGCCGCTCCAAGCAACAGCCTAGTGGACCAAACTCTCACAAGTCAAGCCTGGCCTCGTGCCGGGCTTTGGGAGTAGAACTCCCAGAACCCCATTTACCAGGTTAATCAAGCAGATAAACTTTCCAGCGGTCTGGTCTCTGACCAGGCCTCCTGGTTGCTGGTCTGATCAATCAGGCTGTTTGATGGTGTTGTGCACAGCCAGATGTACGAATCAAAGCCAGGTTAATCTGGTATCTTTTGAAGGTGCAAATAGAGTTCTCTTATATTTAAACACTGCGAGAGGTCCTCCAACATCCCCCTTCCCCTGCATGTGTAAGGGAAGCATATTGAAAAGTCTTGGGCCTTTGATGTTGATGGTGCTCTCTCAGCATGCTTACTGCACCTCTGTTTTTCAGTGGGGCTATTTTGCACAACCTGCCATGCCTTCTGATCTCATGTGGTGTTATTTCTGTGTGCCTGGTCTCATGTGGTGTTATTTCTGTGTGGTCGGTGTCATGTGGTGTTACTTGTGTGTGCATAATTGGAATCAGTCCTAATCATTTCCAAGTGTAAATTATTATACATTTCTCCCACCTAGGGAATACAGACTTAACATTTTTATGTTGTCCCAATAATTCAAATGTTTTATTCAGTGGATTCTAGCAGTAAAAGAACTTTGCACACTCAGCAGGTCAGCAATTTCTCTAGATTTGAATGGGGGTGTTGTGCAACAATATTCCTCTGTAGAGAGCACTAATGTCTTAAAAAGTATCATCGTGGACATGGTATCTCTTGCGTGGAGGTTCTTGTTATTCAATGTCAGTTTTCTTGCATCTGTGATCAGTCATTCCATCTATCATCATAATATCATGCAAGAGGAGCCACACATCTATGGTTCATCCAACAAAATCAGCAGACTTCTAGATGTTACTACTGCTCTGCTTAGATTGATTGATTGATGAAGATTAAGGCACCCAAAAGGTGGCACGGGCATGAATAGCCCGTAAGTGGTGGGCCTGTTGAACCATTACGAGTATCAATAGATGATACTGGAGATCTGTGGAGGTGTGACTGCACCCTGCGTGACGGGAGATGTCTCCCGTGTGCTTGGCTTAGACTCTGTTACAAGTATCTCTGTGAATTGTCATTATCTGCCGATGTAGACGTGACCAAATGTAAAGTGTGTAAAAAAAATTATTCGCACACCCTCCGTCATTATGTGATAGAGTGCGAAGAGATACGTGAATTGAGAGACAAATCTATAACCAATGTTCCAAAGAAGTGTAAATATTTCATTTAAAATGATCTGCCACCAGAAATTTGAGCCAAATATTCCCAGTTTGCTAACTGTAGGTAGTAAGTGAGTGATTGTAACCTATCTACTACTGCCCACTGGATGGGGGGCGGTGTGCAGGACAAAAATATCAATTGTGACACTAGCTCTCCACATGTCAGTTGCTTAATTTAGAAACTGCACTTGTGGTCGATCTCGAACCCATTGATAATGTGACGACGTATGTTGAATTTTGCAACTAACTCATCAAGACTGTAACTTGCTTAGCTAAAGGAATTGTGGGGTTCAGTCCCTGAGCCCATTATGTGGCTCTGTAACACTTTCCATTACCGCCCACAAGATGGGCGGTAATGCATAAAGATCGGGTGCATAATAAATGAAGTAAACTAAACCAAGAAACTTTCAGTATCTTTGTTGTGTTGTTTAAAAGGTGTTTCGACGTCATTACTCCTAAAACTTGTACAAATTGTTGTTTAATTGTGTGGTTAGATTGTTTTCAATGTGGTTTGTATTGTGGATGTTTTAATTTGTTAGATAGCGCAGTATAGTATTTGGAACTTATCCTCATTAAATATTATATTATTTTCTGTGTGCCATTGAAAGACTTGATTAACATTGTATTTGAAGTTTGCTATGTCGTCTATATTGTCTACTCATGGAAATTGTAGTGTCATCTGCAAAGGATGAGACAGTACTAGAGTGTTTTTTTTATTTTTGATTGATGTCTCGCATGAGGATGTGGTAAAGTTGGGGGGCTAATAGATGAGCCTTACATTTTATGTTCTCACCTGATTTTTCGTATTTTTCGTTGATATGTATTTGTATTGAGGCTGGTGTTTTCTCCCCTGATTCTATTTATAAATAACCATCGTGTGAGATGGGAATATTAGATGAAGTTATAGCTGTTTTTGTATCTACACTGTGTAATGTTTCATAATGAATAGGATAGCAGCACATTGCTGTGTCTACCTAAGTTTGTTAATAAACAAAGCAGGAAGAATACCGGAGCAAGCACGGTAGTTTGGGGTAGTGAGGTTTTCACGGCGGCGGATTCAAATTTTCCTTTGATGACTACAGTATCATACTGTAGGTTCTGTTTGCTAGGAAATTGAAGATCCATCTCCCTACTTTGCCAGTAATTCCTTTGGTGTGCAATAATACCATGATCGCATTTGCGTGTCTAATTAGTTGTACAGATCGGTGCCTGCAGTATTTTGGGTACCTCTACTCCATGTTGGGTGGTTAGCATTGAGATCACCTGTAACAATGATCGGGTGTCGTAATTGGTTAAGATAAAATTCCAGTTCATTTGAGTTTATTGTGCCTAGAGGGTTGTATATACCCAGAAAGGATATGTGTGTACCATTTGAAGGTATTAGGCACGCTAGAACTTGTAGTTTACCGTTCACCAAATACGTTAGTGTTAGAGGTTTACATGTCATATTACTTCGTGTTAGGATGAAACCCCCCCCCCATCCCCCGCATACGGTTGGGTCTGTCCAGTCTCTGCATCTGAAAGTTTTATATACGAGATTTTATTTGGGAGTGAGCCAGGAATCTGTGATGAATGCTAAGTCCGGTTTGGATGAGTAGATGAATAGTTTAAGTTCTGTGAGGGATGTTTTAACGCTTTTTGCGTTGTAAGTCATGAAGGTTAGGGGAGCCATTTAGGATGTTTGGGTTGTGGATGTGGATGTTTTCTTTGGTGCGCCAATAGTGGTACGTGTTGGATACCTAGATGTGGATGGGGGCTGTGTCTTACTCTTGGTACTGGTGGTTGGGGTTTGTGGCACGTCAGCCTGGGGAGTGGTTTTGGTGAGGCGCGCTAAGGAGGTAATTAGAAGGTTTTTCAACATCTGATCAAACAATGTGTGTCCAGCAATGGTAGCTTTATTTGGGTGGATGTCAGTGTCTGTAGCTGTTGATGGGGGGGTCTGTTGGGTCACCCTCATGGGTGGGTTGTGTTACTTAGGCAAACAATTTAGTTAGAAGTCGGTCCAGGGTCTTTTCTAGTGCATTTTCGATGCGAGTGACAAGCGTTTCAATAAGATCATTTTCGATGCGAGTGACAAGAGTTTCAACAAAATCAGGATTGAGTTGTGCATTACAGTGGTGATGCCGTTGGTACATTTGAAAGGCAATTAATGAAATGTGAGTGTAGGGTACTGTACTGTTGTGTCATGTAGTGTACTGTACTGCTGTGTAGTGCATTGTACTGTAGTGTAGTGTAGGGTACTGTACTGTACTGCTGTGTACTGCATTGTACTGTAGTGTAGTGTAGGGTACTGTACTGTACGGTACTGTAGTCCACTTTACTATACTATACGGTACTGTACTGTTGTTTATTGTACTTTAGAGTACTGTGCCCTTGGTGTTGTGTATCGTAGGGTACTGTACTGTACTGTAGTGTATTGTACCGTACAGAAGTGTACTCTTCAGTACTGTGATGTATCGTACCGTAGGGAAGTGTACTGTACTATACTGTACTTACAGTTTCAATAAGTAATGTTAATATTCAATCCTTATAATAATATTATTAAATAAGTAAGTAATGAAAAGTCAGAATTTTTGAGTGTAATGTAAAACATTGTTTCTCATACATTGGATATACATTTGGGTGTATATATTTAAGTATGAATAAATAAATTTCCTGAATTACTCGATTATCGAATTAGGTTGAGCCGACCAATGAGAGTACAGCTTGCGAGAATGTGACGTCAAGTGAAAATGAGAAAGGTGATTGGCTGTTGAGTCGACGTGGTGGGTGAGGATCAACGGAACGTTATTTTGACCCTAGTATTCGCAGAGTAGTGGTGTACAAGTTAGTGTTAGGGCGTGTTGTTACTCTGAGCTGGTACCCCGTTACCCTTTGGGGTCGCTAGGGCTGACAGACCCCTAGCTTACACTCACTTTGTACACCGTCAAAACGCGAATACATAGGGTCAAAACTATATACATATATATATATATAAGGCTCGTTATATATCACCCTTGGGGGATATATAACGTGTACATATATACACGCTATTATTGTAGTGCAGAGTTTATGATCAGTAGTAAAATATATTTAGAAATGTTAACTACGTCCTGAATTGGAATGTTTCAGCGGTGTTGAGTGAATGAGGTAGTGGTGTGAAGATGAAGAATCGCGTGAAATGACCCGATTGGTGAGTTAGGAATCTGCTGGAGAGAGTAAGGTTGTCATGGGACCAGTGGTGGAGCGTTGATTCAAGTCAGACCGGGGCGAGCAGAAGCTGGTGGAAGATGAGTACCACGTCTACTTCAACCGGGACGAGTTAGCACATATGGAAGTATGAGTATAAGGTGATGTATTTATTTATTAACTTAACCTAGTTTAAGAAGCATTTTACTATTGCATTAGGATACCCTACTAATCGATGAAATGGTCATTAAATTCCTAAGTTGTAAAATGTAAAATTTGACGACCACGTTAATAACCAATTTATACTCTGATTACATATTTACTAGTATTAGCTGCTCATCTGTTGGTTTGAACGGTTTAACAGCTCCCAAAGCCGTTGACTATGCAGGTGTGATCTATGGCTTGAGGTTTAATTTTAAATGAGCAGATATGTACTATAACAAATTAGGAGTAAATTTCGTATAATTTAAAAGGTATGGTATAGGCATGATTGAAACATTGATATTGTTAGCATTGGGTAACTGTTGGCTTGTTGCAGGTAATACCGGGACAGATTGCCAGGCTGTTGTGGAAGAACACGGAGACGCGTCCACTTGAGTATTCGTGAAAACTTGGCAGCAAGTGTTGGAATAGTTGGTAGAATTTTCGTGGATAGATTGTAGGTTAGCGCACCTTACAAGAGAATGGGCTTTAATTTTATTTGTGGGTGTTGTTTAAATCTCACGTTGATGGGGGCCAAGAGTTAGCATAATATGAATGATGTGGAGAATCGTACCTTACATAGGTGTTAAAGGCAGTAGTTAATAACGTACGCAGTCGTGGATATTGAAGAGGCACCCACTAGATGTCGAGTTAATGAAATTTACGTGATAGGCAGTGAGGACTTATTTTATATTCACCACTTTATTTACTAGGAATGAGGTTAAGGCAATAGATCAGTGGCATGGAATAGATGTGTGGGTTTGTGAATAACGCAGTTGTCGGTGGATTGTGTGAGGTTGACATTGTTGTGAAATAATGGGGAGAGTTTGAGGAGTAGTAGTCATATCAGGACCCTCACCGCGAGTATTTTCACAACGTGAGTCATTATGTTGCGTTTTAAAAATAAGTTTGTTGTGAAAATATCACGCATTGAATAAGTGTGGAAAGGGTTTTGGCTAGGTTCCCGCGTTGTCTTGAAAATAGGTATTCCACCCACCCCATAGTTTGTTGAAAGGTGTGCTTGTATTTGATATAATGTTGATAATGAATGTTTGTATTCATAATGCTGAACATTCATATAGTACAATGTACTTTCGCAGGTAAGAGGCTTGAGTACGTTATACGTGGATAACATCGTGTATAGGTACTTTAGGGACAGACCTGCAAGTGTTTACTGAAGTTGGCGTGTTCCATACAAGGTAAGAAATAACGTTGAAATTGGTTTGAAAGGTTTATTTTAGTCGTTGAGCATATAGTGTAATGGTTATTACATATGGAGTGTTTGAAATAGTTATTAAATTGGAGTATATGTACTGTTACAATATTATAGAGAATGGGGATAGTGGGCTAGAAGGCGGGAGGTTACTGTGCTCATAGAGGGCAGTATGGGTGTGTTGAATGAAGGTGAAATATATAGTTGATGTAGATATATTAAGGGAGAAATGTTGAATAATAAAGGCAGACAGTTTTAGGCAATCCCAAATGTTTTACTTTATGAAATCGGCAAATGTAGGCAATAAATAGTAAAATATATATGGGAAGTCATAGAAAGAAAAAAGTTTATAGAAATGTAAAGGAAACGTGAATGTAGTCGATCATTGACTGTAAGACAGCAAATTGGTTTCAGCATGTATATATTTGTAGTGATTTATTTAGTGAATACATTATATTTATAAGTGATATGGGAACATTCCTGAACGTAAGGGATGTGGTGGTTTTAGTTCCGATTTATAAAGTTATTGCAAATGGAATAAAAACCTAATTGTTTCAGAATTGCGAGATTATGGTAATGATGGTTCAATGGTAGAGGGAATCAGAGGCAGCGGACTTTGAGATACAACGGAGCCACAGGCTGAGGTGGCAGAAAGATGTGTTAAAGACGAGGATGAGGCGACCCACACGGTGAATAAAGAAAGGACTTGAGATTGGGAGATAAAACGGGACAAGAAATTGAAGGGTATTCCTGAATCAATAATGTTTACACTAGTGAAGAGTTGGTGAAAAAGGAATAATGTGAGTTGAAATCGCATTTGCTACCTGTAATGGGAAATTGTTTAGTGTCTAGTTTAAAAATGAGATCATAATGTATTGGTATTGAGGGGTAAGAATGTGTGTTTTGTGCCCTTAATAATAAAATCGTGTCAGTGTTGCCATGAGATACAGGGCAAAATGTGTGGGTCGTGAAAGACGATGCATGAAGTGTTGCAAAAGTTGTGAAATGAATGTTATGGAAGGTGTATAGTAAATATATATTAGTTACTAGGTTGTGTTGTAAATGACGTATTTGTAAATAGGAATAAATGAGAATGTCTGTTGCGTGTTATATAAATGGTAAAACGGTAGAAGTTTGTAATGTGCAATGGGATGGTGGTGTAAGGACGTCATTAGGAGATTTAGTGACATGTATACTATGCTATTTATGCGAGTGTTATGTTTTGGACAATAGTAAAAGCCGTGCTCGACAACTGTAATGCGGCCAGAAGTGCAAATATGTACTATATATGTGAGTCATGAGATATTAAACATTTGAAAGTACATTTTTATAATTTAGTTTACGTCCTGTTTTCTAGTCATCTTTTTAGGTAACGTAACCGTGTTAGTTGATTGAAATATCATGTTATTGGTTGTAAAATACAAATAGTAGTTAACGTATAGGTATATTGATAATATTGTTTTGTCTCTACAAATATGTAAATTTTAGTTGGAAATGAGAAACGGTTATATAAAATAATAATAAAAAATTTTTTGTTATTGCTATATAAAACTTTAGTATAGGAAAGTGCACGTAAAAAAAATTGTACAATCGTGATTGTGTTAACATACAAGGATAATGAATGTGTGATGGAAATGTATGAGGGGCATAAATTAATTGAATTATGTATGATAGTGTGGATATGTAGTGGTTATAGTTTGTGTTAAAATGTGGTATGATGGTTGTTGGTGCAGTAATATATGCACGAGTGTGTTGTATATTATATCTTTAGACACCACCTTACATAAGATGGTACGATATATATATATATACGCCATATTAATTTGTCATTAGCTTAATACTTAAAAATAAGTAAAAAGTTATGGTTAGTGTGAATCGCATATAATGGCTTGTTACAAAGAAATTGTTATGGTGCTGTGATGAGGTTGATATTTTAGTGACTAGGTTATTTTCTCGAGTTGATTATGGTTTGCGGCTTTGTAGCAGTTAGAAAAAGTTACGTAGTTTGTGTGAAAATGCATTTTGTTAGTGTCATTGGGGGCGGAGGGTATGTGAAATGTTTCAATTAGAAGGTAACAATGAATGATAATGTTTTTAAAAGGTATTAAACATTTTTCATGTTATAGTATTGAAGCTGCGTATGGTAATTGACATGACGGAAATATTTATTGTTTAACGAAGCAGAGAATGCTTTAACATGGGTATGATAGGTTGAGACATGTATGATGTAGTTAACAGGCGATGCATGCCCTGTGATGACTGGTGTAGTTTGTAGGCGTTGCTAGCAATGAATGTGTAGTAGGTAATAAAATAGTATCAATCATTGTGTGACGAATTTTGTATGCATGAAAAATAATAAATTAGTTAATTTAAAAGTATTGACTAGAAATGTGTTATTGAATACGGATTATTATACAATAGTGATTTGTATTGAATAGGGGCCACCGATCATGGCTTAGTTCTCTGAGTCTAAGACTTGTGCTATGACTTACTCGGAAGCATGTCGTTCTTTGTCCCTCTTTGTCGCTTTATGGTCATCCCCTTGTGTACAGGGATTCCGCAAAGCTCTTGTGGTTAGTCTGACACTCTTGTGTTGGTCAGCACATATGTTACCTCGTAGTTTGGTGCTGTATGGCCGTTAAGGTTTTGTCCCATACTTTTTGGGAAGCGGATAGACGCACGCTCCTATCTTTGCACTCCTCTCTCGTCCTGTCTAAAGTCGATTATGGTTGTCCTGCATACTCTTCTGCTTATCCATCTACTCTTCGCCGTCTTGATGGTTTGCACCATACTTGGTTGCGTCTCGGCTCTGGTTGCTTTCGTTCGACTCCCGCCCTCATTTTGTATGTTGACACTGGCTTTGTCTCTCTTCAGGACGGCCGTGATCGCTACTGTGTTCGGTATCTTGCGCGGTCCTTCACCATCCTTCCTCTCGCCCCTGTCGTGCTTTTAGTTTTCCTCCTCCTCCTGTAGCTCGTATTGCTCTTAATCGTCTCCCACTTTGTGTCCGGTTATGTCGCTTGCACGAATCTCTATCTGTTCATATTTCTAATGTTTCTCATCATATTGTTACTTCGTTGCTTCCGTGGAGTCCCCCCTTCCCAAGTTTGGTACGTCGTTGACTAGACTTAGTAAAGCCTTTAACCCTGCTACAAATATGAAAAGGCTCTTCCTTGAGCACTTTTCTTCGCACTACCAATGTATTTCCATCTTTACTGATGGGTCTAAGTCTGCGGAGGGTGTTGGCTACTGTGTTGTTTTTCGTGACCGTGCGCCTTTAGGGTGGAACTTTATGCTATTCTCTCTGCATCTTGCTTTCTCATTCCTCATTTGTGGTTGACTCTCGTAGTGGCCTCATGGTTCTTTGGTCGTTTAATCCTGTCCACCCAGTGGTTATCGAGAATCATGAATGGCTGTTTATTTATAGTAAGTTGAATTCTGTAGAGTTTTGCTGGGTTCGCAGGCATATTGGTGTTTCTTTCAATGAGCGTGCGGATGGTGCCGCTAAGGGCGGTATCCGTTCTTGTCCCATGTCCCGTAAAGGTATTCGTTATTCCGACTTTTATCGTGTTATTCATTATTGTTGCCCGTTGGCAGGGTTGTTGGTCCTCTGTGGGTGTTAACCAGCTGCATACTCTGAAACGTAGTGTCCCCCCCCCCCCCCCCCCCCCCCCCCCCCCCCGTGGCCTTCCTCCTACCACCGTAAGTTGTGGTGGGAAAGTTGTTTTGGACGGCTGCGGCTTGGCCATACTCGCTTAACCCACGGTCACTTAATGGAGCGCGGGCCTGCTCCTTATTGTCGGAATTGCGTTTTCGCTCTTACAGTTGTGCATATAGTTGTTGAATGTCGTGAGTTCCACGACGAGCGTGTGTCCTGGTCTCGGAGCGTCCCTCGATAGAATGATAGGTGAATCGGATAATGTTGAAAAAAACAAAACGCATAAGACGAACATGTTATTGGCGATATTTAACCGGGTTTTATTATTTCGGAGTTTGATGGTGCTAGGTAGCGTTCCCGGTTTGGTGCCTTGTTTTGATAATTACCTTACGTTGTATTGAATATGGGATTTAAATGAATAATGTGTAATGAATAGAGAAATGTATTTAGTTTTATTAATTAATAAAGAATAGTATATGCTGATTACTATGATTGCGTTGTAATGAATATTGCAAAGCACTCAATACACTTTTCAGCAAGTTTAATAAGAAATGAATAATGTTGATAATACATGAATTGTTTTAATTTTTAACAATATTCAATCTTGTACAATTTACTCTGAATGTTGATAAATATTGACGTATTGTGTGTTGCATATTAAATGTGACTAGTGTTCAGTAATGGAATAGGTTATAAAGTTAATAATAAAGATGAATATGCTATATTGTATTCAATGATATTATGAATAAAATAATGAAAATAATATATAGTACATGTTTCAGGAATAATGATTGTAATGTTACGGTAATATTGACTCTTAATAAAGAAATTATTATTGTGTAATAGTACATATGTATTAAATTGTGAATACTCCATAATATTTATTATTAGTGAATATTGTAAATATTTTGTTTGTGTTATTATTGAAGAATAAATATTATCAATATTTGAATTATCAATGATATTCACGTAAATATTAATCATTTATAGTATTGTTCAGTATTGAACAACTCAATATTGAATAATATTAAATATTGTTTATTATTCACTATTGAAGAATACTAATAAATATTGAAGAATAATAATCTTCAATACTATTCTACAATATTGAAGAATATTATTCAATATTGAAGAATATTATTCAATATTGAAGAATAGTATTATTCAATATATGAAGAATATTCTTCAATATTGAAGAATAGTATTCAATATTGAAGAATAGTATTCAATATTGAAGAATACTAATCAATATTGAAGAATAATATTGAATACTATTCAATATTGAAGAATACTATTCAATATTGAAGAATACTATTCAATATTGAAGAATAGTATTCAATATTGAAGAATAGTATTCAATATTGAAGAATATTAATTTGAAGAATATTATTCAATATTGAATAAATATTGAATCAATATTGAAGAATATTAATCAATATTGAAGAATATTATTCAATATTGAAGAATATTATTCAATATTGAAGAATATTATTCAATATTGAAGAATACTATTCAATATTGAAGAATAGAAGAATCAATATTGAAGAATATATTCAATATTGAAGAATAGTATTCAATATTGAAGAATATTATTCAATATTGAAGAATATTATTCAATATTGAAGAATATTCTTCAATATTGAAGAATATTATTCATTGAAGATTGAAGAATATATTCAATATTGAAGAATATTATTCAATATTGAAGAATATTATTCAATATTGAAGAATATTATTCAATATTGAAGAATATTATTCAATATTGAAGAATATTATTCAATATTGAAGAATATTCTTCAATATTGAAGAATATTCTTCAATATTGAAGAATAGAAGAATATTCAATATTGAAGAATATTATTCAATATTGAAGAATATTATTCAATATTGAAGAATATTATTCAATATTGAAGAATATTATTCAATATTGAAGAATATTATTCAATATTGAAGAATATTTCAATCAATATTGAAGAATATTATTCAATATTGAAGAATATTATTCAATATTGAAGAATATTATTCAATATTGAAGAATATTATTCAATATTGAAGAATAATATTCAATATTGAAGAATAATATTCAATATTGAAGAATATCAATATTGAAGAATATTAATTCAATATTGAAGAATAATATTGAATACAATATTGAAGAATATTATTCAATATTGAAGAATATTCTTCAATATTGAAGAATATTATTCAATATTGAAGAATATTATTCAATATTGAAGAATAGAAGAATATTCAATATTGAAGAATATTATTCAATATTGAAGAATAATAATATTGAATATTCTTGAAGAATATTCTTCAATATTGAAGAATACTAATCAATATTGAAGAATAGTATTCAATATTGAAGAATAGTATTCAATATTGAAGAATAGTATTCAATATTGAAGAATAGTATTCAATATTGAAGAAGAATAGTATTCAATATTGAAGAATACTATTCAATATTGAAGAATAGTATTCAAAATTGAAGAATATTAATCAATATTGAAGAATAGTATTCAATATTGAAGAATAGTATTCAATATTGAAGAATAGTATTCAATATTGAAGAATATTAATCAATATTGAAGAATAGTATTCAATATTGAATAGTATTCAATATTGAAGAATAGTATTCAATATTGAAGAATAGTATTCAATATTGAAGAATAGTATTCAATATTGAAGAATAGTATTCAATATTGAAGAATAGTATTCAATATTGAAGAATAGTATTCAATATTGAAGAATAGTATTCAATATTGAAGAATAGTATTCAATATTGAAGAATAGTATTCAATATTGAAGAATATTAATCAATATTGAAGAATAATATTGAATACTATTCAATATTGAAGAATATTAATCAATATTGAAGAATAGTATTCAATATTGAAGAATAGTATTCAATATTGAAGAATAGTATTCAATATTGAAGAATACTATTCAATATTGAAGAATACTATTCAATATTGAAGAATACTATTCAATATTGAAGAATATTATTCAATATTGAATATTGAAGATTCAATATTGAAGAATAATTCAATATTGAAGAATATATTGAATATTGAAGAATATTATTCAATATTGAAGAATATTATTCAATATTGAAGAATATTATTCAATATTGAAGAATAATATTCAATATTGAAGAATATTCAATATTGAAGAATTCAATATTGAAGAATATTATTCAATATTGAAGAATATTCAATTCAATATTGAAGAATATTATTCAATATTGAAGAATATTATTCAATATTGAAGAATATTGAAGAATATTCAATATTGAAGAATAATATTCAATATTGAAGAATATTATTCAATATTGAAGAATATTGAAGAATATTCAATATTGAAGAATATTATTCAATATTGAAGAATATTATTCAATATTGAAGAATATTATTCAATATTGAAGAATATAATATTCAATATTGAAGAATATTATTCAATATTGAAGAAATATATTATTCAATATTGAATATTGAATATTGAAGAATAATATTGATTCAATATTGAAGAATATTCAATTCAATATTGAAGAATATTCTTCAATATTGAAGAATATTATTCAATATTGAAGAATATTCTTCAATATTGAAGAATAATATTCAATATTGAAGAATAATATTCAATATTGAAGAATATTATTCAATATTGAAGAATAATATTCAATATTGAAGAATATTATTCAATATTGAAGAATATTATTCAATATTGAAGAATATATTCAATATTGAAGAATATATTCAATATTGAATATTGAAGAATATTCTTCAATATTGAAGAATATTATTCAATATTGAATATATTCAATATTGAAGATATTATTCAATATTGAAGAATATTATTCAATATTGAAGAATATTATTCAATATTGAAGAATATTATTCAATATTGAAGAATATATTGAATATTGAAGAATAATATTCAATATTGAAGAATATTGAAATATTCAATATTGAAGAATATTATTCAATATTGAAGAATAATATTCAATATTGAAGAATAATATTCAATATTAAGAATAATA